TATGCAGTAGTAGCAGTATGCAGTAGTAGCAGTATGCAGTAGTAGCAGTATGCAGTAGTAGCAGTATGCAGTAGTAGCAGTATGCAGTAGTAGCAGTATGCAGTAGTAGCAGTATGCAGTAGTAGCAGTATGCAGTAGTAGCACTATGCAGTAGTAGCAGTATGCAGTAGTAGCAGTATGCAGTAGTAGCAGTATGCAGTAGTAGCAGTATGCAGTAGTAGTAGTATGCAGTAGTAGCATGCATCAGCATGCAGCAGTATGCATCAGCATGGCGTAGTATGCAGTAGTAGTGTGCATGCAGTCGTATGCATGCAGCAGCGCGCATAATCTGCGAGCTGCCCATGTGGCGTATCGGGTAGCGGAGCGTCTGTGGACGTTTCTTTCGACAGCGCGCGAGTTGCATTTGTCGAAAAGGCGTTCTCTGTCTGCAGCTTGCAGGGGTTGTCAATTCGCTGTTGAAGGAGTGGAGGTGGGGTAGGAGCGATCCTGCTGCTGCAGCTGCTGCGTGGTGCTGCTGCTGCTGCAGGCTTATGGCTCTGGAGGTGTCAGAGGGATTGCCTGAGCCGCCTTCGCTGTTGTCGCTTTGTGCTGCAATGCAACGACATGGCATTGGCTCACCGTCTGGCGCTGCTGCAGGGGAGGCTTGTGGAGGGGAGGCTGCAGATTCGGATTTTGGTGGTTTCTTTCGCCGACACTTCCTGCCGCTGCTGCACTCCGTAGAGTGTGTTATCGCCTCTTCCTGGTCTGCCAGGATGGCGAGGGGACTGTCGAGAGCAGTGCGAGCAGCTGGAGGTGCGCGCTGCATCGGCTGTGACAGGAGGCAGTGGGTTGCGACAACACCGGCAACACCGGCAACACCAGCAGCAGGAGCAGCAGCAGCAGCAGCAGCAGCAGCAGCAACAGCGGAGGCATTGCTGGCGAGAGGCGCGACAGCGGCAGCAGCGGTTCCTGGAGCTAGGGAGACTTTGTATTTTCAAGGCATGGAGTTGCTGCTGCAGACACCACAGCCTTCCGTTTGCGCTGTCGGAGACTGTGGATGGAGTTTGCTGCTCATGCGTCAGTCTGTGGCGAAAGTGATGCCCACCTGCGTCTCTGCCGCGCGGCAGCGGGAGCTGCTTCTCCAACTGGTTCTGACGGCAATCCCCTTCGTAGCAGCAGACGCTCCCTCCTTGCTGCTGCTGCTCGCCTTCTGCCTTCGCTGTTTGCAGCGCGCGCAGCAGCAGCGGCTTTCGGAGGAAGCCTTGGGCACTTGCTCTTCAGACGCCTTTTGCAGAGAAGGCTGGGGGAGCGGCTCCGTCGCTGCGGCTGAGGCTCGAGCTGCAGATGCTTCAGGGAGACTGCAAGCAGCAACTGCGGCAGTGCTCGCCATCCTCCATGCTGCAGAGGAACGGCCGTTGTTGCAGGTGTGCTGCTGCATGCCACACATTGACGGCAGTGCGAGCCTCGTAGAGCAGCTGCGGCTGCTGCTGGGCAGAGAAATCCGTTTGCGTGAGAGAGAGAGGGAGAGAGAGTGACGGTTGAGGTCGAGATTAAGGCTAGCTTGAGGTTGCGATCAAGGAAGAAGTGTTTAGATCTGCTGCTGCTGCACGCAGAGAGCCACTGTCAGCGCGTTGCGGCGGCTGTTGCACACATTGCCGCTGCCAGAAGGGCTCCTGCGAAGCCATCGTTCCTCTGACAGAATGTCGACACTGCTGCTCGTGCTGCTCGTGCTGCTCTTGCTGCGGTTGGTGTTGTTTTTGTTGTTATTTTTCTGCGCGCTGTTGCTGCGACGTGGCGATGCTGCTGCAGGCAATGTTGGAACCAGCGTGTGAGGCTGCCTGGACGTCTTTTTCGCCGTGTTTCACGCTGTTTGACTTCCTAGTGGAGGTGACGATGGAAGTTCACGCAGAAGACTCCGAGAGACTGTGGGAAGCGCTTCTCTCGTCTCCGCCCCCTGCGTGCGCTGCAGCAAGCGGGGAAGGCAGCAGCGGCTGCGGAAAGACTGTTTCTCCCCGACGAGAGGCACGACACTTCGACCCTCGAGGCGGCAGTCTAGACTGCGGCTTCATCGTTCTGAGAGCAGCAGTTCTGCGGCTGTGCGAGGCAGCTGCAGGGCGAAGAGCAGCAGCTGCGGAGGAGGCAGCCGAGGCGGCAGACGCGCAAATTCTCCCTCAGGGGAGTAGTGTCATCGCGGGAGGCACTGAGGGCATGTCTCCCGTCTCGAGCAGTAAGAAAAGGAGGACGGAAGGCTTCGTGCCGTGCAGGGAATTTCGCTCAAATCGACGCGAGAAGAAGCTTCCCCGAGATACCACTCACCGCTGCTGCGCCTTTGCCGCTGGCAGCGCGCGCATGCTGCAGCTGCTGGGAGCTCCAGCGGCTCGTCTGCTGCTGGTGCGACCAATCCTTAAGGCAGCAGCGCAGGAGCAGCTCGATACGCTTGTGGCAGTCGTGAGCAGCGTCTTTCCGGAGGTGGAGCAGCAGCAGCAAGAACAGAGAGAGCAAGAGCAACAGCAGCAACGGCGCCAGCAAGAGCAACAGCAAGAGCAGCAAGAGCAGCAGCAAGAGCAGCAATTGCAGCAGCCGAAGCGGCAGGCAGTGGAGAAGATCGAGGCACTGGCGAGTCGCGCGCAAATTCCAGCACCGGCTGCGGCGTCTCTACGCGAGAGAAATCTTGTCGCTGCAGCAGCAGCGCATGCGCAGATAGGAGGCAGAGCAGCGACAGCGGCAGCTGCCCTTAAGACGCTGTCTGCGATGCTGCCCTTTCCTTCTGCGGCAGCGTTTCACGCTGCGCTTGTCTCCCGAAGCCTCGTCGACTCTCTGCACGAGCAGCAGAAGCAGCAAACGGAAAGCTGCAGCAGCAGCAACAGCTGCAGCTGCTTAGACTGCGTGGCAAGGCAGCAGCAGCAGCGGCTGCTTGTGGGCTTCGTGCCGCCTCGCCATGCGCTGCTTTTGCTGCAGCATCTTGCAGAAACAGCGACTGAGACAGCAGCAGCGGGAGGCTCCAGTCGGAAGGCTGCAGGCTGCAGCGACCACTCCCCTCGCGTGGATGCAAAGGCAGCAGCAACAGCTGCAACTGCTGCAGCCACAACTGCTGCTGCTGCTGCAACTGCTGCTCAGCAGCTGCTGCTGCAGCTAGAGGCGTGTGCTGCTGACAACAAGGAGCGACTCAGCCGCACGGCATTCTTGTGCGTTTTCAGGATATGCAAACCTCCAGCGACAGAGTCACAAGGAGGGGCAGTTCTGCCTTCGGAAGCTCCCCCCGAAGGCGATGCAGCTACGTCAGCACAAGGCAGAATGCCTTCGGCATCAGCTCGAACCGCGTTCAAGGCTGCGCAAGAAGCGCTGGCGAAAGACGTGACTTTGCAAGCGTTTCTCCTCTTTGGCTTTGGGGATGTTGCTGCGACAGAGCACAGCAGAATTAGCAGCAGCAACAGAAGCAGCAGCAGGCACCTGACCAGCTGGAGATGCTTGACAGTTGCCTTGGTAGAATCTGTGCTGCAGCCTGACTTGAGCAGCCTCCACAGTTATCTCAGGTTCGTGAACGGAGGCACTGCTCTCCTTTACAGTTTGCTGCTTGCCGCTAAGCTGCTCGGCTGCCCCTTAAACACCTGCAAAAAGAGAGGGGATGCAGCTTTACAGCTGCTGCACAGCTGCATAGCTGCATAGCGCGTCTGAAAACTTTTTCGATATTGTTCTCGGGGTAGTTTACACAAAGCAGACAGAGAGGGGAGAGGCGTGCTGCTTTGCGGCTGCTTTTTCGCGATGAAGAGTTGTTTCTCTCTCTTGCTCCTTCTTTCTTTCCCTCTATCTCTTTTTCTCTCTCCTTCTCTATCTCTCTCCCTCTCCCTCTCTCTCTCCTTCTCTGTATCTCTCTGTTTTGCGTGTTTACCGCCACTGGCAGCTTTGCCATGTGCTGGTGATGCTGCGTCTCTTGTTTGTCACGTGCTGCAGCAGACGCGCAGAGGCTTCTGCGCTGTGCGGAGGTTCAACTGCCGTTTGTCGCTTACTGCAGAGTCTGCAGCTGCATCAGGAGGTGCGGGAACGTCGGTCTATTCGTCTACAGAGGAAGGCTTCGCAGACTGCAGGCAGTGTTAGCAGCAGCAGTTACAACAGCGGCAAGCAGCGCATGCAGCCTCTCGATTCCTGCCACGCGATTGGAGGTGTGCGAGCTCCCCCCTCATTTGCTGCTGCCTTCTTCAAAAGCCTCCTTCTGCGAGGAGCCTTTTTCGAACTAACAACTCCTCCGCTCTGGTGCCTGCTGTCTGTTTGTGATGGTGCTTGCTTCTGCAGCCATAGTCATTTTCGCCGCAACTGAGGCACTCCAGCACCCTGCCGCTGCTGCCCCCTACAAAGTGCTCTCCCACTTCTGTCTGGAGGCTTTGAGGCTGACTGCAGCTGCAGCAGCAGCAATGCGTCAGAACGGCGTTTCTGCTGCATCCAAGAGGGCACACGATGCAGACGCAAAGATTCAAGCAGCAGCGGCTGTCACGGCAGCAAAGGCTTTGGAAGCTGCAAAAATGCTTGCTCAGGAGCAGCCACTGTTAAGGAAACATCTCGCAGTTGCCTTTCACCTCGTGGCACCTGCAAGACCATCAATGCCAATCTGCAACCTGTGAGATTACCGTTAGCAGCACTGGCTGATGCCAGTGCTTCTAGTGCTAATGCTGCTGTCTTGTTAGCGACGCTGTTTCTTCTCTCTGCCACGCATGCGGGAGAGGCGCGTCGAATTTGTGGCTGCATCGGATCTGCGGCGTCCAAAGGAATGCAATTTTCGCGCGAAGCTTGAAAAACACGTTCCTCATTCTCAGACACGACGTGCAAGGGTGTTTTTCTGGTGGAGCTTTTGCGTCTTTTGTTTGCTCTCAGGTTGCTGCTGCGAATACGGCAAGGCATCTCCGTCTACGAGGCAGCCGACACGTATGCGCCTCACATTTGGCAGGTCCGTGCCTCCTCAGACAGCACGCCAGAAGCCGCAGCAGACAGCTGGTCTTGTAGAGTCGCGGCAGCTCTCCTGCTCTTCATCAGCGACTGTACTGAAGGCGCAGAAGAGGCAACGCTGCAGCAGCAAGAGCAGCAGCAACAGCAGCAGCAGCAACAAGAGCAGCAGCAAGAGCAGCAGCAGCAACAGCAGCAGCAGCCGCTTCAGCCTGCAAGCAACGAGGTTCGCTAAGTAACACATGCAATGCATGCATGCACACAGCAGACACTTGACAAGGCAATGCGCTAGCCACACCCTTTCACCACACGCTGCTGCGGCTGCACAGGAAAGGGAGGCTTTTGAGTGTGTTGCGGTTGTGCTGCTAAGGACCCTTCTGCGGCGAGTTTCGAAGCCACGCATCGCCAGCCCAAAGGAAATGCATTTTATAGAGAACAACAGCAAAGACAGCCGCGGAGGCAGGAGGAGAAGGAAGAAGAAGCGGAGCAGGCATACCAGCCAAGGCAGCCACACGAACAGCAGCACAGGCAGCCGCATGAACGGCAGCAAAGGCAGCCGCATGAACGGCAGCAAAGCCTACACGCTGTGGGGTTGTATAAGGCAGCAGCTCTACTAGTGTTTGTTAGTCCGTCGCTCGCGCGAATGCTTTTGCCGCTGTTGTTGCTGTCTGTGCTGAGCAGCGGCGGAGATGAAACTGCGAGGAAACTTGCTGCTGCGCTTAACCAGCATGTGTTTCAACCCTTGAGAGGAGCCGAACATGAGCAGCAGGAGCAGCGTCAGCAGCCATCGGTGTGGAAGGCGCAGCGTTTGATAGCGGCAGTCTGCCTGGAGGCTGTCGAGTTCGTGAGGCGTCAGTGCTGCTCTGCCGATCGCTCGGGAGGAGGAGCTGCAGCTGCAGCAGGTGCAGCTGCCAGTGGGGGAGCGTCTGTCTGCTCTTCTTCGCTGCGCTTCTTACCCCAGCAGTATCGCCGCTGCCTGAGCACGTTCTGGGAGTCTTTCGACTTCGAGAGCGCAGCTGCTGCGGCGCTTGTCTTAGGTCGTTCTGCAACTGCAGTTTTGTTCGCCGAGCAGCAAATAATTCGGCTGTACGGCGACACTGCAGCTCCTCTGCAGCAAGGACGCCTTGCGCTGGTGGCGGAGGCGCAGCAGCAGCAGCAGCAGCAGCAAGGCAGTCTGGCGGCGGCACTGCTGCCTGCTCCGCCCCCGCCTCTGTTGCTGCTGCTGATTCGCGCGCATGCAGCTGCAAACGCAGTCGATGCAGCAGCAGCGCACCGCTGTCTGGAGGCGTGGCACGCTCCTGCAGTGCTGCTGGAAAAAGCGGAGGTGTGCGGGGATGCTTTGGATTCCTTGTCGCTCATAAACGTGCAGCGCGAGACAGCGCTCGTGCAGCAGCTATCCACGCCTTGCCAAGTCTCCCTTCGCACGGAGACGCTCGGAAAGGCGCTCCCTCCTGCGCTGTCTGCCGAGACAGCAGCCGCTATTCCACAAGCGCTGACACGACTAGGGCTGCATGGTCTGCTGAGCGACTTTTTGGAGAAGGGGAATTCTCTCCCTCTTCCGATGCTGCTCTCGGCAGCCTGCGGCAGGCACGCATGCTTGCGCAGTGCAGGGGGGGCGCCTGCTGCTGCAGCAGCAGCAACAACGGCAACGACAACAGCAGCAACAGCAGCAACAGCAACAGCAGCAACAGCAACAGCAACGGGAGTTTCCCTCAGAATGGAGGAAGAAAGAGACGGCGTAGCGCAAGCCACCGTCTCCACAGGAACGTCTGCGTGGATGCAGCACAAAGCCGCATGTCTGTGGCGTCTGAGACTCTGGAAAGACGCTTTGCAGTCTGCTCCTGCCACTGGTGCTGCTGCTGCTGCTACTATCGACCGCGCAGAAGCCGCGTTTGGAGAGACTGATCGCAAGATCCCCCCCTCGAATGCCTTGCTGCTGCTCAGCAGCAGCAGTCTGCCTCGAGGCGAAAATGCAGCTTCCCACCTTTCTGCCGCATTAGTTCTGCAGCAGCACGCCGTGCAAAGTCTACGACAGGGAGCCTCACCTCGTGCTGTAGCTGCGCTGCATCGCGCCGCAGCAGCAGCCGCTGAAAGATCCCTCAAGGCTGCTTTGCAGCAGCTGCAAGATGGCCATGTGCTCACAGAACCTGCGGAGGAGGCTATGCGCAATCTCTTGCAGTTGCGCATGATGCGCGCTGGATCGGCTGCTGTTGCTGCAGAGCGTTCTGGTGCGTCGACGTTTGCTGCTGTTGCTCCTGCTGCTGCTCCTGCTGCTCTTGCTGCTGACACTTCTCAGCGCCTCCCTCTACGCCGGCTAGTGTTGTCTTGTGTTGTCTTGTGTTGTGTTTTCTCGTGGTACTTCTACTGCTGCTCTGCTAATGCTGCTGGTGCTGTTGCTTTTGCTGCTGGTGCTGTTGCTTTTGCTGCTGGTGCTGTTGCTTTTGCTGCTGGTGCTGTTGCTTTTGCTGCTGGTGCTGTTGCTTTTGCTGCTGGTGCTGTTGCTTTTGCTGCTGCTGCTGTTGCGTTTGCTGCTGCTGCTCTGCTAATGCTGCTGCTGCTGTTGCTTTTGTGGGGTTCGCAGCGTGCCTCGCGCTGCTGCAGCACGAGTGGCAACACGATCTGCTGGCAGCAGTTGGTGCGAGATTTGCATCTTCCGAGAAGGCTTTTGCTGACTTCATCGAGCCTATGGGAGCACTTCAGGTGGCTGCGCTTAGCGCGTGTCAGAGGGAATGTTTCGCAGGTGCAGCAGCAGCGACAGCAGCAGCGTCTGAGGAATCCAGGGAAGACGAGAATGTATTTGCTGCAGCAGCAATTGCGCGGCACATGCGAACTCTTGGAAGCGCTGCCAGAGACTGCGGCGCCTTGAGGCACAGTCGCCACTGGCTCCTGCTAGCTGAGAAGACACTGCAGTGCCAGCTGCAGCAGCTGCAGGAGAAGCTGTCCATGCATTCTCTGCAGCGCCAGTCTATGCAACAGCAGCCTGTGAGCCAACAGCCCATGGATCAACAGCCTCTGCACCACCAGGATTTCCCACAAGTGCATGCGCTCCTGTGTTGCGATCTTTTTGTGACGGAGTGGGAGGTTGCGAAGACGTTGCATGCCGCTGGCGATGTCTACAGAGCGCTTCATCTGGCTCGCCGTCTTTGCCAATCGTCGGCATGGCCCTTTAGCTTCAAGCAGCTGCTGCACACCCCCCCTCCTGCGACGGCGGCTCCCTCTGCGCAGCAGCCTTCCTCCGCGACAGCGGCAGCGGCTGTGGGATTTTCGGTCCGACGAGCGGAGTTTCTGTCCGCCCTCTGCAAGTGTTTGTGTTGCTGCGGGGAGTGGCTGCACAGCGGCAGCTTCATAGGGGAGGAAGAAGCGCGAAAAGGATTCTTTTCTCTGGCAGTGGCTGTGGCGCCCTTTGTCTCTTCGGTGGCTCCGCATCAGCGACTCGCTCAGCTGCTGGATAAAACCATGGAGGCGCTGCCTGTGAGTGCTTCGGATCTGCAGGGAGAAGACGTTCTGCTTCAGCAGCAACAGCAACAGTTGCTGCTGCAGCGGAGAAGGAGACTCGCCGCAGACGCCGTAGCCCTCTACGCCCACTGTCTTCGCGACAGCAATCTGCCGCACGCAGCGCGCACCACTGGCCGTCTGCTGTCTCTCTGGTTCTCCTACGGAGCCTCAGTGCCTCAAATCAGCCTTTCGATTCGGAGAGCTCTCGCCTCCGAGGAAGCCTCCGCTGCAGCGGCTGCTGCAGAGGCTGCAGGGGGTGCCTCGCCTGTGGTAGCTGCAGCGGCAGCTGCCGTTCCCACGACGCTGAGACTCAGACGCTCTGCGGATCTCAAGCATCTGCTGCCCTTCGTTCCGCAGATCGTCTCGCGGCTAGCGCTCGACGAGACGCTGCAGCAGCAGCCGCCAGAAGGGAGTTTCCAGCTGTCTCTACGGGAGGTTCTGATGGCACTGACACGGCGAGCGCCCTTCAGCGTGCTGCTGCCTCTCATCGCCATGGAAAGAAGCGATGCGACTCCCGCCTCTGCCTCTTCTGCCTATAGACGCACGAGCAAAACTGTAGAGGAACGCAGCTGCAGCAGCAACGCGAAGGCTGCGGGGTGTCTCCTCAGGCAGATTGCGGCGCTTGCACCTGCCCTCAACGCCGCCACGCGGGCGGCGGCAGCCGTTGCGACATTCTACGAAGACATATGCCTCCTCAAGGAGGCGGATGTGCAGCAGCAGCAGCAGCAACATAAGCAGCATCAGCAGCAGAAGCAGCAGCTGAAGGCCCCTCTTTCGCGGCGTGCTGCTGGAAGGCGTGGAGGGGGAGGCATGGGAGCTGCAGCGCATGCAGCACAGGCTTTGCCAGAGGGCGTGTATTTGGCTTCTTCTGCGGCAGCAAGTGCAGACGCAGCTGTGTCTGCGAATGCGTTGCTAGCTTTCGTGCGGAGTCTTCCATCGTACAAGGCTGCGTTGGCGTTGGCACGAAGGGGGATTCTGCCCGTTCCTACGGCAGCTGCGCGACTGGAAGCGCAGCATCCGTTTCCTTTTCTGGAGATGTCTTCGCCCCTCTCGCAAGTGCATGCAAGAGGCTGCTGCTCTGCAGCCTCCGCAGCAGCGGGAGAAGGCGCGTTGAGGCGCTATGCGGATGCGGCTTTGGAGTGTCTTTCTGTGAGCAAGGAGGACGAGCTGGAGGTGGATGTGAGCTTCCTCGGCACTGGCGTCACACGGCCTAAGGTTCTTAAGTCGGTGTCTCTGAGCGGGCAAGTACATCGAGAAGTCTGCAAGCAAGACGACTTGAGGAGAGATCGCGTCGCCGAGCAGCTTTTCGCCCTTCTGAATCATGCGTTTGCGGCGGCTGCAGCCTCCAAAGATGCAGCTCCAGCTGCAGCGCTCAGTCTCAGTACTTACGCAGTAATCCCTTTTTCGCCTTTCTGCGGCGTGCTGGAGTGGGTAGATGACGCTGTTACACTGGGTGAGTATCTCGTGGGATCTGGAGGAGGCGCAGCAGCAAATGCAGCAGCGAATGCAGCAGCAGACACAGAGCGACCTGCAGACGCGTACGCAGCGACAGCAGCAGCAAATGCAGCAGCAGCAGCTGCAGCAGCTGCTGCTGCACACAGACGCTACAGACCTAAGGACTGGACTCCCCAATACTGCAGAAAGCGAATGACTGAAGCTCGAGCAGCAGCCATGAAGGAAGCCGCTGTGCTGCAGCAGCAGATGCAGCAGCAACAGCAGCAGCAGCAACAGCAGATGCAGCAGCAGCAACAGCAGATGCAAGGAGCTCCTGCAGTCTCCGCACCTGCTGCTGCTGCCTCCGCTGCTCGCGAGTTGCTCAATAAGCGGCTTCTAGAGGCTTTTGAGGAGGTGTGTCGCAATTTCCGCCCTGTTCTCTCACATTTCTTCCTCGAAGCCTCCCCTTCAGCGTCTGTCTGGTTTGCTCGGCGTCTTTGCTACCGTCGCTCGCTCGCTGCAGCCTCTATCGTTGGCTTTGTTGTGGGGCTTGGAGATCGCCACCTCAACAACATTTTGCTGGATAGAGAGACGGGCGCCTTCATTCACATTGACTTCGGAGTGATGTTCGACCTGGGAACGCTTCTCCCCATTCCAGAAACCGTCCCCTTTCGTCTCACCAGAGACATCCTCGACGCCTTGGGGTGTCTTGGCACGGAGGGACCGTTCAAGGAAGACTGCTGCCTTGCTCTACAGCTTCTGCGGCTCAACGCACCCCTCGTGATCTCCGTGCTCGAAGTGCTGCTGCTAGATCCTCTCTATGCGTGGAGGAAAGTCGACAAGACGGTGCAACAGCAACAACAGCTGCAACAGCAGATGCAGCAGCAGCAACAGCAGATGCAGCAGCAGCAGCAACAGATGCAGCAGCAACAACAGCAGATGCAACAGCAGCAACAACAGATGCAGCAGCAGCAACAACATCTACTTCAGAATAAGGGTCAGGAAATCGTTTTTGCTTGCACTTACGCGTCTTCCTGCCCCTCGGTAGCATTGCAAGTCTAGAGGATTTCGCGCCTCAGCGCGAGCCCTCGAGCCAGAGAGGGGGGAAGGAGACATGGAGACTTGTTGCAGCTTGCGTGATGGCGCTTTGCTGCAGGAAACACGAGAGGAGGGGGCGGCTCCTCCTCCTCTATTCGCGAAGGCAATCGAATGGCCATGCAAGCCATTCTCAAGGTAAGGCTTTCGAGTGGAGGCGTCCAGCATTGAAAGTTTCTTCGGAGCTTCTGAGGCAAATGCAGCGGAGCTTCTAGGGCTGTTTTGTCTCGCCTGGGGAGAGGCAGAGGGAGGAGAGCTAAAGCTGGCTGCCTGCCTGCCAAGCAACGTTTGCACGGGGGAGGGGGAAAAAGACTCTCCTAAGCCTGTGCTGTGAGCGATTGTTGTGCGTCGGCGTGCGTGTAATATCGTGCATGCATGCAGGTTCGAAGCAAGCTTCAAGGATTCGACAGAGAAGGGGAGGCCCCCTTGTGTATAGCTGCGCATGTCGACCGACTTCTTAACACAGCGCAAAATCCGGAGAACCTCTCACGCCTCTTTGCTGGCTGGATGGCTTGGGCATAGTGCGCGCGTCTCACGGCCGTCTCTAGCCAGACAGAAAGCCTTAAAATTCGCAGTGCTGCCTTTTTTCACGCCTCGAACAGCCTTCGAGCAGACCCAGTTGGCACACACTGCTTTTCCCAGAGACTGCATGTCTAGTCGCTTGCGCTCCAAGACGTCGGCGGCAGAGCAGTTTTTCCAGAATTTATGCGTGTGTCATGCGAGGCTGCACACACCTGAGGCGGTCCTAGGCGGCCAGTATATATATATACATACATATATATATATATATCTACGTGTATTTGTCTGTGTGTAGATGCTTTTATGAACATACATACATATATATGATAGGTATATAATATATACACATCTATGCAAAAAATATATATATAAGTATATGTACACCCTCTTCGAGAGACGCGCGATATTGCATCGTGAAGCATGCGAAAAATAGGGTCAAACCACGGATAACAAGCGTCCATTACAGGCCCCACTGATCAGTAGGATCAGGAGACTCAGACCGCCAGTGTGGCTGCTGCACAGGAGAGGAAGGGCACTTGCCAGATGTGTGGCTGCGCTCTATTCTCCCTGCTGCAAGCGTTTGCTGCTTTGGCTCTCTCCACAGACTCCGTAGGCATAGATAGAAAAGACGCTAGAAACAGCGTTATCCGCGTTGGCAAAAAGGCCCTCCAGGCAGCTCCGAAGCACGTCTTGCACTGCACAACAAATCCTTTGACACCATGATTCAGCAGCGGGGGAAATTGCTCGACTTGGCTTTCCTTTCCTTGTACTTGACGCAGAGGAGGAGATAATTATTGGTGCCCTCCTGCTGCGCGGTGCGTGCATGTGGCACGCTGCACTCCTTGCGCGAATGCATGCACGGAATGTTCTAATAAGAGCTCGTCTTCTCGCATGCCCCTGCACGTGTGTGTGGGCGTGTGGTTTTTCTCCACCTGTGGCTGTTCTTCCTTTTATTGACGAGCTTAAGAAAGGCGACACGAGACACGTTTTCTCCAGGAGGCACACACAGCGCCTTTCTTCCACGTGGTTGTGCGAGAGTGAGAGTGAAATTTTCTTGGAGCAGCAGTTCCAGTAGGGGGGTGGGGGTGGGGAGAAGATGGAGAGAGCAGGAGCGTTCGGCGGAGGGAAGGACGTCCCCCCTTCCGCAGCCTACGCTCTGTGACGCGTAGGGAACCGAATCGCGCATGTCAGTATCTCCACCACTAGTTCCATCTGGTTGCGGATTGGCAAAGACGCCGTCAGGGGGCTTGGTTGTGCGTATCCTCTACTTTGTGCAGAGGAGCTTTCCTTTACGCATTCCGATGAGGATCACTCCTGTGTGTGTGTATGAGTGCGTTACGGAGTGCCGCTAGCTGCAGCTAGCGGTGCATGAGCACCACTGCGCTTTACCAGCCTCCGCGATTTCTGGCCTCATGTCAAGACTATTTTCAGGGGTGTGAGAAGAGCAGGGGCCTGTCTGTAGTGCCTCATGACGCACCACGACGCGTGGGTAAGTATTTGCTTTTCAGGTTTGTGCTGGGTGTGCGGCTAAACGAATTTCCGATGCAACCCTCTAAGGAGCAACGCTGCATTACGCGCTGTGTAGTGGTGTGTCTCGTTCTCTTGCCCTAGAGGCCGTCATCAGCGGCAGTAAGTCAACAGTAACTTCGAACCACCCCAGTTGCGTCAACAGTAACTTCGAACCACCCCAGCAGCGTCAACAACGACAAGGCTTCCCCCAGCCACCCCTTCGGCATATTCTAGGGAGGCTTTGAAAAATAAGTCGCCTCGCTGCAGCAGCAGCAGCCGCGCGGCAAAGTGTTGAACGGCGCGAGCAACCCGAGGTGCTATGACCACGCGTCACACGGTGCGTTCCGGCTGCAGCAAAATGGCTTAGGACTATATATTGCACAAGACATGTATGCACACACAAATGTAGACACACCCTCACACATATACACAGAAGCAGCCCTCCTAAGAGCAGCCGTCAGATCGCGGATTCAATTCGTAGCGACGGCATCGGGCAGTAGATAGACGCGGGCAACTCCTGCGTGCGGTTCTGCGTGCATCCAGAGGCTTGCAACTATGATAGTGATCATTCTAGACAAAGAAAGAAGCGTGTTTACAAAGTCTAGCTTCGACAGATGTCTCCAGAAGCCGTTTATCTGGGCAGTCGTCGTCGGGTGGGGCCCCCCTCCGAGGATGCAGAGGGGGCCCCCTCCTTCTCGGACTGTGTAGAAAGGACTAAGAGGGTGTTGCCCTTTTGGCAGCCTTGACGCATGCATATTGTTTTTGCGCCTCTAGAGTGTGTTTATTTTGGGGGGGAGGGGGGCGGATGCTTTGGATGTGCAGTGTCTGTCTGCGTTCTGGGAGAGGCAGTTCATAAGAAGGGCACAGCACGCGTCTGCGCGCTACTCCTTGTTTGGCAGCAGGGAAGCCGAAAAACTCCTCGGATGGGGTGGCTTTTATGGCAGGAGGGAGTCTCAGTAGTGGAGAACAAGAAAGGCTGGCAGGAAGATGAGTGAGGGGATGTGCGTCGATCTGACGGGGGATTCAGGAGACGAGGAGGAGGGCAGCGTGGCGAATGGGGGGGGCCCCCCGGGGGCCCCTCGCCATCCGCGAGAGATCGCGTCTGCGTCTGGATTCGATGAGGACGGTGAAGAATCGGAAAACGAGGCAGCAGAGGAGGAGGAGGCGGGGTATGTGCGAACAGCGCTGCGCAGGGGGCAGGGGGATGAGGAAGGCGAGGAGGATGCTGAGGAGGAAGAAGGGGGTGGAAATCTCGATTCCGAAGATGCTACCACTGATGAGAAGGGAGGAAGGGGGGAGGGAGAAGGAGGCTTAGTAACGGAGGAAGAAGAAGATGAGGAAGAAGAAGATGATGAGGAAGAAGAAGAGGAAGATGAGAAAGAAGAAGAGGAAGAGGAAGAAGAAGGTGATGAGGAAGAAGATGAAGATGATGGCGAGGACGAGAATGGCAGGCTGGATTCTTATGGACGGGAAAGAGCAAGAAGAGGAGCCTGCAGAAGGCGCTTTGTAAACAGAGAGAGAGGCGCAGCAGAATCAACGCGCACAGACAGAAAAGGAGCGGAGGAAGGAGAAGTCGAGGAAGGTCTGAGCGAGGCAGAAGAAGGCGCAGAAGACGATGAAGTCTCAGAAGAAGCGGCGTCCAATGAAAGGACGGAAGGAGAGGATCAAGAAGAAGAGGAAGAGGAAGAAGAAGAGGAAGAAGAGGAAGAAGAGGAGGAAGAAGAAGATGAACAATCGGCAGCAGGAGCAGGAGGAGGAGCAGCGGCGAAGGATGGCTTTGACGAGGCAGAGGTGGACGCAGAAGCTCAGAATGAGGAAGAGAACGATTTTGATTCCAAGGCATCGAAGCCAAGGGGACGGGCGGTGTTGGAAAAGGGGGAGAGCCATCTGGAAGGGGGGAGATCTTTGGCGAACGAGCATGCGGATCGGAGCGTCACAGCCTCAGCCGGAGAAGGGGAGACTTCGAGCCAGCAGGGAGAGCAGAAGGAAGCGCTTGGCGGATTGCTAGCCGAGAGAGGCGTCGATGGCAGCAGCCACCACGATCATGTCTCAGAGTCATCAGCAACGACAGGTCGCACCAGCAACAGCAGCAGCAGAAGCAGTAACAAGACTACGGGGGATAGCGAAAGTGGAAGCTCTTCGTCCTTTTCCCAGGAGTCGTGTGAAAAGCAGCGTCAAGTGCAACAGCGGGATCTAAGCAGCAGGCAAGCCACGGATCAGGCAGTGAGCGATGACGCGAGCGATGCATGCAGCTCTGTGCAGAAAAATCAGATGCAGCAGATGCAGCAGATGCAGTTGCTAGCAGCCGAAGAGCGTCCACGCGAAGTTGAGTGTTTTTCGTTTCTTCCAAGCATCACAATGGCAGAAGTGGCAGCTGCCCGCGCAGACGTTGCAGAGAGCCGTATCAACAGCAGCAGCAGCAGCGAGAGCAGCAGCAAGAGCAGCAGTAATGCCGGTGAGGTTTTGTACGGTGAGGTTAGGAATTACATCAGAACTGCCACTGCGCGAGCACTGGAGTTCAGCAGGAAGAAGCATCAGCAAGTGCTCCTAGAACTGCAGAGGGGGACGGTTTCGCGGGCTGTCTCTACAGCAGGAGTGAGAGGCTTCGCCGAAGAAACAGCCTCTGCAGTAGTCGCTGCAGCATCTGAAAACACGCAAGAATCGCATGTTTCTCCTGGCTGCCTAGAGGCCCCTCCAGATGACGCCATACAGAGAGTCTCTGCCGCCTTTACGCAAGCGCTCGCGGGAGAAAAACAAGACTTCACAAGGTGCAAAGAAGCAAAAAAAATGTAGTAGCAGCAGTAGGAGAACTGGCTTCAACACTAGTCTAAGCACTAGCCTTTCCACTCCCACTACCACTAGAACCATTACCACTAGCCTTAGCCTTAGCACTAGAAGTAGCAGCAGGAGCACGAAGGAAAGAGGGAGGGAGAGCCTTGTGCATGCAGCAAGTTCTTTAGAACGCGTGTGTGTCGCTGTGGGTCCGTCTGCAGCAACAAGCTCGTTGAAAAGACATATGGCCGTCCAAAGCGATCCTGTACAGTTGTTGCAGATACCCTTCCAAGAAGCACATGGCAGATGCCTTCAATCACTCTGTAGCAGCAGCACGTAGCCGAGTCGTGGGGAGACGTCTGGAGGACTTACGCCAATCAGATGGACGGTTTTTGTGTATGTGTGTATGTGTATGTGTATGTGTATGTATATGTGTATGTGTGTGTATATGTATCTGTGTGTGTGTGTATGTGTGTATGTGTATGTGTATGTGTATGTATGTGTATGTGTGTATATGTGTGTATGTATATGTATCTGTGTGTGTATGTGTATGTGTGTGTATGTGTATCTGTGTGTGTATGTGTGTATGTGTGTATGTGTATCTGTGTGTGTATGTGTATGTGTGTATATGTGTATCTGTGTGTGTATGTGTATGTGTGTATATGTGTATGTGTATGTGTGTGTATGTGTATGTGTATGTATATGTGTGTATGTGTATGTATATGTGTGTATGTGTATGTGTATGTATATGTGTGTGTATCTGTGTGTGTATTTGTATGTGTATGTGTATGTGTGTATGTGTATCTGTGTGTGTATGTGTATATGTGTATGTATATGTATCTATGTGTGTATGTGTATGTGTGTGTATGTGTATGTATATGTGTGTATGTGTATCTGTGTGTGTATGTGTATGTGTGTCTATGTGTATGTGTGTGTATGTGTATGTGTATGTATCTGTGTGTGTATGTGTATGTGTATGTGTGTGTATGTATATGTGTATGTGTGTGTGTGTGTATGTGTGTGTATGTATATATATATATATGTGCTGCAGACGAGAATTGCTATTTTCTGGAGATGGTTGGCGGTAACAGCAGCAGCGCATGCTCGTATGAAGAAGGGGGGAGTTCTGATGATGAGCTGTCTCGATGCAGCAGCAGCAGCAGCAGCAGCAGCAGCAGCAGGAAGCGGCGTGCAGCGACAGAAGAGACGCTGATGCGACTGCAGCAAACTGCTGCGGAGCGATCGCGTCTTACGGAGGCTTTAGGCGGCCCTCTAGCTGCACTGAAGCTTCGCTGTAGACTTTCGTGTCTCACACAAGGCAAGCGTTGCAATCCCCCGTAGCAGTGCAGCAACAGCAGCCCACTTAGACGCAAAACATCCTCTACCGTTCGCGTCTCCCTGCACTTGCCTCCCTCAGAGCAACAATTGGAGCTCCTCCTCGAGATCGCTGCCAGAGACGCTTCCCTCAAGCGCTTCGTAAGGCAGCACCAGACAGCAAAACTCCTCCTCAGCAGCATTACACTGAGACATAGCAGGGGAGAGAGGGGGGTGAAGGAGGGCATGCATGCAGGCAGGCAGGCAGGCATGCAGGCATGCATCCCCTTGGAAGGTCGTCTAATGCACAAGTTTCTGCAGTTCTCTGTGTACCCCGTACTCTTTATACACGTGCAACTCTCTTTACACCTGCGACTCTCTTTACACGTGCAACTCTTTATACACGTGCGACTCTTTGTACCCTCGCAACTCTTTGTAGACTCGCAACACTCTGTATACCCGCGACCATATCCTCGCAACTCTTTATACCCTCGCAACTCTGTACACACTTGCAACTCTGTATACACCTGCGACTATACACTTGCAGCTCTTTATACCCTCGCAACTCTGTATACACCTGCGACTCTTTATGCACCTGCAACTATACACTTGCAGCTCTTTATGCCCTCGCAACTCTTTATATTCTCGCAACTCTTCATACTCCTGCGACACTGTATACCCTCACAACTCTTTATACACTTGCAACTCTTTATACCCTCGCAACGCCGTATGCCCTCCCAGCTTTCTATACACCTGCAACTCTTTATGCACTTGCAACTCTTTATGCACTTGCAACTCTTTTTACACCTGCGACTCTCTGTACATATTGTGCGCTTCTGAACAGGTCGAGAAGAGAGGCGCTGCCTTAGGATTCAACGTTCCCCCCTTATAACCGCTGCCCCCTTCCTGGAACCAGCCACACGTGCTGCTGGGATCCGCTCGCGACAGGCTTGTGCCTTACTGAGTGGCTAAATAGTGTTTCCTAGTGATACGCAAACTCCTGTCTTGTAGCTGCTTCTAATGCCACGCACATGCGCTACTCCCGGCGTAAGAAGCCTTGAAAAAAACGCCGTTGAAAAGACGCCGCAGCAGCAGCTGCCCAACCTGCAGCCACCTCTCTGCCTATTGTCACTTTCCACTTCTTCCCTATACGCCAGTGCAGTGTTATAACCCTACTTAATCGCTCCACTACGCGTTTAAAACAGTTCAAAGTGTGTAACTGCAGGTCTGCCCCTCGCTACCAGCTGTAGTGCCTCCCGGTGGAATCACGCCTCCTACACAGAGAGGAGGGATCTGTACATACAGCCCGTGCGCCTGTCTCGAGTGCGCGGTCTTAAGAAGCGTCCACCTCTATAGCCGACAGAGCATCCGCTATTTAAAAGGCGGGGGGTGTAGCTCCCCGATCGTGATCTGCGCAAAGCCTCCATCTAACTGTGTGTGAGTGTGCCCTGTGCCACTCCATACCCCTGCCACTCTCCCTCCCTCTGTAAGTAGAGGACCAGGCTTCGTATTTGAAATGCTCCGTGTCGTTGTGAAGACAGCGCAAGCGCGCGCTACTGCCGCACAGACTTGCCTCGGTGATTCTCTCCCCAACCATCTCAAAAGATATATGCTCAAACAACACTTTAGCCCTCCAAGGGGGGTCAGGCAGCGCCTTGCCGCAATATATGAAGGCTTCACGGCTGCAGAGAAGACGCCGAGAGAGGCACACGCAGGAGAAAGCTGCTACACAGCTCCTCCTTCCCCTCTCTCCCTCCCAGAAGAAGCAGCGTGTTTCGCACCTGCCTCCTCGGCTGACAATGCCACCCTCCGCCTCGTGCGCATGCAGCCGCCTCAGGGAATATCGAGGAGCTTCTTGATGGTGATGACGGTTCGCCAGTCTGCCTGCGCCCAAGCACGCGGGAAGAAACACCCCAGAAGGCCTTCTGCCAAACGGCGTTGAAAAGAAAAAACCTTCTACAGGCGCGCAGGAAAGAGAGGCCACTTAAATGCATACAAAACACGAACACACATGCATGCACAGATAAACACACAAACAAAAAATGTGTCCAAAGCACATCGCGACCACAGGCGCATGTAAAACGAGACGGCAGATCAACAGCCTCTTTCCCCCGCAGAACACAATCCCTCTTCGCTTTTTTCCCGTCTTGCAACGCACTTTGGAAAGCTCATCCCTGAAGTGCTCTTTCAGACAGTCGATGGAGTTTCGCGTCAGGCGGCTAACGAGCTTGTTCTTAGCCTCGAAGTGCCTGCCAGCCATCACATTCGGCTCGCCGACAATCTTAATGCAAACCTCCATACCAGTTGTCGCAGAATCTACTGGCTTCCTGTTGTGCTCAACAGACGCCACAGTGCCAATGCGGAGATCCTGCATAGATCAAGCAATAGGCAGCAAACACGAGACACCCGGTACGCGCGATTTGCAGCAACGGCTGGGCTTGGAACTGCACGACTCGCAGACAAACACTGTGCAGCAGCAATGCCACACCACATCTCGCTAAAACGTTTCTGCCTCATTACAAGACCGACGCGCATAGACCCCACCCCCACCTCTGGAAAGCATGCCTTTCCTAGTTGAAGACAGACTAGGAGGAAAGCACCGAAGATGGCGGTTAGATGTTGATATGTATATATGTATATGCATTGGCTAAAGAAGCCTGGTTTCGGGGTATTCTGATACCAGAAGACACAGGGGTGTGTCTGAGTGTGCTATTTGCCACAGCGCAGGGGCAAAACTTCTCCGCTTACCTTCTCTGGCACGCAGAGGGGAGTGCCAACCTTCAGAATACCCTCATCAACAAGCACGCCGAGCACAATAGGATCCTTTTTGTTGAAAATATACTGAGGCAGCACCGTCAAAATGCACGGGAAGACGGCTTCCTGTCCGACTTCCTTCCTGCAAGACAGCCCACAGAGCGCGCCGAGCAGCGCGGCTGCAGCGAACGCGTTTCTCTCGCTTTTGCATTGCGGCGAGATTGGCTAAAGAACACGACACACTGCCTTCCCTTCTCCCACCCCCAGACTACTCTCGGGAGACTCCTGCAAGTTTCACGTACTTCTTTTCGCGCCTAACCCCGTCAATGTAGGCCGTAAAGGCGTCAAACAGGTGATAAATGATTTCCGCAGTAAAGATGCGAACGCCTAAAGACTTTGCCTCCTTCTCTGCCTCAGGATCAACCTTCACATTGAACGCGAGAATTACCGAAAATTCTGGACGCCCCTTCTCCCGCATCACTGACGCTCGGCGAACATCCTTCTTCTGAATGGTGCCTGCGCAAAAAGCCGCATGCAAACGCGCATCGAACCAGCGATGATAAAAAGACACTGCAAAAACAAACAAGCAAAGAGCCCCACTCCATGGGATGCAGCGATGAAGAAGATGCTGCATTGCGGTCCACAGACAAAACCCAATTTGAGATGTCTATCTTGTTAAATTATATATATATTTTGTAGATATATATCATACATAGATATCTATACAGTAGATATATATATATGAACACAAGAGAAATATCAAGGGAAATCAAAGGACCCACACATACACACACACATGCATCTACAAACATAGATATCTATACAGTAGATATATATATATATATATGAACACAAGAGAAATATCAAGGGAAATCAAAGGATCCACACATACACACACGCATGCATCTACAAACAGACAGATGTCGGTAAGCAAACATGGGGTCGATTCGGTCACTTAAAGAGCATCTTCCTGCCCCTTACGTGAGGAGGCAACCATGAAACACGCATAGCGATATTTATGCGAAAGTATGTCAGAAGCGACTGCACAGCCAGCTGGAGAAAGTACAAGCAGCAGTTTGGCTCGAGCTGCGCCACGAGGGGGCAGCCACACAGCAGTCGAAAGCCTCTTCCTGCACGGCTGTTATAGCACCTCTCCTCATCAGCAAGGGAGAAAAATCCTTAAAAAGCTCCCTGGCAGTACACACGAGGTGCAGCGACGACGACACTCAGAGGCTCAGCAAGGACGGAGACACACGTGCATTTCCACGGATGCAAAGGCAAGAACCCAAGAATGCAACGAAGCAGAAAGCAAGCCGCAGAGTCTGCAACGACAGACACAGCTCGAGAGGCAAGCAGCAGCAAGCGCTTCTCTTTTCTCCGCCTTTTTTGGTCCCTGACATCGCGTGACTCCCTGCCGCAAGAGAAATTTTCTGCCCTCAAAAGAAGGCACAGACAGGCAGGCGGGCAGCATGCACGATGCTGTCTCTAGGAGCGATTGTCATGGCAAGCAGAGACACGAACAGAGCAAAGACAGAGGCATCCATGGACTGTGTGCGTAGTGTGCGTGTCGTCATAGCGAAAATTGTAAAAGTAATAAAAACTGGCAATGCTCGCCAGCTGCAAGGAACGAGGGTGGGTAGGAAGCACATGCGTTAGCAACCCTAAAACAACCCATGCAAGCACGCAGGCATGCATGCAGGCAGGGAGGAAGCCACGCTTGCATGCAGTCTTTTAGAAAGACCTTTCAACCCTTGTTAGGATAACGCAGATTCAGATACACACCGCATGCGCTTTTAAGCAGTCCGAAGCAGCTGCAACTGCCGAGAAGTGGCGCAGCCAACACAAGCCTCTTCCTGCTGAGTTGTTATAGCACCTGTCCTCATCAGCAAGGGAGAAAAATCCTTAAAAAGCTCCCTGGCAGTACACACGAGGTGCAGCGACGACGACACTCAGAGGCTCAGCGAGGACGGGGAGACGCATGTATTTCCAAGGAAACGAAGGCGAGAACGCAAGACTCGAACGAAGCAGAAGGCAGACACGATCCTTTCCTCTCGAAAACGAATTCCCCCGTCAAGCTCACGCGAGATACATGTATATATATATATATATATATATATATATATATATATATATACATATATATACATAAAGGCAGACACAGCCAAACAGACAGATAGACACAGATACAGACATATAGAGGTACAGACACAGATTTAGATCGAGACACAGACACAGATAAAGACACAAGGCTTTTTTTCACCCCACAAAGAAATATACGGCCTTGCTCAGCCTAGCGCACTTCGCACTGCAGCAAAACGGAGAGGTGTTGTTGTTGGAAAAGGAGGAAGAAAATCAGTTCCGCGTGTGGGAAAGTGTAATGTTGTTTAGGGAGTGGACACCGCCACTTGCTCAGTCCAGCGTCTCTTCGAGCGTCTCACCAATATTTACTGCAAAAACTGGAATCTTGCACTCCTCTAAGTAGGCAAGGAGAGCTTCAAGTGCTCCGAGGGTGGACGCCACGACGTAGACACCATTGCCGCTTCTGTCTACGTTCTTGAAAACTGAGCTCATATCCTTCATGACTTCCCCCTCCAACTCTGCCAACTCATCCTCATCCTCTACTACGAAAACAGATGTGCCCGCGACTGCTTCTTCAAGCCCCTAAACATACAATTCATATGCACGTATATATGCATGAATATATATATATATATACATGAATATATATATATATGCATGTAGATATACATGAATATATCCACATATATACATACACGTCGACATGCAGCAACAGCAACAAGGGTGGCCACAAGCGCGTGCTCCAGAGGCGACGAGCAGGTGAGGGGCGTATAAACCGAAACGCAGCAGCAGCAGAAGGGTAAGATCACGAGCATGCAACAGCAACAGCAATAGCAGCAACAGCAGTAGCAGCAACAGCGATAGCAGCAACAGCAATAGCAGCACACCGGTGCAACAATCTTCACACCCATAGAGGCCTGTACGAAGGGATGGGGGATATATTCGCCCTTCACACGCAGCTCCTTGAGTGGCTGCGGTGTCAACAGTGCTCTGATGGAAGTGACGAGGGGACCATGCATTCCGCAGCAGACAATGCGATCGCCTTCGTACAAAACTCCCTGAACAAGGATGACATCAATCGTTGTACCTAGGCCCTGCAACGCGCAACATCAGCGCCGCAGCAGATGCATGCCTGACTTGAATGAAGAAACTTTTATCGCTTGCAGAAAGGAAACGAAACAACCGCGACAACAACTGCATGCGGCGGCACGCAAGAAGGAGCTCTGCCACCACACAGCAGCAGCACCGCAACATTTGTGCAGAGCAAGACACAGAAACGCAGACAGACAGAGAGAGCGAGAGAGCAACATACATATACATACATATTCATACATATTCATACATATATATACATATATATATATATATATATATATCCTTACACATACACACAGAGAGTGAGAAAGAGAGACACACATAAGTCCCTCTTTGTCTCGCTGGCTCCTGCTGCTGCTCGCCTTTTCTCCCCCTTCGTGCTGCTGTCAGAAGAGCAGCCTTCTTACCGACCATGCCAACTGCTCTCCCTTCCCCCTCCCCTGCAACAGCCTCCTCCGTTCTGTCATACCACACAGCGAATCGAAGGGAAAGTCGACTGCACCAGCGACAGCCGCAGCTGCTCAGCACACACCTCGATGGCTTTAACCTCCAGGATTGTACACTGCAGCAGGCGTCCTTTGGATTTTGTGCCGTGTTTGCTTGTAAGCTGCTGTGTGGCACTGGGAGCGGACACGTCGAAAATGCAAGGGAGCTTGGTAATCGCCTTCTTCATCAGCGTCTCATTAAGCGAACAAATGAGATGAATAAGATCTGCGATGCCCTCTCCTGTGAGCGCCGATGTAGGCGCAACTGACACGTTTCTTCGTACGTCTGTGTTTTCCCAGTACAAGGCGCAGTTGAAGCCTTCTTCTGCCAGCTGAAGCGGAAGGACCACCCAAACAATGCAGCATGCGAAGCGATGTAAAACAGGCAAAAAAGGAGGCGGAAAGGTTCATCACATCCAGCCCCACAAGCTGGTGCCACATCGCATGCCAGCAAAAAAACGCATGCACTGCTGAAAAAGCATGCCGCCTTCCCACGCCACGGAAGCTGCCCATGTCCATACACCGCAGGACCCGCAAAACACCACCGCATGCACATCGCACAGACAGTTCCAGAATAGCGAATACAGAGAGAGAATAGAGTGAAAATCGAGACAGATCCGCAGTCAAGAAACTCCCAACACAACACCCTTTGTACGGAGCGGGAGGATGCACCTTCCGCTCTCCATACACCTCTCTGCTCGCAAGATACACATGAGCCCAGAGGTGGAAAAAAACGCTGAAGCTTTCGCGAAAAGCTTCCCCTCTTGCCTCTGCCCTCCCCTCCATCCGTCTGCCTCTCCGTTCTAACCCCGCTTTCTCCAACTTTTGCAAACTACACACACCCCTCCTCGTTGGCAGGCAGGCGAATCCTCTCACCTGCAAGCGCGCATCTTCCCATCGCGATTTAAACTCCTCCTGGACTGCCGCGCTCTGCAGCGCCAACAGTTCCTTCACATTGGCTCCCCAATCAACTGCCTTCCACCCGTACAGCCGATCTATCTTGTTGAGTGCCACGACAAAAGGGCATCGTTTTTGACGCAAGAGGGAGAGAGATTCACGCGTCTGCGGCTCCATCCCCTGAAACAATATACACAAGCACACGTCCCACGAGCACACCCATACATTCACACGCATATCTACCATGTGCAGAGACAGCACAGAGACAGAGTGCGTCCAAAGCGAAAAGCTGAAAAAATGCAAGCGTCTCTGCGCATGGCCATGGTTCCCCTTTTTTAAAAGAAAAGCCGTCCCCTACATTGCAGCCGATGCAGGGGGCAGATGCTTTTTCCACAAAACGCTGAATGGATGTTGAGGCTACCTGCTGCCTTGCTGCCTCAAAAACAACTGCTTCTAAGGGCGCAACTACTACGACCACTCATACACCATGTACTGCTGCTGTTGCTGTAGCCTCCTCTGCCTCGCTTTCGTCTCTAAAATCCCTCCCTCCCTCCTTGTTTCGCATCGAGACGCACATGCATGATATCAATTACAACTATCGCGAGATCGCAAAGAGAGGAGCCGCGAGCTCTCAAGTTGGCGAACGAGGCATGGCCAGGTGTATCGATCACTAACAAGCCTGGCAAACGTAAATCCCAGCCGGGTGTGATCTGAAAGAGCAGAAAAAAGCCACACACGCCTCCACACGCACCTCCTGCCTGCTGCCCTCTACGGTCAGGGAGCTGCAAGACAAAAATCCCTCCCTCCCTTCTCCCCACACCCGTCCCCAACAATCCACGTAGACAACGTTCAAACCAACACAAACATACATACATACATTCATATATACATATATACATTCATATATACATATATACATTCATATATATACATTCATATATACATTCATGTATACATTCATATATGCACACAGCACATACGTCGAAGCAGCACGCAGGAAACGCGCAGGCTAAGCGCCGCGCGCTGTACGTACACCTCCCTGTGTGTGCAGCTGTGCAACGCGCCATCCCCATGCTCGCATGCGAATTGCATGTGGACAGAGAAGCAGCACGACAGCAGCAACTACGCGAAAGCAGACTGAGAAAGACAAAGGCTGCCACAGCCAGCGCAGGCCTAGATACGGTCCAAAGAAAGCGCAAAGGAGTGTGGAATGCATCGTCATTCTTCATGCAGAAAACGCATGCACCCACGCAGAAAAATGCTCGCGCGTCGCTGCATCGCGACACCCCACAACGCGCCCTCCCCACATATGAGCGTACAGCAGACCACGCCACTTTTTCCCGAAACAAAAAGCCAGAAACTCCGCGAAAAGGCGGAAGACGCCATCCCCTGCTGCTTGACCAATCGCACTGCAGACACCCAGCGAATGCTAAGGAGCAAGCGTGTTCACGTACCTTGTTGCACTGCTCCAGTAGTGCCTCTCTGGGGAAGAACGTCGCACCAATCTGCTGCGTGATGCCCCCTGCCTCCCCCAGCTGTACATTCGTTCTACGAATCTTATCGAGCAGCTTCGTCTTTCCTGAACGCCGCGACGTAGGACGCAGCAGCTCAAGTTCATGATAAGACAAACACGCTGATGTGCCTTGCGTGGCAAACGAAGGGTGCCCGTGCGTAAAAAGCACGCGCGAAGGAACTCGCAAAAATACACGTAAAATATACACACATACATGCATACACGTGCATGCATGTACACACATCTACAAATACATATACATACATTTACAAATACATATGGATACATATACTTACATTGACAAATACATATAGACACATCCATTTACGTACATATACATACATACACATGCATACATTCACAAATACATATAGACACACCCATTTACATATACATACATTTACAAATACATACACATCCATTTACATACACATTTACAAACACATATACATACATTTACAAGTACATATGCATACATACACATGCATTTACAAACACACGTAGATACATTTACATATAGATATATATACTTACATACACTTACGAATATACACACAGACATCCATTTACAAATGCATACAGATACATCCATTCACATGTAGATACATCCATTTGCCTACATATACATACACTTCCAAATACATTTGCGCACATATATGCATACGTACATATGCACACATATACATACATCCATGTACACACACATGTATACATCCATTTACACACAAATATGCATCCATACATATATATATGCACATGCATGCAATTGCATACAACTGCCTAAGGGGCTATCTATGCCTTGATGACGCTTTCTGCAATGGACGCGGTGTGGAAAAAGCACCCCCTCTCCCCCAACGAAATTAAGCGTCTCCCACTTTGCGTGCGACGTCGCTCACCAGTATCGACGTGCCCCATAATGCAGCAAATAGGAGAACGCAATTTTGGCTCATCAACAGCTGCTTTGGAAGGGAATGGCGCCTTATTGGTGCCTGCAACTCCCGCTGCTGCTGCTGCCTCGGGGAAGCCTTCGCCAACAGAGGCACCAGCAGCAGCTGCTGCTCTTCCTTCTGCTGCCCCCATGCTTGCAGCAGCAGCTGCTGCAGCAGCAGCAGCAGCAGCAAGCCGCTCCTCCTTAGCCTGTTGCAAAGCCTGCTCCATGGCTGCCCTCCTCCGAACATCGCCAACATTATAACTCTTCTTCTTCTCTCCGGCTGCCGCTTCTGCCTCGCCAGCGGAGGGAGCAGCAGCGGAGGCAGAAGCGGCAGCTGCCGAAGTGCTCGCCGTCGCTTCCTCGACCTCATCTAGCAGAGACTCCCAATTGTCAACTGCAGCTGCAAAAACATTCAAAACGCACATCAGCATGCAGTGTATATGTGTACACGTATAGGGGCGTGAATGTGTATGTGTATGTATGTATACCCACGTACGTAGGCATACGTGGATACACATACACATATACTTACGCGCATACACATATACATTTATACATACGCGTATATATATATATATATACATGCATATGAACATCTATACACCTATACATATACACATATATACACCTATTTACCATGCATACATCTATACACGTATGCATCCATAAACCTATTTTACATGAATGCATATACACATAAATACACCTACTTAACATGTATACATATATGTGCCCATAATACTACACACTTGAAGAGACACACACCTGGACGTCTACACACCACTCTTCAGAATGATCAGCAGCGCCAAAAGTCGTCACCTCCTCTCCTTCCCCCCTTCTTCTTCCCTCCCTCTGCAAAGCGGCGAACCCTCGAAAAAATGACGGCAAAATGCTCGCTTACGCTCAGGAGTCTTGGGAGGTGGAGATGTCGAGGCGCTCTGACGATCTAGCTCGGCTTGCAGCTTCAGAAGACGCTCCTTTTCGGCAGCTTCTTCTGCTTCTTCCTGCTGCTTCTGCAACAACTGCCGCTTCTTCTTTTCCCTCCTCTTGCGATCATCTATAGCCTTGCTACCCACGCCACTCTGCTGAGCTGCGCAACTCCCCTCCGTATCGCCTGCTGCCAAGGCAGGCACCACAATAAGTCCTTGCTGCTGCAGCTGCTGCAAGTACTGCTGCTGCTTCTTCAGCTTCTTCTGATCCTTCGTGGACAGAAGCTTGCCTTCCTCCTTGAGACGCTGCTTCTTTTCCGCCTTCTTCTTCGCCCTCAGTTCACGCTCCAGCTGGCGCTGACGTTCTTCCTCCTCCTCCCTGCAAATGCGCGCAAACGTCTCTCGAAGACAGTGCCGTGTCAGCGTTTTAGCGAGAGTCTCCCACCGACCCCACCCTCTACCCCCTTACCCCAGTCCTTACCCTTATTCGCGCCACGCACTGCAGAGTGCACATTCGGAGCAAGCCACAGACACTAAGCACCATGCAAACGACCCCTCCCTTTCCCCCCCCGCGCTCTCCTCCCACACCAAGCCTCACTTTTTCCGCAGCTCCTCTTCCTCGCGTCTCAGTCTAGCCTCCTCTTCCTCCTGCAGCCGCTGCTGCTCCTGCAACAACTGCAGACGCTGCTGCGCTGCGCGCACTGCGGCAGAGACAGGCGCCTTCTTTCCAGCCGAAGCTGAAGCCTGTGAGAAAAGTCAAAACAGCAGAATAACACAAACCGTAAGGGTCCGCAGAGGAGAACTGCACGGAATGGCGGATTCTCACAGAAGGCCAGTACCAATAGCGCTCGCAGTAATTGCAACAGTGACAGCAAAAGCACCACCAAGAGTGGCAGCACTTGCAATAGTGGCAATCAATAGCCATAATAATTGCAGCAAAAAGTGGCAGCAGCAGAAGCAGCACGTGGGATGCTGGTTTGCAGGAAATCGAGCGCAGCGACACGACCCCTTGGAGAGCTGTTGTTGCTGCTGTTGTTGCTGCTGTTGTTGCTGCCGTTGCTATTGCAACAAAAACGAGTATGTTCGAAATGTAGCAGTGCAATTATAGAGACAACGGGTGGGGAGAGAAAAGCCTCATCGCTCTATCTTCAAACTGCATCGGTTTGGCAGTAGGAGAGACCCTTAAGGCACTGGTAAAGGTCGCACTCAAGAGCACTGTCGAGAACGGCAGCTTTTTGCATGCGCATGCCGAGCTAGACAGACCATCTACTGCAACAGCTTCAAAAAATGCATCCTGCTGCAGTGTGCAGCTTACAACGCGCATAGGTAGCCGAGGCGAACCAAGGAGAAACACGCCGCTCAAGAAGCACATACCTCAAATATGTATTTATACAGCTGAGAGAGATAGCGAGAGAGAGAGAGCGAGAGAGAGATAGCGAGAGAGAGATTGAAAAACGGTGCGTGTCTGTGTGTGTGAGAAGGGAAATGAGAGGGCTCACATATACGTGTGTATGTATACAGCTGAGAGAGAGAGCGAGATGTGTATAAATACTTTTATATATTGAGAAAAGATGTGTGTCTGCGTGTGAAGAGGGAAAGAAAAAGGGGGATGCATGTGTTTCTACCTGTTTTGGTCTGCTCTCATCTGATGAGGACGAAGAGGTTTTGTCATTCTGTTTCGCCTGTTGCTGCTTTTTTTTTTGTCGCCGTTGAGCGGCACGACTTAATTTTCCCGCAGGGCCTGCTGCAGCTGCTCCTGGTGTATCTGCTGCTTCATTTGCTGCTGTGACAGACGCAGATGCAGTTGCAGTTGTGGGAGGAGGAGAGGGAGAAGAAGAGCTCCCCTCTGCTGCTCGCGTTGCTGGCGCTGGAGTTTTAGCAGGGCAGCTCACGCCTTCGATTTCCTGAAGCAGTGCATCCAGATCTTCGTCCTCCTCAGCAAGTTGCTTCTTGCCCTTCTTCTTTTGAGGAGGTGCCTTTGCTGAAGCGGGTTGCTTTGAAATCGCTTTTTTGGGAGGGGGAGAAGTCGCTGGAGGGGCTTCAATTTCCTCGAGCAGCCGCTCAATGTCGGAGTCGACCTGAAGAGCGAAATTGCAGCATGCCACACACGCTAGGGGTGTGTCTGTCCACATAAATGCCCCCTTCCCCCTGCCGCCAGTGCGCTGTATCGGAAAGCCTCTGTTCAAAAAGAGAAGCTTCAGACACACCTGAGACGTTTTCTGCCCCTTCTTCTTCGCGGATGCTGCTGCCGAACCGCTAGAGGCATCATCCTGTGTAGGTGCAGACGGCTTGGGCTCCTTCACAGGCTCAGGCACTTTCGCCTCGGAGGCATTGCTGCTCTCCTCCTCGCTGTCGCTGCTCTCCTCCTCGCTGTCGCTGCTCTCCTCCTCGCTGTCGCTGCTCTCCTCCTCGCTGTCGCTGCTCGAATCCGAAAGAGGCACAAACCTTCGCCTTTGCTGCACTATGGGCCGCGCTTCCTCCTCCTCCTCACTGCTGCTGCTGCTACTACTCTCCTGAAACACCACCCCGATCACAGCAGCACGGTGTACATACACTCGACGCACGAAGCTCTACGCATGCCTTCCCGGGGAGCGTTTCGCTCGCAGAAGCACGCGCAGAAGAGGAAAAAATGAGAAACTTTGAATAAAGCGAAAGAAACGCCGGCAGGCGAGGAGGTCGTGGCGGGGTGTACATGGCTTCTTTGAAGGCGTTGGTGCTTGCTGGCAAGCGCGCGTGCGCTACGCCTCATAGCATAGCAGCAAAGCAGACAAAATATAGCCAAGACCACGCGCATGCGTCATGATTACACTGCATGTTGAAGGGTGTTTGTAAGCGGCTTGGATCACCTTTCTCTTGGGCAGTGCCGGCGCGGAGTCGGAGTCGGAGTCGGAAATCCTCCGAGCTGCAGCAGCCCCCCGCTTGGCGTTCTTCCTTGGCGCCATCCTCAATAAAAACAGAAGAAGAAGAGGCCGTTGGGAAGTAAAGGGAGACGCTGCTGCGCCTCCCTACGGCTGCTGCTGCAGCTGCCCTCACGCGCAGCAGCAGCCGCAGCTGCTGCTGCTGCTGCAGCTGCTGCCGTCGCACCCGGCAACTGCGAGCCTCCGCGAGGCCCTCCCAGAGGGGCTCAAGGGAAATGCATGCACAGACGGAGGAAAGAAAACGTGTAAACGCGGTTGCTGCTGTACACAGGGAGGCGTAATGCATGCCTGCGGAGGACGCCTGCTGTGGGGTGATCCCCGAGCTGCTGCTGCTGCTGCTGCTGTTGCTGCAACAGCAGCAGCAGCAGCAGCAGCTCGGGGATCAGCAGGGGACGGGAGGAGGCTTCCCCTAGCCACAGCGCCTCGAGAACGGCTTGAAACGCGAGACTCTGAAAGCGTTTAGCAGTTCCCGTTCGCTCCGTCCGACTACTTGTCGTGGATGTGTGTTATCGTGGTTGCAGTATTTGCAAGGTGTGTTTCCGTAATCGAGGCACAGGAGGCGTGCCGACCGATTTACAGTCGCATGTCGCGGAGTGACTGTGAACTCTCTGTCGAGGAAGGGGGGGGGGGGGAGAAGGCGTCTGTCTTCTTAAGGACCCTCAGTGTCTGGTCGGTTAGAGGGGTGCCTCTGCATTCTCTTGCTGCTTCCTCTTCATTGCTAAAGAAGACGCGCTGTGCGTCTACTGGGAATCATCGAAGGTTCGCGCGGCGCATGCGTGCTCGGAGATTCTGGGTGTCTCGATGCCAGCCAGCCAGCCCTCCTAAAGACTGTGTCGTGTTGCCTCGCAGCAACGACGATGATGACAGTCGAAGCCTTCTACGGACGGGGAGGCTATCTTGGAGCCACTGGAAAGCCTTTCTCGGGGCAGAAGCGCTGTCTGGCTGCTGAGACTTCTCTGTAAGAAGACGCTAGACTGAGTGTCTTGCCTCCGTTGCTCTCTCGCTCTCCAGGCTTTCGCCTTCTTCTTCCCCCGCGATCTGCAGCATCCTGCTGATTTCTGCTTTTCTGCAATTTTCCAGCTTGTTTGTCGGGTGAGTGCCAACAGCCACTCTCCTGCAGCCGCTTTTGACCTCCTCCTCCGCTTTTCGCGTCGCCTCTTGAACGTCTGCGCAACTTCGCCTCCTTTCCCGCTGTACAGCCTTCCATCCGTCTACTCGTCTGTTTCTGTCACACACGGCACCAGGAGGGAGGAGAGGAAGAAGAGAGGAGAGAAGGGAGAGGAGAGGAGAGAGGAGAGGAAGGAGAGAGGAGAGGAGAGAAGGGAGAGGAGAGGAAGAAGAGAGGAGAGGAAGAAGAGAGGAGAGGAAGAAGAGAGGAGAGGAAGAAGAGAGGAGAGGAGAGAAGGGAGAAGGGGAGAGGAGTGGAGAGGAAGAAGAGAGGAGAGGAAGAAGAGAGGAGAGGAGAGGAGAGAGGAGAGGAGAGAGGAGAGGAGAGGAGAGAAGGGAGAGGAGAGGAGAGGAGAGAAGGGAGAGGAGAGGAAGAAGAGAGGAGAGGAAGAAGAGAGGAGAGGAGAGAAGGGAGAGGAGAGGAGAGGAGAGGAAGGAGAGAAGAGGAGAGGAGAGAAGGGAGAGGAGAGGAGAGGAGAGGAAGGAGAGAGGAGAGGAAAGGAAGAAGAGAGGAGAAAAGGGAGAGGAAAGGAAGAGGAAGGAGAGAAGGGAGAGATTTTTTTAGAAAGAAAGTTGCCTAGGGGAAGTCGCCTATGGCAATTCGTCATTGGAGCAGCTCTTCCCCCCCGTTGATTCTCCTGCCTCTTTTTCTGCTGCTTCTCCTTCTTGGGGGGGGAGGGAAGTCTCCTGGGGGTCTAGGCTTTAGGCGCGTTGTGGAGACAGCCATTCGTGCCTCTCCAAAGGCTTTCACTGAAGGCTTCTCCTTGCCTCAAAGAGCTCCTCAGAGTCATCCCCACCACGCGGCTCATTCGCCGCGAGTGCAGCGGCAGCGCAATCCGCATGCCGCGCATGCGCTCTCCAGAGGTCTCCCCAGCGGAAGCGATGAAGCCTTGGAGGAGCTTTGGGGGCTTGAAGTGTCTCCCGAGGAAGTCTTTCGACTCGCGCAGACTCCGTAGGCGTCGTCTTGGCTTCCTCCTTCTTGAGTGCTGTCGGGCAGGCTCGACGCGTGGGAGTTTCCAGACTGGCAGTGTCTCGCGCAGCTGCGTGCTGTGTGTATGTGTGTGTACGTGTGTGTGTATGTGTGTGTACGTGTGTGTGTATGTGTGTGTACGTGTGTGTGTACGGGTTCTGCTTCTTCTCGTGCAGCAGACAACGACAGGCGCTGCTGAGCACAAGGGCTGCCCACCAGACGGAGAAAGCTTCCCGCGAAGCCGTTTCCAGCGACTCTTCCCACGCAGTCGCGCTGCAAGTCGAGCCTGGAAAGTGCAGCGGCTGCGGATCGACTTTCCAGGTTAGCGGCCAAGCGCAAAAGAGCCTCAAAAGACTGGTTCCCCTACATGCTCGCTCGCCGTCTGTCTGTCTGCCTGCCGCGCTCTAGGGAGCTTTCCCGGCAACACCCTTAAAACAGCCTTCCCAACGCTCTGCCGTTCGTTACAACCATTTATTCCGAACCACCACCACTTCTCTACCTGCTCCTCTTGCCTTGTTCGACAACAGCACTGTGCGCATGCGCTTCCTTCACGCCAGCAGCAGACTGCGACATGTAGCCCTTCGCTCAGTGTTGGCGCGGCTTCGTGGATGTGCGCGTTCAACGCGGTTTCTTGGCTATTCTTGTATGTCTCTGCGTGTATAAATATGTATGCATGTGTGTATATATGTGTGGATATGTATGTATATATGTGTGGATATGTGTGTGTATATATGTGTGGATATGTATGTATATATGTGTGGATATATGTGTGTATATATGTGTGGATATATGTATGTATATATGTGTGGATATATGTATGTATATATGTGTGGATATATGTGTGTATGTGCGTACATGTATATATGTATGTATGCATATATGTGTACATGTATGTATATATGCATGTATATGTATATATAGGTATGCATATATGTATGTGTATATATGCATATATGTGTGTATATGTATGTGTATATGTGTATATATATGTATGTATATATACGTATATATATGTATGTATATATGTGTTTCGCTGTGGGTGGGTAGGTGGGACTCTCTATTTTTGCGTGGTTTTGTTGCATACTTGGGCTGTTTTAGGCTATTGTGGATATCTGCCGGCTTGTGTGTGTGTGTGTGCGTGTGTGTGGCTGGCGCACAGAGAGACACTCCCGAGGCTCCTGGCTATGTGCTGCCTCACCTCGAGTTGCTGCTTCAGCAGCAGGGAGAGTCCTCGCGAGGGCCCCTCTCAGCAAGGCTTGCTGCTGGTGGCACAGGGAAGAAAGTGACAGACGCAGATGCATCGTTACCAGCAGCAGCAGCAGTGGCAGCAGGCGCAGTAGCAGATGCGCACGTGGGCAATTGCGAAACGTATCAAGTGGCTCCTGAGGTGTCGCAGATGGCTGCTGAGTTGGCTGCAACAAGTCCCCAAACAGACGCGCTCGCAGTCGAAAAGGCGTTAATTGCGCTAGCGCTCCTGAACCCCCACACAACGGAGGCTACGCAAGAAATGCAGCAGCCAACTGCGGAGTTTCCTGCGAAGCACACGTCTTTGAGGCACCTTCCAGGCCTGAGTGGGAAGCCCTCTGCTTCTAGCGAAGAGCTTTCTCCCGGGTTGTTATTTGCAGATGGAGCAGCCGTGCAAGCGACGCATGCCACTGAAGAGGCCTTTTCACCCCTGGCAAGTGCCTATGCATCATGCACACTGCCTGCCCGTTGCCATCTGCCTCGTCGCGCCTGTGAGACCGCACCTTCCTACTCCTGCTCTACTCTTGCTGCAGCTTGGTGAGCGAGCGTCACTCTGGACGCGCTGTACATACTGCTGATTCCGCAGGTTCTCTGCATGCGCTGCCACGGCTTGCGGTTTGGGAACGGCCCGGGATCGGCATCTCCACAGCTAGGTAGGCAGTCAGAGTCTGTGCAAGATTGGGGGCAGTTGAGCGGAGAAACAGCGAGAGAAATGCAAGACGCAAAAGCTTCACACGCTACACCGCCTTCCCGCGGCACTGGGTAAAGGTTCGCGCGGACAGCGGCAGCGTGCAACCCATCAGCTGCCGTATGTGTGTGTGTGTGTGTATGTATATGTGTGTGTATGTATGTATGTGTGTGTGCGTGTATGTATGCATGTTTCTGTGTCTATGTATGTATGGTTCTGTGTGTATGTATATGCGTAGGTGTGCGTCTATTTGTGTATTTGGGTGTATATGTATGTATGTATGTATCTGTGTGTGTCTATATCTATACACACATTTTTATGTGTATGCATGTGCATATTTTATATGTGTGTGTTTGTATGTATGGGTGCGTGTTTGTGTATATCATATGTATGTGTGTCTGTGTGTCTATGATGAGTGTATCTGGGTGTCTGTGGTTTTATGTGCTGCAGGGGCAGGGGCGGAAGTGGCGAGGGCCTCTGAGGCGGCAGCGCTGACGGCTGCTCTTCGCACAAAGCGGTGAGCACGACAGCAGTTTGTGCTGGCTGTGGCAGCTAGACGGTCGTGCTCATCTGCGTTCTCGCGCCGCCTCTTGAGCCTCTGCTCCATAAGGGAGGCTGTGCAAGAGCAGCGATCCTCTAGGACTCGCAAAGGCTCTCCCGAAGGCGGCTCAGGAAAGGCTTGAAAGGCGTCGAGGCGCCTTGGATGCAGAGCAAGCGGAACGGCGCGCAGCATGCATGCACGGCGGCTGCCGCTGCATCTACTACTACTACTACTACTACTACTACTACTGTTGCTGCTGCTGTTGCTATTGCCACTGTTTTCACTGCTCTCGGGTGCGCTGTTGCCGCTGCAGGTGTATCTTCGTGCTCGTTGTCGATGCGCTGACGCTAGAGCTGCCGACGGAGGTGTTGCGGTGCATTGACAGCCCAAACCCTCTGTTCATCGCCGTAAACAAATCCGACGTTCTGCCTGCAAGGCCCTTACGTCTCAAAGGCAAGGGGCCACGCGCGCGCGTGCAGGACGCCGTGTTGGCGAGTCTCACCAGTGCCTTCGGATGCCTCGGCAGCAAAAGACGAAGGCTTAGTGCCGCTCCAGTCGGAGGACGTGTTCACTTTGTGAGGCACTGGACGAGGGTTCGCTGCAGCACGTTGCTGCTTGCCTGAGGCTTCTTCCGCTTCCTGCATTTCTCCCTCTCTGCGCCGCGCCGTCTGCGCATGCTTCGGCGCGCGGGGTTCTTCTGGGATACGTGTCTTTCTTGCCTTGCGTTCAAGCGGTGCTTTTGTGCGACTGCCGCTCTTGCCCCCTGCCGCACCTGTCAGGCGTCAGCTTCTTCCCACCCGCATCCTGACAGCTGTGCGCTTCCTCTGTGCAGCGTCCTCGCTGCGGCTGCTTCTGGGAATGCATGTGCTGCTGCAGCCTGACCTTTGGGTGCCTGCTGCGCTGCAGGTTAGCAGCAAAAGTGGGGAGGGCATTGAATCGCTCTTCAAAGAGGTCTTCGCGGAGGCCGCCCGTCGAAACCGTTCCGTTTACCTCATTGGGGCTGCCAACTCCGGCAAAAGCTCAATCTGCAATTTTCTTCTGCGCCGCTGGGGTGCGAAGGGGCGAGCCAAGGTGCGAGATGCAGCTGTCGAAATGCATGCATGTGGATGGTCCTGCATAAATAGACGTTTCATTTGCATCGACTTACAGACAGACAGACAGAGAGTCACTCCCTGCAAAAGAGCCAGCGCACAAAGAGAACGACCCCCTTTCTTGGGACCCTCTTCATGTCATGTTCTTGTATTGTACGAGGGGTGGTGGGGTTGGTGGTGGTGGGGTTGTTGTTATTGTTGGGTGGGGGTCTCCTGCTTCTTCATGTTCTTCCGTTGGTGTGTTGCGGAGGGTGTGTTGTTGTCCGTTGTCGGAGTTACTGTTGTTGTTGCCCGTTGTGTATGTGTGTCTGCTTGCTTGCTTGCTTGCTTGTGGCGATGACTGCTTCTCTCCGCGTGCTGTCTGCTTGCTTGCTTGCTTGCTTGCTTGCTTGTGGCGATGACTGCTTCTCTCCGCGTGCTGTCTGCTTGCTTGCTTGCTTGCTTGTGGCGATGACTGCTTCTCTCCGCGTGCTGTCTGCTTGCTTGCTTGTGGCGATGACTGCTTTTCTCCGCGTGCTGTCTGCTTGCTTGCTTGCTTGCTTGCTTGCTTGCGGTCTACCGTTGTAGCCTCAAGGGGTCGCCTCTGCATCTGGTGCGTGGTGTCTGCAGGCCGATCCTCGAGGGGGCGTCTCTGTGAGTGCGCTTCCTGGAACAACATTATCCTTTGTCTCCTTTACGGTGGATGGTCGCTTCAAGCTCTTTGATGCCCCTGGAATCATACCAGAGGGGGCCTTTTCTCCACTCCTTAGTCACGTAAGCGCGGCAGCGGCTTCGCCTTCTTCGGAGTCATCGGAGCTTCTTAGAGAGCGCGTGCGGCTGCGGTGGCCGTTCAGCTGGCGGCTTGACGCTCTGCAGCATGCGCATGCGCTTTTCGTGCGCATGTTGCAGCCGCAGCAGAAGCTGCTGCTAGGTGCTGGAGGCCTTTACTGCAGCAGCGTCCGTCTGGAGGGGGGGGAAGGCCTTTGGCTGGGGCCCTTCGGATTCTGCCGCAACGATGGCTCGCAGGCGCTCTTCGTAACACTCATGCTCAATAAGAACTTGACTGTCAAGGTGACCAACACGCAAGCGCCAGCGGTGGAGAAGATGCAGAAGCAGCAGCAGCAAGAAGAGCAGCAGCACCTCGTGGGAAGTACATGCGGAGCGTAGGCAGCGAATCCTCGCAAAAGCCGATGCTGGCTCTTCGCAGACAGCATGCATCCGTGCTCTATAATAGGCCCTCACAGTGGCGTTGTTGTGCCAGTGTCTCTTGGTCCTCAGCAATCATGTCAGGAAGTGTTGCACTCGTGTGTGTGTGTTCGTACCTCTCTCTCGTCGTCTCTCTTTTCCTCTCTATCTCTCTCTCCCTTGCTCTCTCTATCTCTCTCGCTCATTCTCTCTCTCTGTGTGGTTGTGGTTGTGTGTGGTTGTGTGTGGTTGTGTCTGTCTGTTTCCTGGCCGCGTGCTTGCTTCTCCCGCCCTAGCCTTTTTCGAGATCCCGGCTTAGGAGAGGAGAATACGTGTCTGACCCCTCGCCGCGCTTCGCATATGCGCGTGTCGCATGCATGCAGCGAAGCAGCTCCAGCGTTGCCACCGTCTTTACCGGCGGGAGGTTTGGAATTGCCTGAAGGAAGCTGCCTCTGGCCGCTAGTCCGTCACAGCTTCCAAGTAGGACGCTTTCGCTCTAGCAGTGCACTTCTTGCCTGCACTAGGGTTTTTTCCCAGCAGCGTGGCTGTGACTTCCTGACTCTGTGAAACTAGGAGGTGGCTAGGCGCTGCGCAGACGCTTCCATCCAGGATGCAGTGGTTACTCCATTCCCACTCCGCCATACGGCGCGGATGATAGATGCCTCCCCATGCTACCTACTGACACCAGCCCCTCATCGCCCTTCTGCCTCGCTACAGTGCATGCTGCAACTGCCGCCTGTGCTGGCTGCACCCCCAGCTGCCGCGCAGCACATGTGGCTGCTGCAGACTTGCGCGTGCAGCTCTGTTAGCCCTCCCCGCATGGGGATGCTGTTTCCTCACGTGTGCATGCAGATCCCCGGACGAGGCTGGCGGGAGGGCGCATGCGACCTCGTTATAGGGGATATTGGATGGCTCTCGCTGACGGGGTCTGGCAGGCTGGCAGTGTCTCTCTATATACCAAAAGGTGTACGTGAAATGCCGCTTTTCTGCCTGCTGGGGTGTTGTAGGCCATATGTAGATATATATATACATGCGTATATATATACCGCTGCCGTGTCAGCGGGGCTGAAGAAGTGTGAAACAGCTTTTCCTCCAGCCTGGCTGCTGTGGCGATTAGGCGACTTTCCTCTGCCCCCCTTACTCGACCCCCTGTCACCTGCCTGCCTTCTGTGCGCCGTTTCTGCCTGCCTCCTTCTTGCGCTGCTCCTCTTGCGCGTGCTGCACAGCCTTTCGCTACTGCGAAAGCCGCCTGCGCACCCACCCACCCCCTCTCTCGCTGCGCCTGCGTGTTTTATTGCCATGTGTCTCCGCAGGTCGCATGCAAAACACGGCCAGCTGTGCTCCCCGACCCGCTGCTTCTCTGCCCTTCCCAACCCGCAAGCTACTGGAACCGCCTCTACCTGTCGCGAACCTCCATCACCAGAAGCAAGCGCGCCAAGGATGGAGGCGCAAAGGTCCTTGGGAAAAACGGCAGGCCTTTTCTGCCGCCAAAAGGCCAAGTGCGCGCATGCAAGAACGAGCCGCAACCCGGCAAGAGGCGCGTCGCACAGCCCCTCTGAGGCGCTTGCCGCCTTTTGCTGTGCCCCCTAACGACGCCACTCACGCCGCACACGCAGATGAATAGGGTGCAGATGAATTCTAAGAGCGCCTGCTGCTCGTTTCCTTTTTTCTGTGTACAACTGAGGCAGATCTAGGAGTCTGCTAAGGCAGCATTAGCAGCGCACTACCCCTGTACCATAAATGCCATGCGTAACGGGAGGCTCACTCCACACTGTGATCCCCTGCGGTCGAGCACGTCCTCCTAGGTTTGGTTCTGTTGCTAAGGCAGCTGCGTCGGAGGTGCTTTTAGTCTATCTCCCCCTGCATCGAGGTTCTCTGCGCGCGTGGTCCCTGCCTTTCATTTTCAAACACGCCTAGACATAGGCTCACGGCGCTACACTCTGCAATCTTCCCCGCACTTCGTTTACTCCCTCCTTCCCAAAGCAGCAGCAGCAGCAACCCTCACTGCCTCCTTGTGAAGGCGCATCACCAGCAGCAGCAGAGGGCAGCGAGGCAGTGTTCACGCTAGCTACTACACATAGCAACAGAAGCTTCCCTGCGCATGCAGCTTTTGCAGAGGAACACATCTAAGAGATTAGGAGGGCAGCCATTTGCGAGGCGAAACTGGAGATGCACACGCATCGCGGCTGGTGTGTTTCTTGGGGTCTGCTTTGTTCATTAAAACTGCCGACAAGCAACTACCCACACTGACGGAGAGACAGGGCGTTAAAGTGTGTACTGAGCTAACCCTAAAATTCAGCAACAAGCGCTATTCAAAAGCCGAATCCATCATCAGAAATGAGTTTATGGCTTGGCTTCGGCGATTCGTGCATCGCCACCTGACCTACTACGGCGCTTCTAGACCCTTCTCATCTCCCCTACTACGGTAGATATGATGGATTTATATATGCGTCGAAAATCGCACCTTATTGCTCCGCCATACAAACCTCTCCACGCCTGTCTCTGCTGCCGAATGAAAGACCCCACGGGTGCCTGCTGCACTACGCGACACAAACTCTGCTGCTCGGTAATATACACACTAAAGCCTGACCCCAAAGCACGTTCGCCACACCACCGTCCCTTCAAGTGCTTCACTAGGTGAAGGGAAGAAAGGCATCAGAGAGAGAAGCACGAAGACGCCGCCTCTTGTTGTGCTGAGGACTGCGGCACCAAAGGACGCCCGAACAAGCCTCGCTAACGAGGACTCATTCCTGCCTGATTCAGCGCGTTCGCCCTTCCTCTGAGGTGATAATCAGTCAAGAGTCGTCACTAGAAGAGTGGTAGTAACTGCAGCTTGCCCACATGGACGAGGACATGCTGCCGTGCGGGAGTCTTGCAACAAATCACAGTGTTAGTAGTAGAGTGGCTTTCAGTGGAGTACTCTCAAGGATTTCACAGCTGAGCTGCATGCACTGCCTACACCGGATGATCCATAAACCTTGCACACTTCGTCTAACACGCCTCGCTTCTCGCATAGTGACTGCTTGAAATCCCGCGTCACGCCATACGTGGCATGCATGTTCAAAATATCTTCTTCATGCTGCTCTCGTTGTTGTGGACCCTCCAGGGGCTACAGCGGCCGTCGAAGTGGTGCTGCTGCCACCGGCTGCTAGAGTTGTGCTGCTGCCACCAGCTGCTAGCGTTGTGCTGCTGCCATTAGCCGCTAGCGTTGTGCTGCTGCCATTAGCCGCTAGCGTTGTGCTGCTGCCACCTGCTGCTAGCGTTGTGCTGCTGCCACCAGCTGCTAGTGTTGTGCTGCTGCCATTAGCTGCTAGCGTTGTGCTGCTGCCACCTGCTGCTGCAGTTGTGCTGCTGCCACCAGCTGCTAGTGTTGTGCTGCTGCCATTAGCTGCTAGCGTTGTGCTGCTGCCATTAGCTGCTAGCGTTGTGCTGCTGCCACCTGCTGCTAGCGTTGTGCTGCTGCCATTAGCTGCTAGCGTTGTGCTGCTGCCATTAGCTGCTAGTGTTGTGCTACTGCCACCTGCTGCTAGCGTTGTGCTGCTGCCACCGCCTTCTGCTAGCGTTGTGCTACTGCCACCAGCTGCTAGCGTTGTGCTACTGCCACCAGCTGCTAGCGTTGTGCTACTGCCATCAGCAGCTGCTAGCGTTGTGCTACTGCCATCAGCAGCTGCTAGCGTTGTGCTACTGCCATCAGCAGCTGCTAGCGTTGTGCTGCTGCCATCAGCTGCTGCTAGCGTTGTGCTACTGCCATCAGCTGCTGCTAGCGTTGTGCTACTGCCACCCGGTGCTTCGGTGGTTGTTGTTGTTCTGCGTCCAGGGGGTAAGGGTCCACCAGGAGCCTCGCCCTCTTCTTCTTCATGATCTTCGTGTGGATGCTCTTCGTCATACTGGCGGACTGCTTCTCTCAGCCTATCAATCTGGGCCTCAAACTCTTCGCTATTGACATACTCGAACAGGCGTTCATTGTAGCTGTCTAGGTAGTCATGGAATCTTCTGACAAAGCCTCGGAAAGCCAAGATGATATCTTCCTGCTCAAGCTTCAGGGTGCGCAGTCTTTCCCTCAGTCTGTCCAAGGCGCTGTCCTGTGCCTCGCTGTCTTCAGGCGAAATTTCGACTTCCTCGAACTCAATTTCATCTGTATCCTCGATTCCCTCGTCGTCTTCATTGTCTTCAAGGTCGCTGTCGTCAAGGCTGCCAACGGCTGTGGGCCTTGTGGTGAGGGATATGGCACTTGCAGAGTAGCTGGTGCTGGAGCTGAGGGATATGGCGGCACGCGTGCTGCTGAAGCTACTGAGCGGTCTGACAGTGCTGGTGCTGCTCACACCAGGTGGAGGGCGGGAAGACGAATCAAGGCGCTGCAAGACTCGAAACAGAGCTGCATCTTCACTAAGCTGTCTGCTACGGACAGTGCTTCTGCGACTGTTGCCATTGATGCTGCGGCTTGCTTGGTTGCTGGACAAAGTGGCCACGGACCCATTCGAGAGAGAAGCGGGCGACGACGAAGCGGAATCTGCAACGTCCTCTGCATCTAACTGGTCACCATTTTCTTGTGCTGCACTACCCATTTCCTTCAGTAGCTCGCTGCGTGCTGCGGGAGACAAAGAAAGCCAGAAAGTGTTGATGCTAGATAATGCAACGGCAGCAAGCTCGATTGTGGCGGGCTGGGATAGCGCTTCCTCCAGGGAGGAGGCTGACCCATTGCCACTTCTCGCATTACCGTTGATGTCGTTGCTGCCGTTGCCATTGCCGTTACTAGATCTCTCTCTCAGAGCCTCGAGAGAACCCCTGAGGCCAGTGCGAACCCCCTGAGCTGTTGTATTATCGCTCGCAGAAGAGCTGCGAACTCGTTGAGAAGGCCGGCTAGATGAGGCTGCGAAGCCTCCATCGATGGCTGTGACAGCTAAGAGGGCGCACAGGCCCCTGAGAACGAGCGGCGACATTATGAACAAAAGCAAAACACGATATATGCTTTACACACTTTTAAAGCATACAATCATGAAGAATGGTGTCCAGACAGCACGCGTTTCACACCCGAAACAGCTGGTCAGCGGACAGCCGGCGTCCTGCAGGCCGGGGAGTGACCTGGCTGGCGAGTTGCACCAGTGCCCGGCCCGTTGCACACATTGCAGAAACTGACTCATGCTAAACTTTATCAAATTAAAAATTACATTCCTAGATGATTATAAGGTATTCTTTCGCTATTAATTAAAATTTCCGGTAAGTAAGCTGAAGACACGAGCTTCAAGCCCTCAAGGCAATCGACGCTATCTCGCCCAGCACCACATAATGATCGCCCTTTTATCTAGTTTAATGCGTAGGAGAAGGCGTTATTATTACGTTTCAAAATTTTTGAAAGCATGCTATTAAAAAAGGAGGCTCTGGGTGGAGGGTCCTGAGCCAAGTACTCACGTGACCTCTGGAGAAAAATGCGTGCAAGGACTGGACCTAGTCCTGCATAGCCACCTGGTCAACGGACTTCAATTCACCATTATCTGCGTACCTCTGTTTTTAGCCCATGTCTACCTCGATTTTAATCTCGGTAGTAAATCTTTTGTCACAGTGTGCGTGTCGTGTGGGACAGTTTCACTTTTGTCACAGAGCGTAGCGCCAAGTCCTAGACAGACGTGGCATACGGCTGCATTGCAATGAAACTTTCCTTATGTAGCCCTCTATGCTCATGGTTTCGCAATTCGGATGTCGTTTTGGTGTTTTTCGGTCCCTCACCCTGGTTTTAGCCTTTCCTTGATACGCACACGGATAGTATCCTCCCGCACTGTATCTGCCCTCGGCAGCTTAGGACTATCGGCAGGCCCTTCAGAGCCAGTAAACCAGAACTTACTTTTACGGTGGGCCCATAGCTTGTCAAGAGATCCAGGTACAGTACTCTGCTGGAGGGTAAACAGGAGAGCCTAACCCCACGACGTCTGCACTGTCGCTCAAGATAGCCCATTCCATGTCTTGTCAACAATTGCAGCCACTCGCAGACACGTCCCATTGGGAGCTTTCAAGAGCCTGACACAACCGGCCCACGCTATGGCAGTCTTTTGCGCCGAGGGCCACCTACACACGGTGCCGAGGGTACCGACTGTCTCATTGCACCTGAGACTGGGAGCCACGCACTCTGAGGCAAAGTCGTGGTGCTAGGCCTTAAGTGGAATGCTGCCTACCCTTTTACTCAGTGTGCAAAAGCCTAATTTTACAAAAAATTAAGTTTTTCAAAGCATGCAGTAACCTTTTCATTTGTTTCCATTTTGACTCTAACGTTAATTTTCTAGAGTCTCCTTTGGTATAAAAACAGTGGTAAAAAGCGGAGAGTGTCTCTTGGATTCAAATGTCAGACACTGCTAACTCTAGTGAGAATGTATGATTAATGGCATGTGTCCCGGCACCCTAACAAACAAACGTTTTTGAAAACTTCAATGCATTCTCTTAAATTGCTGAGCGTTTGTGGGATAACTATACCATATTTTTCAGACCCTGACTATATATAGGCCTGGCTCTACCTGGGAACTTCATTGCCCATAGAATGAGAGAAGCCGTTTGTGAGAACGTGCCACTTATCTGATATGCACATTAGGCAACCAGGGGAGCTTGAGAAAAGAGACCTTGATAGCTCAAAGATTGTCCCCTATGACCTGAGGCCAGGTTGCCGCCTCCTCTGTGAATATTTATCTGTTATCTACTCACGCCCCTAAATTAAATCCCGAATTCTAAAAGCGGCCTCTATCCAACAAGTGAGGCCGCCCATCGTGTAGGGCTCGTGCGTTGTGGGTATGGTGTATTTTCCTTCTAAGAACATGGATTCAGCCGTTTGGTCGCAGTCTTCCCTCGCAGCCTTGAGGTCATCGATCGTCGCCAAGCGAAACATCGCGATTCCCCCCTTCAATTTTCAAGAACTTTGTGATACAGCATCTTTTTCTGTCGAGGACCGTAATATATAAGGCTCGTTATCAAGGGGGAAAGCCCCGAGCCACAAGGTCTTGCCACTTTATTCTTGAAGTCCGTACTTTATCTCTCCTTAGCAAAGCTCCTTGAAGGCGCATTCTCTTTTGCTGCCTTTCATTTTGTTCCTCGGACACACGCCATTTGGTGTCCACTTATTTGCAGGCCCCTAAATACGCTCTCAGTCAAGCGCAAAAAAATGAATTTTCGGCATGCGGGTGTTGGCTACTGCTACAGGAAGTTCTAGGCACGCTGAAAGCACCCGAGTATGTGCCGCCCTGCCTCAGTCTACTTTTATTCCCTTGTCCTTCTCGTGCCCTCCCTCGCTCTTGCATACTTTTTGTCGTCTCTCTACTGCTCAACCCCAATCGTTGTGCCGCGCTGCGCTCATGTACCCTAGGGTTCCGCCTGTATCTACTTTTTCCTCTCCTTAAGCTGGCGCCCTCCCAGAACACTCTTTCCGCTGCTGCTCCTATGGGCGTGTTGTTTGCAATGCACAGAGATGGTGCAACAAGAGGATTACGCTGCAAGAAGGGCCTAGGCTTTGCAGTCGTGAGCGTAGCTACACTTGGATTCCTTCTGCTGTACGGAAACCTTAACAGCGAGAATATCTGAGGACCTCAAAAACGATTGGTGCTAAAATGATGAGCAAGTGGACTTCTCCATAAGGTGCTCTCAACACTTACCCTCTGCTTGAAGAGGCCATTTAATGCTGTCTTCTTCCTCCCTGCTTCCTTCATTAAGCTCAACATGCAGACAAGTGTGGAAGGAAGCAATTCAGTCGACTAAAAGGCGCTTTGGATGCAAAAGGAACTTAGCGGCTTTGGCATGCGGTATCCATTTCGTTTTGTAGAGCTCCAATGCAGAAGGCACCCATGCCTGCCCTCAAGGTTGGATTACGGCAGCGAAAGCAGCAAGGCAAGCTCCATATCACTGTTAGGCAAGCATTTGCTACTAGAATTACCTCGCTGGCGTTGAACTCTAGTGTTTTGGGAGCACCGTGGGCTCGTTTACCGTTACTTGAATGCCTAGCGGTAAGGTGTGCGAACTCACCCGCTTACGAGCCTCTTTTCTGAGCCTTTGTCCAATGCATTCAGCTGTAATATTGTGTAAAATACTCGGCGGCTGGGCTTTTATTTCCTTTACGCTACAAGACATGTGAGCGTGCCAGATGGACCATTGGCCATACACCAGCAGGTTTGTTGCAGTTGGGGATTAAATTAAAAGACCAGGCACAACCAGGCCTCATACTATCATAAATATGAAATTAAGTGCATGCGCCTGAAGATAAACGCGGATTATGATAACCGGTATTCACAGCGGCAGATAGCCTTGGTGCAACGCCCTCTAGGCAATCGACTTGGCTGCGAAGTGCAACACCCAGCGGCCTAAGGAGCTTTGAGTGCGTACTTGTGGCTTTATTATTAATTTTGTAAACAAATAATGCAAAAATAAATGGCCGACTTACTACATCAGACAACTATTATCCTGTGTACTTCGCTGTGTATTTTGTGGAGCTTGCCCTTAAGGACAGAACTGCGTTCTACAGAGCATCTCTAAGCACTGGGAAGCCCCGAGGTTGCCCATGCGTCTTTGTTTCATCTGATTTGTAAAAGTATGAGAAACTTTCTTCCCAATGCTGTCTTAGGGGCAGCAGTCACAGGTCTTGCGGTGGCCTTATACGGAGTCTTGACAGAGAAAAACGTCACATACACACCTGGGTATAGGCCCCTATGTGACATTTCCGACGCCTCCAACTGTTCTGTCGTGAGTCCATCTGCACCGTTTCCAGTCAATTTATGGCACCCAAGAACAGATTAATGAAAATACTTATTTTTGCCTGAAGGGGATCCGCTATGGCTGTCTGTCTGTATCCTAGCGTATACCCGTTCATATTTTTGAAGGGATGCCAGGTACCCTGTTTTCAATTTATTAAGTCTAGCGCAGCCTGTCAGCTTCTCCTGCGATATGCGCGTTATTCACGTCTCTCTCTTGCGCCTATTGCACGCTGTATATCTTGCAGCTCTTGAAGGGTTCATTTAATCACATTCTCCGGGCCCTTGATCTCGTAGAAAAAGGATCCTTCTGGGATTTCACTCATGCACACATCAGTAAGGTTCCCAAGTCTCAAGCCTGCACCCCTGTGGATACCCTGCTGAAGTTCGCTGCACGTTCTCCTTCTCTGTCAGCGTTCAATTGTGACATATCTTTCAGCTTTCTGGACCATAGGCTCAACCAGGAAATAGCTTACACGTCCCAGACTTCTGCAATCTTCATTTAATCTTCGGCTCCTTCAAACTGCCGATGCGCTATGGGCTGCTTGCAGGTGCCGCCTACTTCGGCCTGATGGCGACATATCCGTTTGGAAAGGCATTTGTGCCAACATTTTACTTGGCTGTGTCTCTCTCTGCTCTGGTACGATACTTAAATTGCTGTCACCCCAAGTGTAGGGTCTAGAATTTGGGAGTCAAAGCCCGGGTAAAAGCCGCTGCTTCGAGTTCTCCCTTTGGTATATAAAGCAGTGGAATAGGAGATATTGAGATCCTTGGATACAAAAATGAAAGCATCAGCTCTAGGATTCCCGCTTTGATGCGTTGTAGTGCATTGACCACTGCCTTCGTTGAGTTGCTGACATTTTTTATATGCCTCAGATATGCTCAGGCGTTTTGGGATTTGGTTTGATCTTCATTTTGAGGGACGCGTGCGTCATCTCTATCAGCTGTTTTGTTGTGAGCGTTTACAGTATTTGTTGCCGGCAAAGGGCTTACAACGTGCATTTCTCCCCTTCCACTTCTGCTCTCCCCGCCCTTGGCAAGCATGCAAACAATTTGCAACCTTTTGTTCCATGGTTAACGACGTAGAGCACATGTGTGTGGGTACGGTGCTCCAAATTTGGAGACCTTTCTTCTCTTAATCTTGCCGAGAAGCTTCTCCCACTGGTTTTACTCATATTTCTATTCTTTGATCCTTCATGCCGCGAGAATGCGGTTCCTTTTTCAATACGGTCTATAACATGCTTGTGGGCTCGCTGTGCAGGCAACTTTTATAATGGCTTCTTGCGTAGTTGGTGGCGAAATGTGGGGGCTTTACAAGAACAGCAACAAAGGATCAGTTAGCCTCAAGTCATCTTCCTCCCTCCACAAAACAGCAAAGGAATCTTCAACGCCTTCCACTTTTCGACAAACGGGAGATAACAGCGCTGCTTCCCAGTAAACTGCCATTTGTTTCCCACGAAACACACGAGCACTGTTCAATTGAACCAACTGCCTCCAAATTTTTGGCCGAAATATTTGCTTGAGCCAAGCTTCAATATCATGTACACCTGAAATGCTAAACCTGTGACCATGTGGAGCCGTTCCTTATGTGTGGCTTTCAAGGTTCCAGGGTGCTTTTGGTAGAGAGCAGCAGTCTGTATTCCGTTAATGAATTTCTTTGAAGGTCTATATCATCGTCACTAAAGTTTGAAAAATAAGATGCCTCACTTTATGGCAGTATCACAGGCCTCTGTTTGTAGCATGCAAATTGATCTCTTTTTCCCAGTGCTGTTAACACAGTGCCGCGCTGCAGCCTAAGGAGGAATTATCGGCCCGAATTGAGGTGTGGACTTAAATTGGATATTGCTTAGTGTGATTTTAAGTTCATAGAGCAGAGGAGAGGCCAGATAAACACATAATGCGTAAATAAGAGGTGGAGAACTCTTAGGAAGGCAGGGAGGTGTGCACTGCCCTACTAAGCCTCTGATTCGATTTGGGCTACGTGCGGATTAAACCGCCATTGCATTTAAGCGTGTTCTTGGGGGCTCAGGTGTACAGAGAGTTGGGTCTCGACGTCGGCCACTGTGTCCACTAGGTATGTGAACTATTCTCAAAATCGGCGGTGGTGGTGATAATCATGGTGGATTACAGTCGAAATAAGTATTTTTATGTTGGAGTGGGAGGCATTAATGATGCTTGAAAGCGGGAATGCCAAAGAACCGCAAGAATAAGCAAAACTAAACCCCCAGGGCACCCTGCTGCAAGAAAAAGTGTGAAAGCCTTTCGATGCTTGACGGGAACGACCACATTGCATAGATAGCAACAGAATTGTTCAAATATGTAGAAGCGAGTCTTGACCTGGGGAAGCTTCCTAGGGTTCCGCAAGGTTGCACAGGGTGTGCTTTGTCTTTGCCCTGCTCATCCATGCCCAGTGCCTGCACGCGTGTTAAAATGCCCAGCGAGCGTCCAACAGGCCTGACAGTGTGTCCAGGCTCCTCAGTCTTGTGATAGGTTTGCGTTTAGTGTGTTTCTGTGAGCAAACCCCACGCCTGAACACAAAAACTAGGTTGGCACGACGGGCGCGGCTGTGGCGGAGAGGGCCCCGTTCTGTCCCTCCAACCAGGACGCGGTGTGAAATGGCTATCCCTTCAAAAAAGCGCTCTTGAAGATTTGAATAGAGCTATTAGCTTTGGATAGCGTGCCTTTTTCTGGAAGCGGCGTGATTCGCCCTCCTGTGTCACGTCACCTTGTGCGTGTGCAGCCGACTGGTAGAGGGAGCTGCCTGTTCGCCTCTCGCCGGGCAGTCCTCCCTTCTCTCTTCTTCTGTGGTAAATAGCGTTGCTCTTGCTTGGTATTGACCAGAAATGGCGTCAATAGAGGAATGTGGGGGCGAGTCGACAAGCTGTTCAGTCGACTCCCCCGCCCATTCCTGTTCTGTTCCTGTCGCCACTGCGGTGTACAGGGAAGCCTTTCTGAATTCTTCCTGCAGATCAAGGCCCTTTCTAGCCTACTGGCGCCTTGAAGCCGTAAGGACAAGATGCTTAGCTTTAGCTGCCATGCCCGCAGCTTTTTCAGTGGCAACTTGAATCCCTACAGCTCTCCTAAATACCCTTAAAGCTTCGCTCTGATCTCAGGGTTACAACAAAAGCTCGACTTGAGAAAATTTTAGCTATCTTTTCCGCATTTGCACGCACCTCGTGGGGAATCGCTCTCGGTTATTATGGGCGTACTGCAGGTGGATGAAGTGAGCCTTGATTCGGCAGTGAAGTGGATCACCAGAGAAACCTTTTTCTTTGCTGCGTTAAAGGCGCTCCAGCGACTTAGAAATGTGGTGCACGGAAAGCCACTTCAAGGTGCCTTTGATCTACCACTATCGTATATCCACTATTTCAAAAAGCCAAAATCTTTCAATCGTCACATCCAAACGCTGAATTCCTTGTAGCAAAGTACAGAGTGCTTGGTACTGGCCATTCACTAACTACTGCCCCTTTCTTCTGCAGCTCCTTGTGATTCCTCGTGTTGTGCGTATATGGCACTTGCCGAAAGTTCTTAGCATTCGCTACATCCTTTGTGCCTCGTCTACCTGGCTGCTGCCTTGCTGCGCATGGCATGTTCGCCATAATCCGTGCTACCAAACGCAATCAAAGGCCATAATAAACACGAGCGGCAGCTAGTTAGGCGATACCGAGTGCCCATGTCGAAAATCACATGGATAGGCGTCTGCTTTTGCGTTTCTGCAGGAGCGCGCATTGCACACTACATGTCGGCTAATCGCCTTGAAGATGCCATATTGCGGTTGTCTGCCGTTCTTGGTGAATATTCTATTGTAACTATCAATTGGGACGCCGATTCGTAAGTTGAGCTTTTCAGCCAGTCCAACTGTACGTGGACCGTTGCTGCTTCTAAGGATATCCCCTGACTTCTGCTTGTTCGGCTGTAATCGGATGCAGCCATGTGTGACTTGCGCTGGAGTTCCCACTCGAGCCGCAACCGTACTCTCATTGTGGTGTCCACCACCGCTTCTGGTCGTTCATCGAAATGGCAGCCACGCGGTTCCTAGAGCAGCGTTCTGAATGTGCATACGTGTTGGCTGTTTCCCAATGTTGAAAATCCTAAGGGCACGTGGCACTCGCCGCACTAGCGACGCCTTTCCGTGTGTTTTCTCTTTCTCCCATTAGCTGGTTTCATCAGCTTGGTTGCTGGCGTTTTTGCTACCCCGGTGTCTACCCGTCATGCTGAACAGCCATGCCCACTTCTCCTTCCTGAGTGTTGCACTTTGGCATTTGTTTCTTGGTGGTGCTTCAGTCTCGAAAGAATAAAGTATAAGGTGGTGCAGACTCAGTGCATGGCAGTTGTTCACGATGAATTTGTTCCTCGGGAAAAGATACACGATCTTGCCAAAGAAGCCGAGTCCCTCAACATTCAGGTATCTGCTGCGTCGACGCTCTTTACTCGGACTTGCGGCTTTTTCGTTAATGTCTGTTGTGCGAAAGTGCCTGCAAAAACGGTTTTATGTTTGTTCTCTCTCAAGTGTATAGGCCTCGTTCGTGTGTCTCATTCGTAGATACTCGTGTCTTTACGCATGCGCCCGTGGACGACGTAGAATAGGGGGTCGATGAGCATTTGCCTTTGTTGTACCAGTATTTGAACGAGAGGCTCCCTACTAAATCTGACGGCATGCCCTCTCGGCTTTCGCCGGCGTGTCCTCTCTTTGCGTCTCTTCGCTGTACGGCGCTTTTGCACTTTTTCTGTCGGCAGAAAACCCGGCAGTACATGGCATGGCGTACGGCACTTTGGCGAAGCACGCGAGGGGCAATATTCAGAAATGCTGCCTAGGATGGAAAACACACGCCTTGCACCGATACACGAAGCCAACTCTGAGCCTCTACTGCTCTGAACAGAGTTCTTCTCCCCTTCTTGCTGCAGGTGGTGCCTAGCAGTGTCTTGGCGCAGACAGCGGACTTGCAGGCTTCGCCAGGCCTAAAGGAAATAAACGCTGAACTTGCGGCGTTGGAAGGCCTTCCTCGAGGCAAAGAGGAAGACACGCCGAAAGAACCAACGGGACCAGAAAGAAGGAAAACGCATTCTCCTGAGGAGCGACCCCCCACGTCCGATTCTGAACGGCTGGTGAAAAACGGCACAGCTATTTTCTTCTTTTTTTTCCGGAAAGCAATTTTCAAAGGCTGCGGGTTTGGGTGTGCAGCAGTGGCTCTCAATTTATGATGCAAAAACTTTGCATTTTCGCAAATCCCCATGCACTTCAGGAAAGCCTGCCGATGGACCTTTTCCATTTTTTGCCTTGCACATAAGTGCCTGCTTTTTCAGGTTGTTTTTACATCCGGCACCACCAACGACCCCAAGGGTGTACAGTTGTCTTACGGGTATGCGACGTCCCTTCCCGCGCACTGCCTTTTCCTAATGCCTCGAGGGCCCCTGCCGTGGCGTTTTCTTCATACAACACTCATTGCAAGAGCGCTCTGCTTTGTCGTCTCCTGCCCTGAAAAGGGGCATTAGCAAACAAAACGTCTCAGATTCACCCATACACTCAAAAGCGGCCTCTTGTCCCTCATTCCCCATCCTCGATAGATTAGGCTTCACCTTTCGAGGCTGCAGCCTCCTCGAGCTGGCTGCTCGAGATACCCTTCTGCCATATCCCATTGACGCCCTTCTATGCGGCTGGCAGCCGCACGCTTCAGTTCAAAAATCCTAGCCCACCCTCGTGCCTCCATGTCTCTGTCTTTCGCGTCATTATGTTCCTGCCTTTCGCGTCCTTGCTCATTCCAAGTGGTGTCGGCTCTTCATACTAATCTCCCTGCCCATCCTCTTACGCCTTCTACCTTCCTGGCTTCTGCCTTAGGGTCCCCTCTTTACGCTGTTGGCTTGCTTACTTGCATTGTGGGGCTGCTTGGGTCCTGCATGCGCTTTTCACCGCAACGTTGTTCTTTTCTGCCTTCTTTTCGTCTGTCAGGAATGTCGCCACCGCGTGCCGCTGCATATTGGAGGCTGTAGGTGCGGCAGAAAAGGATATTTCAGTAGATTTCGTTGCAGTGAATCCTTTTCATCATGTCAACACTTCGGTTATCTTTGAAACGGCGCTTCTCTGCCCGAGGGCCCGCATACACCTAATTGATCGGTAGGTACTCAGCCACGTGCATTTTTGCTTGTTTTCAGTGCTTTTTCCAAAAAGATTTTCATGGTGCTCCCCTCTTTCTTCCAGCAATTCGAATTTTCCGAAAAATAATCCCCTTGTTCCGGGACCTCAACAATAAAGGCACGCAGTGCGGTTTTTCCGGTTCCTTTTATTCTGCCCCCTCAGATACAGGACGAGTTACTGGTGGGTCTTGTGTGTTGCTGCAAAGTTAGCGGCGGAAGCAGCAAGAAATTTGGGCAAGGAAACGCGCAGTTCACCGTCCTCGCGTTCATCATCTTTCTCATCATCCACGGAGGGAGAGGAGTCCTTCCGCGTGGTGGCCCCTCTGGTGTCTCGGCACATTGACTTCTTAAGCGCCCTTTCTTCCGGGGATAGATTTCAGCAGACTGGTTTCCTCAAGACGCTGAGGGAGGCGCTTGCGCCAAAAGGCGTTGTCCTCTTCCTGGGTTCCGCTCCCGTAGGGCCCTCTACTGTACGCACAATGCAATGTCTACTAGGCAAGCTTCCACGAGTGAGGTTTGGATCGACGGAAACTGCCCTCCAGGTATACTAATGATTGCGGCGAAAGGAGATGCCAGTCTCATTGGCAGCGCGCAAAAAAATTCTTGTGTCAAGATGGGCGTGCCACTAGCTCGACGCGCCAGCGTTCATAGACGATAGCTGCTGCGGAGTTGTTGGTGAAGGAGAGAAAGGAAGAGACATACAGAGAAGCAGAGAAACATACAGAGAGAGAGAGAGAGAAACAAAATAAACAAGAGAGGCAGTGTAGGGGAGGCGAAGCCTGTTTGAATCTTGGGTTTGAATTGGGGTGTGTATGGGAGATCTTGTGGACGCCCTTTCTGGTGTCTTCTTTGAAAAGATTACAAAGACCAGTGTCGCATCTCATTGTAGGTGTGTGTGGGATTGCGCGCGTGTCGTGTGTGCAGCTGTTGTGTAGTCATATATCTAGGGGGCTAAATGGGTTTTTTCCTGATACTTGCAGGTCGCTGCAATACCGTATTCCCAAACCGATGAAGAAGTGTTGGAGGCTCTCGAGAGAGGCTGGCACCATACGTTCGCCGACTCCCCCCTAAGAGGCTTTTACATAGGAAGGCCTCACACGGGACTGACTGCGCTGAACATAGTCAAAAGCGTGGATGCGAAGGCGGATGCATACATGGTGAGTCTATTGGCGCTGGTGTTCGCCGAAGGGAGGAAGGCGTCCCTCCGATTGCCGGTGTACAGTAGGCGGTGATGCATTCGTGGTGGCCAGCTTGAACTAGGAACCAGAGGGGGAGAGCGGAAGACGCTAGAATCCATTTGTATGGATATTCATGCGCGTTACGGAAAACAACCTGTGAAAGTCTGAGAGACTGTTACTCGGTCTAGTCATCTTCTTGAGTATTTCTAGCCGCTTTCGCCTTTGCCTCATCCTTGCTACTTGCATGCCACAGGGTAGCGGACCGCTTGTAGACACGCGCGACGTCCTATAGTGATGCGATGTGAACAGCCTGTACATCCGGTGTTGTTTCTCGGCGCTTGCGTCTTCGTTGCCCGTCTTTCTTTCTGACTGCAGGCTGACTGCGGCGAGGGGGAGCCGGGGTATTTGATTTGCCAGGGCAGCAACTGCATGCTAGGGTATGCCAATTCAAGCTCCCATCCTTTCTCTTTGGAGGGATGGTATTTAGGTTTGGGAGACGTCTGCTTCTTCTTGCGGAATCCGCGAGACCAGAAGAAAGACTTCTACTGGGTTACCAGAGCGACGGACATGGTAATGAAAGGGGGGGCAAACTATAGCTGCATGCAGATCAACAGCGACCTGCAGCGGTTCGTTGCCTCCTGGCTTTCGGTAGCGAAAGAAGACTTGGCCGTTGCCACCATTGGCATCAAATGGAAGAGTGAGCACGACGACGATACCTGCGTAACTGTAGAGCTGCCTGCAGAAAAGGAGGCAGAATTCAAGTCTCTCATAGAGGAGCAGCTGGTTAAAAGAGCAGCAACAGAGCCCTCTCTCCCCAAAGGATCACGCCCTGATTTTGTACGCGTCACTAGAATACCCAAGACATTCAAGGGGGCTGTAGATGGGAGGCTTATCAGGGAGGAGTTTACTGCGCACTTGCAGCAAACAGCATCTGAGCTTAAGAGAGCAAATTTTTTTGCAGGTGGCTCTTTATCAGCATAGCCCGCGAAAAGTTTTGTGCTCCGACGAAGAAGCAACACAGAATCGGATAACGATTGTTAAAGGTAGTACAGCGGCTCTTAGGGGCCTCGTTCAAGGTTTTTCGTATGATCGCGCAAGAGCCCTCGGGGGCTCTTTGCTCCTTCTAGCCCCTTCAAGAGGCGGCTGCTGCAGCGGCTCGTGTTTCACTGGGTGCTGCTTTTTTTTTATCCCCTGAAAGCCGTGTGGAAACATTATGAAAGGAGAAGCCGAAAAAGTATTTTAGGCCACTTTCAGTTCATTTTCTTCAGCGAGAAGACGCAACCTTCTATGAGGTAGCAATACTGTGATCTACAGAAAATCTAAGACACGAAGGAGGAGAGAGTCACCGATCAAATGGCGCTTGTCTGGGTGTGCGGCTCATTGTAGCCTTCAGGTGCTTTTCATGGCTTATGGAGAGCAGTAGCAGCAACTATCTCATGCAGTGGAGAGTCTAAGTCATTACAGAATAGAGGTGGTGTCCAAAAAGATATCAATGGAGCATACAGTATTGCATCACGGCTTATCGTTCGCGATCACGATGCAGCCGACACATGGAAGAAAAACAGTTGCCGATACAGTCGACAAAATGCAGGGCAAACGGCGCGCGATAGAACATGTAACGAATGTCGTTAGAGCCTGTAAAGGCTCCTGTGGTGATACACACGAGAAGTTCATCATAAAAGGGATAATTCGACATACGTAAAAGAGATAACGCAACATGCGGTAAGAACTGGGGTAGACAGAAGCTTTGATCTGACCGTCCAAAGGTTGAGAAATTTCTGGTCGAGTGCAGCTCGTCCTGCACGAGAGGTGTAACGGCTTTCCTGATGTTTTTCATGCAAGAAGCTTTCTCTCCCCCGCGCTGGCTATCCGCTGTGGTGCGCTTTGTTTCGCCCACTGCGTAAGCTGAAGCAACACACCCTCATCACGTTTTTAAAGCCGCACAGAAGGGTGAGCTTTCAAGAGAAAAAGCACCCGTTGGCAAGGAAGAGAGGGTCAGGCCCCTGGATTCAAGAATAACACAGACCCCTCCACCCCCTTCCAGGGGCCCCTCGGGGCCCCCGCGTCTCGTCTTCTTCCTGTTTTTTCTCCTTTCGGCCCTATTCGCGGCTAATGTGGCTTTAATTCGCCTTAATTCTTCGAAGAAATTTAAAGTAGCGCGCATTTGCTTCGGAGGAGTCCTGCTGCAGAAGGAAGCTGACGCCACCGGAAACTCGCTAGGAGTGCCGAGTACATCAGGCGCAGCCCTCCACGGCAGAAGACCCCTGAAAATGCTGCTGTCTGTGAAGGCTGCCGCTGCAGAAGTATCCGATGCATGCAGCTCAAGAAGCTCTTTCCCTCGGGGAAGCTTCTTGCCCACGCAGCCGATTGCCTTCTCCAGCAGTTCGAAGCGAAGATGCTCATCGCGGGACGGCAACACCCTTTTCACCAGCACCTCCAGGAGCAGCAGCAGAAGCTGAATCCTCCCTTCCGCGACGCTCAGAGGCTGCTCCTTCGCCTGAAGGGCTTCTGGAGGAGAACTGCGCATTGCTGCGTGCTGCAGCTCCAGGGAAGCGACGGAGGCTTTCAAAGACAGCAGCAGGGGCGGCAGGAGCAGCACCAGCGCCAGCGGCAAAGGCAAAGACCAAGGCAGCAGCACACGCCACTAGAGAGGTAACCCCAGAAATCGTCGAAGGAGGCAGCCACAATGTCAGTTTTCCACAGATTTCAAGAAAGCGCAAAGAAGCTCGAAACGACGCAGGAAACCTTTCGAACGGGAGTGCTCCCCACCTGAAGTGCCTCCCCCAAGGAGTTCCCCTGTGTATTCGCGACCTCCAGACGCTGCAGTTGCTCGTTGATTGCATCGCGTTTCCAGCCAAAGGAAGCCAGCAGCAGCAGCAGCAGCAGCAGCAGCAGCAGCGGCAGCAGCAGCAGCAGCAGCAGCAGCAGCAGGAGGAGGAAGAGGCCCATAAGGCGCTAGCCGCGTGGATTGTCGCCTACCACATGGTGCATCAAACGGAAGGGAGTAGTCACGCGAGTAGCAGCTGCCCCCTTTCTGAGAGCCGAGGTGAAAAAAGGCGAGACACTCGTTGTTTCTTTGCAGTCGCTGCGCCTATGGAAGTGGTGGCTTCTGCCGCGGCTGCAGCCACTTTAGTCCTTCAGCAGCTGCAACACGAGCGAAAACAACACCAAAAGCAGAGGCAACAGCAGCAGCAGCAGCAACGCTTCGCGGAAAAATGTTCTTTCCCTTCTGCTGCTATTCCTTCTGCTGCTTTTCCGTCTGCTGCTATTCCTTCTGCTGCTCCTCCTTGCAGCTCGACTTCAAAAGCGGCAAGTGCAGGAGGAAAAGGCTGTGCTCTGTTCCCGCATGTCTGGCTGGTGTGCGAGGAGAAGACTCAGGCTGTCGCTGTGGCTGCAGTGCTTCGACGGTATCTCGAGCTCTCCGTCGAGCCGCTGCAACAGGAGGAGCCGCAGGAAGAAGTGCGATTTCTGAGCTCTTCAAAGGAGGTTTGCTGCATTCTTCAGGAACCCATCACTCTTCGGCAGCGTCAGCAGCTCGTGGGGTGTCTGCGCAAGAAAGTGGTAGCCGTCTTTACGCCCTCCGCCTTTGCCGCTGTTGCTGCAGCAGCCGAGGCAGAGCGCAGTCGTCAGCAGCAGCAAGATCTGCAGCGAGACTTGCAGCAGTTCGAAGCTCTAAAGCGGCAGCCCCTTGAGAGCGAGAAGCTGCATGCATCCATGGCGGCGGGAAAGAAGAGCATGTTTCAGCAGCAGCAGCAGCAGCAACTAAAAATCATGGATTCATGCTCTCTGTTGGTGCTGTTAGAAGCCCCCAAACTCCTCAGAGACAGAGCAGTCGCTGCGGCAGTCGAAGCCTTTCGCAGCACTAACAACAGCAGCAGCAGCACCGACACCAACAACAGCAGTACCAGTGACACCAACAGCAACCAAAACACCAACAGCAGCACTAAGTGCATGGTGTGTTGCAGCAGCTTCCTGCCGTCTTCTGTTGAGGAGCTCCACCAGTGGCAGTCTGCCGTCCACGCATCGACAATCGTGTTTCCTGCTGCTCCTCAGAATCCACTGCCTCCTACTACCGTTTTCGCCGATACAGATAAGTGGCAGAGGCAGCGACAAGCTCTTCAGTTCTTGCAGCTGCTGCTGCGGAAGCGCCTCGCTCGGTGCGTTCGCCACTTCTTCTTGGAAGACGGGCAACTGTGGCTTCAGCTGTTGGAGCAGCAAAAGCACCAACAACTCCAGCAGCAACTTCAGCAGCAAGAGCAAGAGGAAGACAAGCAGCGACAGCAACGGGAGAAGTTTGACAGAATCGCGACTGTCGTGGAAGCGCTTGAAGCGCCAACACGGGAGTCAACAGGCACGCCTGCAGTTCTCAGGAGGCAAGCACAGCCTCTTTCGACGCACGCAGCCGCTCAAAGTGCAGAAACCTTGCAGAGTAATACTTCGACGAAAGAGCCTGCATGCCTCGCAGGCAGTCGCAGCTGTGCTACTGGCAGGAGCAGACCTCTCTCGCGAAGGTGTGGGGGCAGCTCGCTGGATCGCTACAAGCGGCTCGTGGAGGCTTTCAGCATCGCGCTCATAGCAGCGACAGGCACTCTGCGTAAGCAGGGAATCCTGCGCATGCCTCCCGAAGCGCAGCAGCATGTTTTGCGGTGTCTCAGTGTTGCAGAAGCAGCCATCACCAAGGACTGCATCCAGGCAGCGCGAGAGAGGGTACATGTCGCAGAGAAGCAGCGGCAACAGTGGGGGAACGTCAAGAAGGCGTCTTTGCCGCTGTCTTTAGTGCAGCGAAGCAGCAGCAGCAGCGGGCAGCAACAGGTGAGTGGCAGCGAGACTGTCGGCGCCGATACCGCGCCGCTTAGTGATGGTTGCTTTTGAAAAATGCATTCTTCCTTTCCAGCGTGAAGTGCGTGGAGGGAGCACTTGCATGTCTGCCTGGGGTAAAATGTTTTTCCTCTCCTCAAAACGAGCGATGATGCAGAGGGGAGGGGGGGAGAAGATGCCACGCGGAGCTGCTGCAAGGACCTTAAAAGCTTCAAAATTCTTCATAGAATGCGCTTTTTTCATGGCTGTTTATCGTGCGTGCTGCCCATATGCGTGTGTATATGTGTATGTGTAAGCATGTGTTTGTGTGTATATGTGTAAGTATGTGTTTGTGCGTATATGTGTAAGTATGTATGTGTGTATGTATGTATGTACGTGTGTATGTGTATGTGTATGTATGTATGTGTTTGTGTATGTGTGTACGTCTATGTATGTGTATGTCTATGTGTATGTATGTATATGTGTGTATGTCTATGTATGTGTTAGTGTATGTATGTATATGTGTATGTATGTGTTTGTGTGCTACCCATGCGTGTGTGTGTGTGTGCGTGTGAATCATGGAAAGCCTCCCACACAGAGGGGCGCTGTGTCGATGCAGAGTTTGAGGGCACTAATGGGTGGTATGCGTGTTCTATGGCTGTCTGGTTTGCTGTTTAGATCCTCGTGAGTGAGTGTCGATTCGCCATGATGCTGTTGGAGGGCAGAGAAGTCTTGAACAAGGAGGGTCCTGTGGGAACGCTTGAGTACCTCCTCGCGCACGCCACAGCAAGCAGCAGCAGCAGCAGCAGCAGCGGCAGCAGCAGCGGCAGCACCTTAGCGGAGGCAATGGAGAGGCTTTGGAGTTACAGGGAGATGCAGGAGCTGCTCGCCGCTGGGCATGCCGCAGCGTCAACAGCCGCAGCGCGCATGCAGCAGGCAGCGGGCTGCAAAAAAGATCTCTATTTTGGACTTCTCATGGAAGGTGTGCTGTTGCTGCTTCAACTCTTTCATCAGCACTCCAGCTGCAACACCGCCAACACCTGTAGCAGCGTGAGCAACTTGTCTGCGATGCAAGGCGTCGAAGGCGGTGTGCTGCTGCTCACAAAATCATCTGAGGAGGCAGCAGCAGCCGCTGCTGCGCTCCAACACGCTGCGGGGAAAGCGGCAGCCTCTAACTTCACTGTTGAGCTGCTCCCGCCTTCTCCGACTTTTGCTGCCTCCGCCTCTACATGTGGATCGGCAACAACAGGCTCCACTTGTTCTCCAAAGCGACTCCCCGCAGCTGCAGCAAGAGACGCCGGCCTGTGTCGCACCCGCCTCACAACCACCACCACCACCATTAGCAACAACAACAAGAGCACCACCATTAGCAACAACAATGGCAACAACAAGAGCACCACCATTAGCAACAACAATGGCAACAACAAGAGCACCACCATTAGCAACAACAATGGCAACAACAAGAGCACCACCATTAGCAACAACAACAAGAGCACCAACAATAGCAACAACAACAAGAGCACCAACAATAGCAACAACAACAAGAGCACCAACAATAGCAACAACAACAAGAGCACCAACAATAGCAACAGCAACACCAACAACAGCAACAACAACACCACCACCAGCAACACCACCACCACCACCAACAGGAGCAACAATAGCAGCCTCTGTGTGCTGCGGCGGGTTGCTGCTGGCACTGTCTTTGTTGGAGCTGCTTCGGCAGCAGCAGACATATTTCCTGTGATCTGCCGCTGGCGATTGGTATTGGTGCTGTTTGAAGCCTCTGAAGAGCTGCTTGCGTGGTTGGTGCACCGCTTTTCTGCAGCCTGCACATCTGGAGTCTTTTTAGACGGAGAGCCGCTGTCGCATGCAGCCTCTTTGCCCGTGGAAGTTGCCTCTCCCAAGCCACCGAATAAGTTGCATGGCTGTGAAGCTACGGCAGCTTCTGACTCGATCTCCTGGAAAACAGAGGCTGCCTTGCCCCTTGTGCCTAACGCATGCACCAGCAGTCGACAAGGCAATGCAGCTGCTGTTGCACCCCTTGCTGCTGCATGCAATGCTGCTGCGGCGAAAGCACCGACAGCTGAGGAGGTGAAGGCTGCTGCTGCATCTGGAAAAAGTCGTTCTCTCGTTGTCTCGCTGTGCACGAATCCTACGGAAGCCCCCATGAGTGCTGCCGCTGCTGGGGAGGTGTCTCAGCTGTCGTTTTTTGAGGTTCTGCAGCAGCAGCATCACCTGACAGCCTGCTGCAGCGCTGGAGGCAGCAGCTGCGCTGCTTCTTCTGCAGACGACTTCTCCGTGGCGGCAGCAACTAGCAAGCTCTTCAGCAGCCGCGAGTTTCTTGCCTCTCACAGCGCCGCAATGCTGCTGCACGCTTCGACAAGCGGCCCTTCAGATCCAGCAGACGCTGAAAGCTCACACTCAACAGGCTGCTTGCTGCTGTCTGGGCGTCGGCTACTGCCAGTGAAGTGCCTCTTCACAGCCGACACGCGGGAAGCTGCAGCTCACTTCGCCGCGCAACAGGAGCAACAAGCGCAGCAACAACAGGAAAAACAGGAGCAACAGGAGCAACAAGAGCAGCAACAACAGGAGCAACAGGAGCAACAGGAGCAACAAGCGCAGCAACAACAGGGAAAACAGGGAAAACAGGAGAAACAAGCGCAGCAACAACAGGAGCAACAGGAGCAACAGGAGCAGCAGGAGCAACAAGCGCAGCAACAACAGGAGCAACGAGAGCAGCAACAACAGGGAAAACAGGAGCGACAGGAGCAGCAACAACAGGAAAAACAGGAGCAACAAGCGCAGCAACAACAGGAAAAACAGGAGCAACAAGAGCAGCAACAACAGGAAAAACAGGAGCAACAAGAGCAACAAGCGCAGCAACAACAGGAGCAACGAGAGCAGCAACAACAGGAAAAACAGGGAAAACAGGAGCGACAGGAGCAGCAACAACAGGAGCAACAAGAGCACGGAGTTGCTGCCAGCCTGTATACGATATGTGCTTGGCCTTGTGTGTTTGCAGCAGCGTCATCTGCGCTAACGAAGAGAAACAGTGCAGCACGCTCAGCTCAAGCATTAGCAACACGGTCATATGCAGATGGCGTGCTCTCGTTGAATGCTGCCGCCGCTGTCAGGAGTTCAAGAAGAGCTAACGAGGGCAAGAAAGAGTTCAGCAGCAGGAGTACTACGTGCTCTACTTCTGCTGAGGAAGTGTCAGAAGCTGCCGCTCATTCCACCACTGCCCCTGCTGCTGTTGCTGCTTCGAAAGAGGCTGCAGGTGCGACCAGTGTTGCGCTGCTATCCGCGCAGGAAGGCACTTCTCCGTCAGCTGCCGCAACAGCATCCTCACCGGCAGCAGTCCTCCCCGCCTGTGCCTTGTCTCCGCGTGAAAAGCCTCCTCCTGAGGGGAAGGAAAAGCAGAAGCAGAGGCAGAAGAAGAAGAGGCTTCCTCTCGAGAGCGCCTCCAGCGAATTCCACAGTCAAGACTGCGGCAGGGGGGCCCCCAAGGGGCCCCCCGTTCAAGGTGCTGCCCCCTTCCTCGAGGGTATCTTCCATCCACCGGCCGACACAGCCACGACGACCACCACCACTCCCACCACCACTACCATTACCACCACCACCACTCCCACCACCACCACCACTACCATTACCACCACTACCATTACCACCACCACCAATGAAGGGGCGATGACAGACGTGCTTCTTACAGCCTGCAGAGGAGGACAGGAGGGAGGCGTGGAGATCTTTGAAGCTGCACAGTTCCCTCTCGCTACTCCTGCAGCAGCAGCAGCAGAAAGGGAGGGCTGCTGTCTTTCGGTAACCTCCTTTCCGGAGGCAGAACTGGGGGTGGCCTTTTCTGACAAGAATACATGCTCGAGTAGCCTTTCGAAAGCAGACGCTAGCTGTGCTGCTGGCGGCTGTCTCTCAGGCGTCTCGTCTGCTCCTTTGGGCTCTGCAGAGAGCTCTGCGCGCTGCTTCAGACGTGGAGAGAAACCATCTCTCAGGATGCACCCCACGGCACGCAGTAGCCGTCTCAGCGGCGTGACAGCGCTCTCCCCACCCTGCTGCTTTGCTGAAGTCTCAGTGGCGGCGTGTCTGACTGGGGACTGCGCCCACGCAGAACGCGCTTCTCGAAAACGCCTTAGCACCAAATATCCGTCTGGCGAAGACGCTGGGAACCCCTCGAGCGCAGGGGCAAACGAAGGCGTCTTGCCACTCTGGTGGCTGCTGCCAGAGCAGCACCATCCTCTAGCGCGATTTTTCTGCTGAGCTGACTCCCACATGCCCAAACCGTTCAACCTACACCCACATTCGGCACTCGCCTAAAACAGCTACGTTTCAGACAGTAGTCTCGGGTAGCGAATTTCCGCCATCAGGGGACCTCGGCAGGACCCCTAGAAGGTTCCTGCCCATGTAGCAGTAGACGCCTCTACAAAAGCAGCCAACCGTCTCCTGAGCTGGAGATACACCTAGGGGGCCTTTAGGTGTAGCGGGGGGCCGGAATGAGGGCATAACGGAAAACCCCAGTTGTGCAGCAACCACGGGCACTTATGATGTGTCGTTAACGAAAACATAACTCCTTCCATGCAAGCTGATTCGGTGGCCATCTGTGAGTAGCGGGCTGAGCTACACGTACCCTCCAGCTACTACGCTGCTTCTACTTAACTACGGAACGGTACAGAATTGGCCATTTGGCAGAGTTCTTTCCGTACGTCATATTTGTTGCAAAGCAGAGTCGCTCATTTTATTGCCGTAGCAATCCATGCTACGTATATACGTGTGCCCTAGGCTGCTAGATGCGCCAAACTGTGAATGAAGGGACCCCAAGTGCTTCGCGAGGCAGCTTTGCCGATGATGCAGCCTGAGAGAGCCTCGGGCTGGAAGCCTTAGGAGTGAGAGCTAGGAGCAGGGGAGGGACCTCTATCTGGAAGAAAACTCGATATATATCTATTTATGTATCCCGATTGCGAATTATACTGCATTGAGGGCCAAGCGTGTCTCCGCATGAAACGCCCAGTAGGAGCGTTGCAACAAACGGAGAGCGGCACTCCGCAAGCATAATTTAGCAGAGTTCACAGCTCCAAAATCCAATACCACAAGCAAAGTAACACCTGTGTTTATCCGCACACTGCGAAAAAGCCCTGCCTCCCAAGTGTGGGGACCTCCAGGCCCCTTCTACACCGCAGAGGGGTCCTATCCGTAGGGGCAGCTACTGAGAGGCAAGCCAAAAAAATAAAGGAAGAGAAAAAATGTGTCAAATAAAGAAGGATGCCGCCATAAACTCACATATTATGCATTAGAAGGCGCCCTGACAGAAGGTGATGCCTTGTCTGTTTGTCCCTGCCCCCAGCGGTAGGGTGGTAAACGTGTGCATTTGGGTGCCTGCAGAGCGTCCGTTAAAGCAAATTTACGGTACGTTAAGGTGAAATAGTGAAGGAATACATCTTATTGTCACCTGTAGTGCGCGAATTATAAGGAAGAACTTTGAAATTCACGCTGCTCCTTTTATTGTGCGGCCAGGCCCCTCTTGGCCATGGCGACGTGCAGCAAGTAACATGCGCAGACAGTATTGTACTCAACTCTTCCGATGCAAATAAGGGAGTAATCAGAGAGTAATCAGGAGACGGTAAGCTTGTATTTTAGCCGTGTTATGCATGTGTGTTGGATGTTGCAGCACTTCGCAGTGCCCCTAGCATCAAACCCAATCCATCCATCCTTAAAGGAGCTGCAGTCTAAGCTCAGGCACTATTTTAAGGCATGGTAGCGGGCGCTCCTGCTCGCGTTCCTCCCTCTGAAGTAGGGGGGCAAAATGTTGTTATATTCATCCTTTTAAGTGATATGCCTGTTTTACATGCATATCAAGTATAGAAATCCAGTTCGAGGCAAACATCGTAAGCGTCTCGATGCCTCGTCGGTTGGTACCTCTGGGATCCTTCTGCGGAGCTCATTTAATTTTCCTCCTCTAGCGGGCAAAAGGGGAGCATTCGGAGCATTGAGAAGATAATTTTCATGCATCGTTGCTGCTTGTTGCATTCAGTGGCCTGGGAGTGTTTTTGGCGGCCGATTTCTTTTCTTGAATTTTCAATGCACGATTGTTGGGCAGGAAGGGCTCTCCGTACACCAAATGCCATCATCATTGCTTTCTCCTTTTCTCAGGTTCCCCAATTTTGCATTGCCATCTATTTTGCATCACAATGGTGGTAAGCAAAGTAGGCGTCTTAGTCTTAATCTTGTCTCCTTGACAGACTTCATTTCGTGGTTTCTTGTGTTGCCGCTTGGGGTATTTTCTCGTATCGCAGTGCTAAGAAATTCTGCGAAGCTCTCCACATACTATATTTACTCGCTCATCTCTCAATGTGACATTGTACGCTTAGCAGCCTCCAAAGCCAGCTACCCTCGCAGTTTTTTTGCTCGCGTTCCCCTCTGCCTGTCGCAGCCCTCACACTCGAGAAAGCCGGAAGTCTTCGTCCTACCCGATGGCACCCTTTATCATCTGGGTGTGAAACCTGGCCAAATACATCCAAGAATTTTGACTGTTGGGGACAGAGAAAGAGCGCGGTTGCTAGCCAATGCTTTTTTAGAAGATGCGAAGGAACACGAACACAGCCGAAACTTCCTCACATTTTCCGGTGAGCTGGAGCTAACTCCAGAAGCAGCGGGGCAGGAGCCAATCATTATTCACCATTGTTTGCATACATATTTACACGCGACAGGGGGCTGGAAGTGGGGAAAGATGATGCTACCCATGACAAATGTTTCTGGCGGTCATGTGTTGGGGGATACTCTGGTGTTTCTCACTGCTGATATCGGGTTTAGGGGCCAGCGTAAAGGTGCCCCTATCATAGAAAGGGCAAAAAAGCAGGAAGCTGGTCTGCATGCCCTGCTTCTGCAGCTGGCTTCTCTCGGTAGGTTACCAGGCAAGTCTTGTTGCTTGCGACGAGGACCATCATGTCAGTCACCGCATCTTGCGAGATTTATAGGTTCTGCACTTTTTTCGGCTTAGGAACCTACAAGGGAACTCCGGTTTCCATCGTGTCTATCGGAATGGGAACGCCCAATATGGATTTTCTGGTTAGGGAGGTTTCGTTCCTGTTTCAAGACGAAGGTCTCGCCTTCATCCGCTTGGGTACTTGTGGCAGCTTCAAACTCGACCGCCCCGTTGGCAGTCTCTTCATCTCCGACAAGATGTACTACTGCTACAGGTGTGGCTTTGCTTGTGCCATTTTATGGATGTGTATTCCTCCGCATTTCCCCCTTTTGTTTACGTTGGTCCGCCCCGGTGCCTCCAACCGTCGTCTGCGCAACGATTCCGCCTGTGCTGCACGCACGCTTGACTGCGACCCCGTTCTCTCTGTATTTCATGCGATGCTGTTTGTCGTAGGAACTATTTACACTTCGACGGCAATCCGTTCGCACATCAAGGCGTCCAGCAACCGCACTGTCCGTACATCATTGCGGGGCCAGTTGAGGGCGACAAGGAACTGACAGAAAAACTGGAGGCAAATATTGCAAAGCTGGAGCTCTCTAGCGTCACGGGCTCGGGTATTTCTGCTGAGACTTTCTATGGCTGCCAGGTGAGTCTTCTTCACACTTAGTTTTGCTCTTGGATTTGTTGCACCCGCGACTTCTAATTCAGAAGGATAGTAATGTGGTACTGCTTGCTTCATGATGCCATCCCAATCTGAATAGCGAAGGCAGGCCTTACACTGTTTATTCTGATACCTGTAGTCAATATGCGTGGCTTCGGCATATGTGCACTCGTGAAGAACCCACTTGCCTGTATGCTTCATCAAAATGTGGTCCTCTCAACGCAGTACACACGGGCGTGCCTTCCGACCTTTCCGCAGGGCCGTTTTCTCCCTGGTTTTCACGACGATAATGATAAATTATTCAAAGAATTTTCAAAGCTTGAGATTCAATCCTGCGAAATGGAATCGCATCAGCTGTTCCATCTCTGCAAAGAGCGCGCGAAGGGGAATTCCAAAGTAGTAACAAGGGCGGCGTCTATTTGTGTGGCTGTCGCCCACCGTGTGGCTCCAGATATGCCTTCGCGTCCTGACACACTTAGTAGCGTAAGCGTTTCGCGTGCTCCCGACCCTCTGCTATGCTTTTTCCTGCCCATATGTGTAAACAAGTGTATGTTTCCTGAAGATTTATGTCGAAGTGCATATGGTAGACTCGTGCCAGTATAGTGTTCGCTGTAAGGCGGAATAAAGGCTTCTTGGTTTACGGGGATTCAGCCATCGCTACTCTTAAAGGTTTACATGTGCTTGTACAATTAAAGTTCTACAAGCAGTGGAGAGTTGCTCTGTCACATAGAGCGTGAGAATTAGCTGTGTTCGTCGTCGAGACTACGATCTGATACGAATATGATTATTGCCCCCAGGAAACCCTAAGCATTGTCAAATAGTCCATCTAAGTTGAAAAGAATAAGTTGGGCTCTTATTGAAAGTGTTTTGAGCTTCTACTTCCGTGTATCTGCTTCCATCTAAGTTAACGCTTTGAAAACATTTGTGTGTGCCTTACTCAGGAACACACACGGGAAATCATTCTGAAGGCCGGTGAAGCAGCTCTGGATGCCCTTCAATCTATTCATGTGTAAATAAGTGCGGACGATGCTGTTCGGCACTACTTCTAGACAAAGTTTGTAAACGTGTGCTTGTCCATAAACAATTTGCATTGATAGACCAAGGATGAAAAGGAATGCAGCAGATGTAAACAAGAATGACACAGATATATGGCTATAGGATCAGGGCTGCTTTTTGCATGAATCTTTTCATGCTTTGATTTGTTGGTTAGCCTGTAAAAGACCACGAAATTTTGCATATTGCCCTGATTCATTTCTGATTTGGGGCTTTTCTGTCGATGATTATCATCAGCTGCATGCTTCCACCTTCTTTAATGTAATTGAAGACAACTTAGAATTTAATGTTTTCCAGTTTATATCAAAAGAAACTGTGCAAAGCGGCTTCTACGCGTGTTGCATGCCGCCTGGCACTCCCGCACCACAGAAGCCCTAGAAATAGAGGCATATAGGCATTCAATGCACTTTATATTGGTCATTCGAAGTAGCAATTACCAGTCACTAGACGAAGTTTGCAAGGGCGTTTTGTAGGTTGCGCAACACATTTTGCATACATCATCTGACGTATTCGGTGTTTAACCGGACCAGTCAAGGAATATTCATTCAGCTTACTTATGCATCTGTCCGGACGAATATCTCCGGCGCAGTCAGCATATACTGCTCCCGCTGCGGCTGTCGAAGTATTCGTATATCAGTAGTAACCACCACGCCTTGGAAGTGGTTTCGTTACCTACCGCCAACGCAAGTCTCCTTCATCTTCACCAGTTCTACACAGGCGAGGGCTCCTGCTGCTTTTGATTTTTCTTTGCAATGTCTTCTGCAGCTCTCTTCCGCTTTTCGTGAATTCGCGAACTCCGTAGAACAGCAGGTGTCACAGAAACCGCTTTCACCACTGTTGTTGCCACTAGAACATTCCTTCAGGCTGTGAGGCAGTGACCATCAAAATGTCTTATTCCTTTCAGCTGCGTGTGTATCAGTACCTGGCGGCCAGTGATTCTAGTCCTATGCATCTGTCCAGCCCAATTGGAAGGCTTGTAATTTGTTCAAACGCAGGAAGATCTTGAGCTGGCACCACTGGCGCGACAGCATTTTCGTTCGCTGGATGCTGTTTAGCGGGGGTAACGGAAGCTCATGAGTCTAGTGAGGGAGGAAAAGACAGCGCAGATGGTATTACCAGCGAGATTGACGAAAAGGCAACGCCAGCACAACTCCACGTGGAAAGCCCGACAGTTCCAGAAGATAACCCTGGTGGGTACGCAAGTAAGCGATATCTAGATAAATGTGTGTTTGGGAGATGACAAACCATCTGTCCGTCCGATGCTGAAGACAGGCAATGCAGTGGCATTCCCTGCATTTATGACAATGTGGCTGCTGTTGAACGACACTTTGATTGTATTCCAGGATCCCGGCTTGAACGACCAAAGGTTGGACTTTGTCAGGGTGCTGTATACACCTCGGAATTTCTTCCGTAGGCGCACGAATGAAGGGCCCATTTCAAATAAAATAAAATTGTCCTTATCCTGGATGTTGAATGCGGCTCCCACAATGCCTGCATGCAGTAATGTGCGCAAAAAGCAAATGAGAAAAAAGGCTAGTGCATCTAAGGGTTTTGCGGCAGAGCGTGGTAGTACCGACGAAACTACGAAGCGCATGACGCGCAAGCAGGAGCAGTGCGATACGGCTGCTGGGTCCAAAGGGTCCCTACCTTCACACTGTGGGAAGAATTTGAATGAGAATTGTCCTTCATCGCATGAACGATGGCGTGCGAGAGCCAGAATTGCGGGTGCCTGTAAGCCACGGCGTAAAAGGGGAAACGTGAACAACAATAGAAGTTATTTGCCTTACCTTATTTTTGATGCCTCCTATATTCGACTTAAGCAACAAAAAATGATAATAAATAGTGCTTAAGAGAAAAGAAAAGCTGCTCTACCATCTGGGCAATAGTAGCATGCTCTCCTCCAATATCCATTGCGTATTTCCAGTGAGACGGAACGTCTGCTGCCTCAGGATCAAAAGCCGTCCACTCATCGCTTATACGTCCCACGAACTATCGAAAATTTGAAGTAAAGGCGTGGCGCATATCACATGCTGTACAGTGCAGAATGCAGCTCACTGATTCTCTGTAATTGCTGCATTGAGGCGGATACGGTGGCAACAAGGGTTTGTCGTTGCCACCAATACAGGGCAACGGCTTAATGCTAAGCCTATCAAAACACGCCGAGTTTACTGTGCTTGTGTAAAAGCCGACAGAACCCGACATAAAGGAACCATCTAGAAGGTCAATGTCTGTCTCTGGTGCTTCAACAGACGCCTCCTCCGAAACCTCAGAAACGCGTATCTGAATTCTTTGCAGCTGGGCAATAATCTCTACGTGATACCACTGTCCTTCAACAAAGCCGCCATCATCGATCCTTGCCGCTTCTGTTGGAACGCCGTTCACAACTCGCAATAGCCGCTTGGTTCCGCCATTCGCTTGCTGCTAGAGCCGACTCGCAAAACGTTTGTCGCGACGATGATAAAATTTCGGCTTACTTGTCTCATTTCAAAGAGAAACATGTTTCTGCTGTCTCTCACGCGAAAGGCAATGCCCACCGACCCCGAACCAGATACAAGTATATCTCCCGAAAGCACGAAGTCATAGTAATTCTTGTCCTTCAAAATCGCGTACGTCCCTGTGCCAGTGCTGCCGGGGATGGTTGGAGAGACAGCAGACAACTGGCATAAACTGTGGTGGTTCTCTCGTTTTCCTGCAGGTGGGGGACCAATCTTCCACTTGCTATTCCCTACGGCCAAGCACTAGGAGTAGCTTGCGAAGGATGTGCACCAGAGACGATACTGCTTACCAACTGCCAGTTTGGATTCAAATGTGTGGAACACATCAGATTTTTCTGCATTTTTTACAATGTCTATGTTCCATTCATCTGCGGCAGACTGCTCTGCTCGCTTTTGGAGAGCCTGAACAGCGCTTCTGCTAGCAGCTCCCGAAACGTTGTATTGATAGGAAAGACCGTACTTCTTTTACTTCTTTTGTACTCTTTTCTAGCGCCTGAGAGATCTTTCCTGATAAATTTTTCAAGTGCTCTTCCAGATGCTCAATTTGTGTCAAAGTTCCTTTCGATGTAAGCTGTAACAAACTCCATTGTTACGGCGAAGGAAACACTTCGACGCGGATTAAACAACAAACCTCTAGCCGTGTTTCCACAAGTTCAGCAGGCTTGAGAGTAGCCCTCGTCCCTGATATCGCCTGCCATTGCCTTTCTGTAGGAGTTGTTTGCTTTGTAGACCATGAGACACCCACATACCTTGGTAGCTGAGAGGCGCACATGGTCCATTACCTCACTGTCGAATCCCCCTAGCTGCTGTGACAATATTGTAGATAGCTGGTTTACGGCCAATGTTGTAGCTTCGTTGAGCTCTTCGCTCGCTCCTGGAGGGTGCGGTGGGCTAGGTCCACTTTGCGCAGTTGTAGGAGCAGCGGCTGCTGCAGAAGGACCAGCAGTGGGCAAAGCGCTACTCGCGATTCCGATATTGGTGCCTGTCGTGTTTGGTGCTGCTGTTGGTGAGTTAGGGAGATGCTGCGGTGCAGCTGATGTTGGTGCCGCAGCCTCTAGGGGCGATGCATGCAATTCTAGGAAACTTGTGGAAGGGCTTTTTTCTGTTGGACACTGCCGCGCAGCTGACTCCAGCGTGAAAGCTCTTTCCCGCTGCACACCAAGCAAGCTGCTAGAGACAACGCCGTTCTTTTCGCTGCCCTCAAATTCATGCGGAGCTGCTACGATTCTAATTGCAACATCTCCCCCTCTGCTGAGCAGTCCTGAATGAATCGCTGCAATGCAAATTGAACTATCATCAGTGTACACGCCGGTTTCTCCCCCAACCAGTTTTGCCTCGTCAACTAATTCAAGAGGATTTGCATTGAAGCGCCAGACACATGAGAGTCCGTTAGGCGATCTAGCCTACCGTAGTGAATGCAACCTTCTGGACACCTAATAAAGAATGTGCTACCCTGCGGTCCATCAAATAACGCATTTCCTTGGACTGCAGTAGTGCATGTCACATCAGTGTAGGACTGCGGTGGATTCCATGCATCGGTGTTTGTTGAGCCTGAACGCCATTCAAGTGTGGTCGATTTGAGACACGTGCATGCTGCTTCCCATGAGATGCAAATTGCACTGACAGATGATTGTGGACATGTCGGTGTTTGAAGCGTCAAAGAATATCAATCCTGTCGGCGATATTCCAACAGTGTTTCCGATGAGTCCTCCATTTTTTTGTGCTTCCACAATAAATTCAGTGACCTGTTTTTCGTGCATCCACATTACGGTTTTTGAGGACTTGTGCGGCTAGAAGAATGTGCATATTTGGCCTACATCTTTCTTGAAATCGAGAGAGTAGAAAACGTTCGCCCCATTGTTCACTGCAACTGGCACTGGATTTGTTAGATCCATTTCCATAATATCTAACATTCGCTGCAGCGCTTCGATTTGCCGATTACTCTTCAAGTGGACAGGCTCAAGTCCCAATTCTGCACTTCCATTTCGCTGTTGACAGGCGTTCGCTTATTTCGATCGAACCGTACTTACTGCTGCATGCAGATACGGCATCACGGACAGTCACTATGCCATCGTTGTCTGGAATTGTGACATATGTACCACCAGATGAAAGGTCGCAGTAGGCCCTCAGCGGCTTGGACGCACAGAGCGGTAGCACCCAATAAAAACCTGATGTTGACTTGTTAGATGCGCTTTTCAGCGCGTAACAATCCTCAATCGCATGCTGCTGAGTCAACCCAGGCAGACTGCTTAAATCCACGTCGCCACTAGGAGATTGTAGCTCGCTATCTGTACCTTGCACTTACAACGTTGCTTCGTAGCTGCATTGATGGCAGTCTTACCGAACCGCGCTATAGCACTCATCGTGTCCGCAATCTCTGTCTCGATTGTTGCGAGCTTGATAGTTTCTGCTTTCTTCGCTCCCAGGCATGTTTTCGCTGGTTGCATTATTTCATCTACTGCGGATAAACTCTTCGCCATGGACATGCTCAAAGCATTGGCTGCTTTTCCTGCCCGTTGCAGCTCCATACCGGCAGACAAATCCACCTCTGATACCAATTCAAGAAAGAACTTGTCCCGAGCGTCACTTGAAGCCTTTGCTTTTGAGCAAGGCTCCACAATGGAACGAAGCCTATTGCTGTAGACGGAAAGTGTTTTGATGCCGTAGACAAGCTTGTCATTTGAAACGCTGGAATCGAAATTCGCCTTAATCTCTATGTAGCAAGTTTTACTGTATTCTGCACAAGGGTTACCCTAGAATTGGATGTGCCCGTTCCATCCGAACCCGCAAGAACCGAGCGATAACAGCCTTCATGTCATCCATCGTTGTGTATGCCGCATTCACGTCGGTTCGGGACACATCCACATAGTTTGCGCCATCGTTGCTTAGTGCAATTGTGTAGCTTAGGGGAGGAAACTCCCAGTCAATATCTGTAGTTCTCAGCTTGTATTTGTCTCCCAGGTCCACATCAAAGTGAACAAACTCCGGAACCGCGTCTTTCGGAAATTCCGGGGAAGCCCAAAATGTGTCTGCATTTCCATCAACGGCCGCAGATGGTCCGTGCTCGTCGTCAGCCGCTCGAGAATGAGTGCTCCGCACTTCGGCATCCTTTGCTACATCTGTACTCCCAGCTTTGCTGCCCGTCTGCGACAGACAGTAGTTCCCTCCTCGGAGGAGTTTTAGCTGGTTATTCGGCTGCAGCTCCCTGTAAACAATGAGTAGAAAGCTGATGGATGCTACCAAGCCTGATATCTGTACCATACGCTCCTTCCGTCTTGGAAGTTGTATTCTGCTGTGCAGTCGCCTGTCACAACTTGGCCCCCGTCCTGGACGTTATTGTCCTTCAAAACCATGCAGACACCCAGCACTGGATTTTTGATTTGTCCTATGAACGAGCGTGAATCCAATTGTTGCGTTCGACTATGCAATGCTGAATTATTACCTTGTTCGGTAAACTGCCAAAGCGCACGCTCGTCTGCGATTGCAGTTGACATCAAACAGCCATCAAGAACAATATCTCCTCGTTCATCGCTTTGAACGCACAAGTCCTGAAGGCTTTTCAGTTTAGGGAAATAGGACGTATGACAAATTGACAATTGCCCCAACGCACCTGATGGGGACTGGTAATGCCGCTTTGAATGCGAAGGACAGGGAACCCCCCGCCAAGTAGCTGCACTAGGCTAATCCCAAAATACTGACTCTGCGGATCCTTCATCATAATACGAATGGCCTTTAAGTATACGGCGTGGGGAAATGTGAGAACTTGGTGGAACTGCGCTGAACCAAAAGGTATGATTTATAGAAACACCTAGTATACAATCCAATTCCCTCACGCCCTGCAGAATTGACATCTTGAAATGGTATTATTTCCTGAAAGGCATCGCTTCCATCGAAGCTTGCGGCGATAGCGACTAAAAAAGTAAGCGTTTTGTGTTTTGCAGCCCATGATGAAAACGATCAATAATGTTCCCCTCGTACCTTTTCCAGGAGCATATGCCCAATTAATTTCTATACCTTCCACTAGACGTCGGGTTTTGATTCGCCCTGTCCATGAAACGACATCTTGTTTTCCGTGGTTTCCTTCAGAACACCAGTAACCGGATCCACGGCTGAGCGCTTTCTCTGGGGAGAATTCCCTGTGTCCTCCCTGCCCAATGCTTGGGAAAAAGGAAGTTGCTTGCGCTGAATCGATGCGAATATAGGTATTTACAACCATCTGCTCAGCCAGTGCAAATAAGGGCTGTTCCCAACATTGTAGCAACGCAACAGCTGCCCATAAAAGTGCTTTCAGCCATCGCCGGTGTACTCCCATCGTATGAGTGGTTCAATACTGATAACTTTAGGGGGCTCAAGCAGTGAGCCATTCATAGCCACTCCGATGAAACGAAATGCATAATAGCGTATTTTGCCCTGTGGCTACGATATGTCGAGCTGTAGGTACACCAGTGACTGCGTGCAGCTCCGCACACATATGTTGGAGCCATGAACACTTCATTGCGTGGAACATGCTTGAAGTGTTTCCAATTTTTATGGATGCTTGATTTTTGATAAGCAGACTTGTCCCCTGGGGATTTTAGTCGGTGGATCAACTACAAATATCTAGAGGTGGACGATGAAGTATGACATCCCCCCGGGGTGACCTTAGTGACAAACCGCAGCACATCCACTTTTTTGCAGTAAAAATAGCTTTCGACTTGGCCAATGCCATAGCAAAACTCTGCCTTTGTAGAATATTGATACGTATAATTCGGATCACCGGCTTTTCTTGCTTGTTTCGTCCATCTGTCGATTTTTCTTTTATAGAGCACTACGTATGGTATGCATTTGTTCAATCCAGCCTATTACTTGCCTTTTAAGCTTTGCAAGAGCTGTATGATTCCACAATCCACTACTGGCTTCAAGCAGGGGATGCCAGAGGGTTCGATTGAAAATTTTTTTGGGTTCATCTGAAAAGACCCTCGCGGGTTCTATTGAACTTGGTACAGCATTTCCTGTCTCAATTGAAAAATCGTCTTGTCCATGAGCATGCAAACGAACATTTTTATATGACATTTCGTCTGAAATTTCCGGAAAAAATTCATATTAATAAGAGACTATGGATGTGTTTACCAGCACATCATGGGAACGTGGCGTGCGTGAAGCAATTTTCCAGTATTCCGTAGTATGGCGTTAAGAGCTCCAGAATATAGTTTCTCTCTGTATCAAGAGTGCTTTGAAAGATAAATGGGAGCGCACAAGAATGCGTGCTTTACTTTGCTTTCCTTGATAAGCTAGTGGTAGGGGGCCGAAGAAAGAAACCGGTGAAGAATCGGGTGTATGCTTGGCATAGCCTAGCATGATGCGTAGGACAGCCTATTCTGCTTATGCGGCACTTGTCCGTATATTTCTGCTGGTGGGTCGTCGGTCAGCCACACACTGAGAGACGTGGGGTTGTATCTCTACGCGAAGTTGCTACATGAGTTGCCGGACGCATTCAAAGGCCGCAGGTACCTCTCAACGACCCGCTGTATTATGCTTTGAGAATCTTGTGGACTGAGAATACAATGTTTAATCCCGTCATTGACTTGCGATGCGGAACTATTACTTTGGCTTTTATATGTGCCCCGCGGCAATAAAAGACCAGGACCCAACATATTGAGCAGATCCAGAGTGCTCTCCTTGAACATCAGGAAAATGGGGATAAGGTTCGGTTACTTCGCAGCTGTAATTCTCCGTTTCATGTCTTGAAAACATAAAAAACAATAAACCCTGAACGAAATTAGTAGGCAGCTCTTTAGCACAACGCTCCATGTATGGTTGTCGTACGCAAGCACGTGATTTCAGATTCAATGCAAAATTATAGGTTTTTTAGTGTTGCTCAAGAAAAACCTATGTCTCCTTTCCCGTGGGCCTTATAGTTCCTACATGAGGGGAGGGCAGCCAGGATTCACGGGCGTAGCTGCACTTGCCTAGCGCTCCGAGCATCCACTGCTAATTGCACATACGACACATGCATACAACCTGTGATAAATTACGTCCCTGACATAGGACAAATAAGTGAATTCGGTACTGATCCTTCATAAAATACAGCTAGTATAGTAGAAAGTGTTCAGGTGTAGACCACCTACCCCGCTGTATCTTTTCCCCAAATTTTGAAGTACAAGCCTAAGAGCTCCGTATTTGTACGTCAAGACCAACCGAATGCAGGACACCAAGAGAGTTTTTCCTCCATCGCCACTCCGTAGGCAGGCAGCAAAGCAAAAAAAGTAAGAAATTTACATGTGTGCATCAACCGCTTGAGTGATATATACCGAAAGAAGGACACACACACAGACGCACACACACACACACACTCACAGACGTTAGCAACACATGAGAGGCCGATTCAACACGACCGTGAAGCCGCATATGGCTTTCTAGCGTTAGAGTGTTGTAATGTGTGTGGCGCCTGTTCCCAGAATATAGAAGACAAAAAGCATCTGTAAAAGAAATCAGAATGTAGAGAATTTTAGCAGTGCCTTCGCGCTTCGGGAAGAAATCTCCGCGTGAGAATGCAGCCGGCGCATGCAATGAAGTCGAACATGTTAAATCAAAAGATGCACGAAAGCAATTTTAAAAACACCATCTGAGAGAGTGTCTGAGCATATAGCTGGGTAAAGAGAAAATTCGGGCAATGATTACCGACATCCTTTCAAGGAGGTTCCGACCGAGAGTGGTAGCTAGTTCAGGCAGAGCATGCGCTGGGAAAGGAGCGCGAGGAATAACTTTCATGGCTACTAAAATTGTTAGCCGAGCAAAGGTGTTAATTCTGTTGTAGGTAACAAAACTCGCAACTACGTTTCCGTTAGCCGCTGAAACTCGCGGTCCCCAGCAAATGCAACTAGAGGCTACTGTTCAGCGCGTTCTCGACTATTCGGAGTCCTAGAATTCAGCACTTCCACGGCTCCTTGTGACGCTTCGTCTTCACAAGGGCCACTGACCTGGTTGGCTAGTCCGGATATAACTTGTGTAGCCTTGAATTTACTGTGGGAAGCCAATTTTGATAGTTCGGAACCACCTGTAGGCTAGAAACACGGAACCGACCGGAACTTTACTGCAAATACGCACTTGTCTGCCTTTATCTTTTAGCCTACTTCAGCAAGCGTTGGCTACCTGTTCTCTTAGTAGCCTTTCGGCTTGGGTTAGATGCTAAATTTGAACAAATAGGTCCACACCAGGGCCGAATAGGGGCTCCTCGCTGGAGACTGGGGCTGCGGGAGGGCAATGAGCAGACGAATGTGCTGCACAAACCCACTCAGTGGAAGGGAAAACATCGAGCCAGACCATTAGATTTGCGTGAATGTAGAGTTGTAGATACTGTAAAATAGTGGGGATGGTGAGCTGCGTCTCCCCTCAGGGTGGTTCAAGTGGTCCTATTGTGGTCAATGTGTAAATGGGTCAAGAGGCACGCCAGAATGCATCAACAAACTTTGGATCCCTATTTGTATTAACACTCCTGAACAATTCATGACGCTTCCAGAAATGCTTTAAGAAGATTTTGGGCGAGTTTATTAGCCGCGACAGAGCTGAAGCAGGGGATAAAAAGAGCATTTTTGTCGAGTCGGTCGACATTAGCACAGATGCTATGCTTACCGTTCAACGACGTGAGCCAAGTAAGAAAGTCCATAGCCAGAAAAACCAAAGAATCTAACAAGTGGAAGGTTTGCAATGGGCCGGGTTTATAAATATTGCTCAACGTAAGTTGTCTGGGCATCGCAGTGCAACACCTCTTACGCGGGACGCATCCCACTCCATCAAGATGACGTGAGAGCCTTTTATGTGTGCCGCGAATTTCCCCTTGGCTCAAAAGAAGACCTCCGTGCGATTTGCACGAATCGGCACTCTATAGCGAGGTCGGGAGGTACAAACGACGGAGGCCCCGCTGTTTTCTGACCATAGTAGGCCATCACAAATATTGCTCTTACGAAGACGAATACTTGCGCACATATTCACATGACGCTGCATGTTACACAACATCTGAAGCGCGCGCCGTACGTGCTGTGGATTCTATTCAACGTTTCGGCTGAGAGCTACTACGTCGTCTAGAAATATCCTTGTAGCTCTCCATAATTGGCTCGTACAAATCCCGATCAACCAGCCGCTACAGCTTGGCTAGGAGATGAGCAGCTCCAAACGGCATGCAGGTATAGTCGATCTTGCGAATGCAGGTCTAAAACAACATTTTTGCCTATCACTTGGGTGGAATGGAATTTAAAGAAAGTCTTGAGTCTAATGTCGAACTGACCATGATAATTTGTCAAATGATTCACGAACAGGTGTCATTTAAAGCTTCGGCTTAAATACTCTTGTTTAGGGGCCTTATGTTCAAGCACATTCACCATCTTCCGTCGTTTTCCGGCTGCAACACTGGGGTGGGTCGAAGAGCGCTAGCCAATTTCACTTTTGCCTATCCTCAACAGGCCTTTCTCTTGCCTTGCAATCCTATTCATGTACTGATATCTTTGATACCTCTAGCCTAGCTTGGGGTTAACTAGGCAATCAGCCCATTAGGGTGAGCAGCATGAACAGCAATGGCCAGCCTGCTGGCAGCTCGTCATTATTCACCACATCAGCACACTCCCCTTTCATATTAGCCCATTCCTCCTGTCCTTCAGCTAAACGTTAGATAGAATCATCTAATAAGGAATCGTTTTGAGAGCCAGTAAGATGAAAAGCGCATCTCCACAACCGCCATGCCTCACTGCTCTGTTTGGCAGTTCGCATGAAGGGTTTGCCTCACGTTGTTCAGGCACCGACTATGTCCAATATATCACGCTTACTCTCAACAATGTCTGGTACACTATCCTTCAGAGCGCTTATCTCTGGCCTCATGTGCGTCTTTCATTGGGTCACCCATGGCATACCTAAGAATATGTCTTCATGTACGCGTCAAAGGTAGAAGCTACTGACCATGCTGATAGGACCTGATTCCGATTTGGAGCTGCATCAAGCCGTCGTGCCTGCCCTAGCCGTACCAATCCTTGCGCCATGCTGCCTCTGAACAAATAAGAGCCCTGGGTACCATGCTAACTAGTAAGAGGGTGCACCTCTGTGTCGTCTTCTCGGATAGGAGCTCCACTTCATCTCAACTGCCAAGTAAATCTGGCGATTTTCTACCACTCTGGTAAATTTGTGTCAGCGATTATTTGACCTGTGGTGAGCTTGCGAAGACGGCTGAATCATCTGTAAACCCCTTAACGGCTTTGCACCTGCCTGGGGGGTTTCTATTTTCCTGCTTCGCCTTCTTTGTTTGCCAAAAAGCCTGATCCCAATCAGCCCACTCTCGGCTTTTAGATTTTTGGTTCTTTAGCTGTGCTTGCAGCGCCGGACTACGTGATCTGCTCCACAATACAAGCAGGTGCGCTCTCGGGGTGGGTGTGTGGGGTTGCCTGAGAGCGTGGTCTCCTTGTGGATTTCTCTTCCATCCTACCTTTGCCTGCAAGCTTATGCCAATTGGCACAGCCGCGGTGTCCATAGCTTTTAGATTTAAACTTATATCCTTCTTTCTAACTAAAGATGCAGGGACTGCACTCCTTTGCACCTGAAGTTTCGGCTAGTCTACTATCTGTTCATGTCCCACCTCTCGATTGCTTACCGTCTAAGTTGCTGCTTACCCTGAGACCATCTGGCCTGACGCTTCGGGTTGACCGGAGATAAATCAATGTTAGCAGCCCGTCTACACTGCGACTTCTGCTAACCAAAGTTTCATACATATTTACATATACCCAGATAAAGATAAATCCTCGTGCATCAATTTTCTCAATCTTTTCTATTCCTCGTTGCACTGAAATTGGCATGAACCGACGAGTCAGCGCTTGTGGGGAGCCGTGAATAGCAATAGTCTCTGCAGGCACACGACATTCGTAACGTGAATAAAACCACTATCGAAGTGCCTCTTTCTTCAGTTAGCATTCGGGCAGGAGCAATCTCTTCTCCTCATGTGAAGGCAGCAAAGCAAGGTGCATCCCTAGCAGGCTCCTGAAAACTTCGTGTACTTATACCTCCTTAAGGCAGTCATACCTTCCTGGCTGGCATAGGCTCATCGACGCAGTTATAAAGATTCTAAGGAGCTAACAAATCATGCATTTCTACCAGCTGTAAATCTACTGCGTTCAGTTATCACCCTGCAGCCTGGACCCTCCCATCCCAATTTGCGCTGTGCCGCCGTCATCTACCACCATCACAGGAATTTCCACCCTTTACCTGTTGCCTAAAAGAATCAAACTACTGAATTGTCAAAACTTGGTTAAAAACAGACATCTTTGTGGAAAACCCTACATTCCCTGCATCATAGCCAGTGAAAGAACAGGGAACAGCTGCGTCGAACCACGAGGTGCTACAAATTACAGTGCTCCATCTGAGGTCTTTTGATACAAACAAATCACTGAAAAAATAATGCTAACTTTGTCGAAAGTGACAAATGTTCCTCAAAAGAATTTTCTGCCTTTCTCTGCCAGTGCAGCTCAGAGTTTAGACATGAGGGAAGATGCACAACTAAAGTGTTCGTAGCTGTGACCTTCTAGAACCCCAAGCATCCACAGTTAGTTGCACACAGCCTTTAGGGCACAAGCACACAACATTACTTCTTGCTAACAGGACTCTGCAATAAATAAGGTGTCTGAACAGACAAGCAAATTGGTCAACTTCTATTGAGTTCTTAATTAATATAACAAATGCATCAAAAAGTGTTTACTTGTAGCTTAGCCCGCTCCAAATGCATGTTATTTGAAAAGCGTTCCTACACCCACTACCCACCCTCACCCCACACAAGCCTTTCATAAGAGGAGAGAAGGCACCAAGGTGTACGTTGCCGCACCCGCTAAACGCTCCGATCATTTGTACCTAGTTGCAGACTGCACCCCACCGCTCAAGCACACAACGTCTTCTCTCTTACTGTCGAGCTCACTCTACTTTGCAACAAGCCTCAAATACGAACAACCAAAGTAAACAGTCACTGCTTGACAAAATCTTTATCAAGTATCAATAGTTTAGTAGAAGGTGCCAACGTGGATCCTGGCCTGTCACAGTAGCACTGTGCAGGCATTATGGCTCCCTCTTGGGGGCGGCTGATAGCGGAGTGGCATGGGCCAACATTCCCAAGCAAGCTGAAGCACCCGAGTATTTACGCTGCTCTTGAGTTTGAGATACCTTCTTGGGGAACTCAAAGTTCTGTTTGTACTAACGCTCCTTCGTCCAGGTTGCCTCTCAAGCGCACGATACGTCTAGTAGTGCGCTTAAAACTGGAGTTTTGTGGGTGATTACACTAAAACACCATCCTAGAAATGGTGAGCACCAGGCTGAATGCCGACGAGACAATGTCGCCTTTTCCTCCTGGGGAAAACGTTTGCATTACAGGTAATCGAATGCCTGCGTGGAGCCAGCCCCAAAGCGATGCATGCAGCTGCAAGGATCAGCACTTGCCTGTTAAGCGGGCTTCCACCAGATTTTACCGTGCTTGCGATAATCTTAGGATCTTTAGGAGCTTGTTGCCGGTGGTCTTAGGGTGCCTCCATCGTTTATAACAGTTCGAGGAGTGAGCCGTGCACATACACTGCTGTTTTCGGGCTTTAGTTGTGCGCTTTGTGCAGTATATATGCACTGCTCTCTTCTTATTGCATCCTTAGAAATCAGAAGCCTTCTCTACAGTCAGGTAGTAAGCATCTCTGCAACCAGGCCAATTGCATAGTATAAAAGGTGCTCCCCCAGTGTTCGTTGTATTTTCCCAGAACAACCGGCGAGTTCCGAAGCTCCAGAACGCCCTACAGAATGGGAGAAGACGACGATTTTTATTTGCGGTACTAGTAAGTCTACTTGGTGTTCATGTATATATGAGCACATCAAGCCCGCAGCCTGCGCACTCCGGCCCTCACGACACGGAATGGGCGCATTTGGGCAACACAGTTGCAGCGTTTTTCATCCGCACTTCGCAGTGTGTGGTCCTCGTGAACCTTTCAACTTGGAAGTAATGCAGATTAACCTTTTTGCTTTCATTCGTAACCCCAGGTGTCCTCGCACGACAGGTAGATGCAATTCAACGGGGTGCGTGGCACTGCCATGAACCATGTTTCTTCATTTATCTGCGCATGCATAAGCTCGACTAACAGAGGGTGTTTACCTATTGAAGCCGCATGTCCTGTAGTTGTGCGTTTTTAATTTTCTCACAGCACCGGACACAAGGGGAAGTTCGGACATGAATTTTTAGAATTCGAGTTTCTGGGGGAGGGCAGAATGCGATACGCGAACAATTCCAACTACAAGAATGACACAATGATTAGGAAAGAAGGTCCGTGCCACTTACCTCTTGTTACTCTTGTTTGCGGTTTGCGGAACCCATAGGCTGATGCGTCTCATGGAGGTGTGAACGCATCCTTTCCGTGCGGAAATCGCTGTGGAGATTACTCGTACTTTTGAATTGCGTTGCTTCGCAGCATACGTCAGCCAGGCGGTCATTAAGGAGCTCAGACGCATCATAGAAGAGGCTGAAATACTGAGGTGAGCTTGTTACACGTCTGTTCATTCCGGCCACATCACTTGAGGCTTGGGGGTTCAGAGGCTCTTGTGGTGTCTGCACACTTACGTTTCAGGGAGGACGATAACAATTGGCCAGCACCAGACCGCGTAGGCCGTCAGGAGCTGGAGATTATTTTAGGAAAAGACCATATTTCCTTCACCGTAAGCGGACGTGAAGCCTTGATCCCTTGATCTCTCTTAGAAGCGGCACATTTGGTGGCTCTTTCACGGTTGCTTTCCGTATGTGTGTCTAGACAGGAGCGGCCATACACGTGGATTGTTGTGCTGCCTTCTTACTTTGCGTGCTATTTCCTGAGCTCTTTTTTGTAACTCCAAGCCACACTGCGGACAAATTTAGGGGGGGTTTTGTTGCAGTGCGACGTAGGGCTAAACTCGTGTAGCCGGAGCTAGCAAATCAACTAGATATGTTTGAACGGAGCTGCTGCTACATCTCCTTTGTGTCCTTGTCTGTTGTTTTTGTCTATTAGCGTTGGGATAACATGCCGTCACATGCAGCAGGCAGTTAGACACAAGGGGATGCTGGTGGTGTTTTTATTCGGAAGAAGGGCGCTGGAGCGTTGGGCAATGTATTGGTGCCGTTCTCCATTTGTATTCTGCCGTTTTCCCTGCAGACTTCGAAGATAGGATCAATGGCGGACGTGCAACGTTGCAAGGATCAGGATGGATTAAGGGTTTTCTACTATCTGGTGCAGGATCTTAAGTGCTTTGTTTACTCGCTTATCGCGTTACACTTCAGGGTAAGCTCATGCGCTTTGTTTGGGGGCGCTCTTCTAATCATGATGGTGTCTTTATATATTTATGTAGTGCCATGTGTAAGTGCCTAGCTCTTTGTGGTGCTGCAGCTGTTTATGTAACTCCCTTCATGGTTTGGCGTGTATTGGATGAGTCTTGCTCGTGCTAGCTACTGGCCATGTTCAGATGTATTATTTGCGCGTTATCTGCTCTCTACGCATCTTCCCTCCCCTGTTTCCTGACCCTTCGTATTGTTTGTTTCTGCTTATGCCCCTTTCATATATATATTTACGGGTCTGTTTGGGCTTGACAACTTGAGCTCACTGTGGCTCTCGCTTGTGTCGTGCTAGTCATCATGAAAGTAAGTTTACCGTATTGGATACTTTCTTTATGGCTTGTTTGTGTGTGCCTTCGTTCGCTTCAGATTAAACCTGTCTGAAGATTCTCATTTAATGCAGTTGTTCTTTGCTGCGTTGACTCCTCATTTATCGGTTACTGTTGTACATCTGTAGTGCTGGGGCAAGCGCCTTTCCTGGGGAAATTCTTATTCGATAAATGCCGCTTGTTCCTTTGGAAGGGCAAAATGAACGAAACTTCACGAATCTTTCTCTCCGAAGCATTTATCCGCAAGTCCACAATATCTATACCTCTAAGTCGAAGAGGAAGTACGAAAGTAATAGTGTTCAAGGCCTTGAGAATCTGCTTTGTAACGGGAGTACTGCAAACAAGTAGAAACGAGCGCGTGCATTGCTATTCAAGCGCGCGTCGCTCACTACCTGTCGACACGCATGGACTGTCTGCCTGCGACTGCTGGTGGCAGTCAGTTCGTCCAATCGAATCTACCAAGGAGAGGTGCCGTGCTTATGCCACGATTTAGGCACGACCGCAAACCGAGCGATTCAAAGGGGTCGAAAGCTAGAAGTTTGCGCAAGTGTCATATCCGGCTTCTCCAGAGAGCTGCACTACGAAATTGCAATTGAAAAATTTTTCGAGCGCGGTTATTACTAGCTCAAAGCCCCTATAGGTCAGCCTACACGGTCCACTTCAGAGGGACAAGATCAAGGAGAGATGATGAACGAAATGCTCTTCCATTACCCACTACGCTGACATCTACGCAGTCTACTACTGCCATCCAGAGTGGTGCAAACATGTCCGGCTGCTTGGCGCACACGGTGCGAATATACTATTGAGGACGCGCTTAAACATCAGGTTTCGACGTGCGAGAAATACCTCCAATGGAAATCAGGAAGGAAAAGTCAAATCAAGCGCATTTCAAGTAGCCCAAGCCCGACAAGGATCTCCCCCTTATTCGTCTTCTGGCACACGTGTTCAACTCGTCCCGCGATAACCATAGTGCGGAGCATATCTAATACTGCCAAACTCTAAACTGGATTTCACCACTGCCCTGAAGCTCCCAGAAGACCGCCTACTGCAAAACCTTGTGATTGCCTACATGCGGTTGTCTGCCAACTGTCTTCAGAAAACGGTTGGGTTGGAAACAACGCAGATTACGCAGCCGTTATTACCATTACCCAGTGAAAGCTAATTACAAATAGCTTGTGGAAGTGCTTATACGGCAAATCAAGAAAAATATCCCCTTTCCCACTATTAGTCCTCACGTCTGTGTCTCTTCTTCCTTCACTGCAAATGAAGAGAAGCAAGCACCCAGTTGGCAGGCGGCATACTACCGCGAAATACGATGGGGAATATAGAACAGGAGAAGACACAGCGAGCGGCAGCGGCGACCGAGCTGTCTGAGTCGACGCGTAGCTCGGTGCCCGTGTTTGGCTGTTCTCTTCCCCCGAGGATCCACATATGTCCACGAAAGCATGCAGCCCTGTAACCACCGCCCCCGTTCGTAAACGATGCAGTACTAGCAAACAAGAAACCGCAAGGAGAGAAAGGGAATACTGTTGTTAGGTGGTATTTGGCCCGTTCAAGACTGCAACGGAAAAGAGTAGGCAGGGGGCTTACCACCCAAAACACGATTGCTACTCCATTGGGAAACTAATAAAGGAATAACCCGAAAGGAGGCCATAGACTCTACCATACGCTGTTCAGGCTGATACATATTGCAGCGCAGATTGCTCTCCGCGCCGTCACTCGCGATCATCTCGTCATGCGCCCGAGGTGGTGTACTTAGATACAGCCTTGGTTCCTTCAGAAACAGCGTGCTTGCTCAGCTCCCCAGGGAGTAGCAGCCTGACTGCCGTCTGGATTTCCCGAGAGGAAAGCGTCCGCTTTTTGTTATACCGGATTAGCCTTACGGCCTCGTCTGCCAAGCGGTCGAAAATGTCATTAATGAACGAGTTCATGATACTCATGCTTTTCTTGGATACGCCAGTCTCCGGATGCACCTGCTTCAGTACTTTGTAAATGTAGAGTGCAAAAGATTCGGTTCTCTTCCTCCTGCGGTAACGAGGGCCCAGGGACTTTCCCGCGGTTTTCTTCGCCGCCTGAGACTTCTGGGCGGGCCCTTTTCCCGACATCTTCAGACCTGAGGATTAACGCATAAAAGTTGTAGCTGTTCGTCACAAAGCGGCAAAAAACATAAACTAGAATCCTTAAAATACGCAGAAAGAAGCACTCTACAAAACACAGCCACCAGCTGAAGATACACCTCACCACATACACCATGCGGCAACCACTTCAACAGGGGCCAGTTTTCGGGGAGGAAACGCACTGCAATTCAAAGGAGAGGAAAGAGTCGGCAAAAATACGAAGAGATGGACCCTGAGTACTGAACGGAAGGGAATTAGAGGAAGCAGAGACAGGAACAAACAAAAACAAATGCTGCACAGGGGAGGGAGGGGGCTTGAACCGGGGGTGGGTGATGAGAGAAGCTGCCGAGGGTGAGAGTTTGAGCTGCCTGGGCCCTTTTTGTGATAATGCCTCCACCGTTTCCCCTGTCTTTTCTATTAGCAAGAAACGAGAACTCGTGCTTTGCTCAGTCGTCTTGGTTTTATTGCTGTCCTGCCGCTAGGTGGCTCAGTAACCTGGTGTTGCTCCCTCCCCTCTAGAGTTCGTGCAACAGAGCCACATGGAACTCGCAGCGGTAGCGCAGTGAAGCATGCAGAGGGCTGAATTCAACCATAGTTTTAGGCATGCACATGCCGAAGCGTCCGAGGAGCAGACAAACAGGGAATGATATTACAAAGCCTTCATTATTTTCGCAGTGTGCCTCAGCCTGAGGAAGTTCACCTAGCACATCTTGGTGGTTTTCCCTTCAAATTGGGGTTTGTGATTTCATGCAAGGGGTCCAAAGTCATTTGAAACAACGGCCATAAATTTATTGAGGCATAAGCATTCCGACGCGAAAGTTTTCATGGCACAATATCCCGGTTAACACCCAAATTCACGCCAAACGGATCCACAGTCCCCGCATAATCAAGTTACTTGCAAGTATACGGCGCAGTTCGTGTCCTGCAAGACTTCACTAGTCAACTTTTCCTTAATTAACTATCTAGGAGAGGGGAAAGGAGCCACAGTCGACTCATTACCTCCTGTATTTCTCGACGCAGGAGCCCGGTGTAACTCTGCTCACCCGATCGCTTGCAGTACACCGCAAGCTAAATTATAGCCAAAAAGGTAAAGGACAGCCCTTGCCTGCCCTCAAAATAGACCTATCCCATATGTGCCCTGGGCCATCATGGTTCTGGGCTTTTTGCGCACGAGAGGCTCCTGTGAACGTTTCGTACACCCAGAGCAATTCAAAGAGTCGCACAACCGTACTCCCTTCAGCATGTAAGGCCGCATCCTAGATTCTACTATACTGAATGTAGGCCCATTATCGATGCGATCCAATAAATTAGCCGTCATTCCACGCATACAACCATCCCGATGAATGGTATCTCCACGAGGGCCAGTAAAATAGCATAGAATCTATGACTTGCAAGATTCAATTCACACATGCAGAGTGCACCCCAGGAAAACGTATGAAACAAAGCAAGTGGATCAAGCTCTCCACCAAGCAGTCTCCTTGCCAGTAAAGAGCAACTAAGCTTTGAAATCTAAAGGGTTATGCGGCCACGGATCGCCGACCGCAAATGGGCAGGGCAACTGGGAAAAAGTGGAGTAAGCTGCAGGAACTCGAGCAAGGGCGAGAAAGAAGAATGGAGCAACATAACGGCCAGCGGAGGAAGTGATTCGGGTTCAATATCAGAGGCAGCCGACAGGACATACGGGCTTCTGCTTCTCTGCCCCCGTGTTCACAATACTTATGCTCGTTTGCTCAGCAACATGCCCAATAATCTGCTGACAGGAACGCCCGCAACAGCTAATTTTGCGGTTCAGTGAGCTCCTTCAGTACTAATGGACCCCGCGGGAGAGCTCCGCGGCACGTCCGGCACTGCACAAGCGGTACTTTGACACCACTATTCAGGAGCATGTGCAATGTTCGAGGCGTTCTGTTACCTTGAATTTGTTGCAGGGTAGGGCTGCTTGGCGGAATCCGGTTATAGGGTTGCTTGTCGTGTGCCTGTGGCGTGCTGAGTTTCCCTGCGTGAATGCATGCACGGAACGCCCTATGGGCTCGTCTTCTTGCATGCACTCATGGGTATATGTGTATTTCCTCCACCCGCGCGGCCACTCTTCCTTTTATGGCTGAGCTTGAAGAAGAGGACGAGATCACTTTACAAGGAACACATAGCTTTCTTCCACGTGCTAGTGCGGTATTGGTACCGTGGCCCTACGGCAGCAGACCTTATGACTTCGCTACGGCACAGTCAAAGGCAGGGACGACCTCACACGCCGCTACTGCTTACAAACCACCAGCCTATGAAGGCATTATGATGAAAGGGCGATTCAGGATGCTCCTCCCCTGTCTTGTAGGAGAGCAAAAGTTTTCACTTACTGGGAGCGTGCTGTTATGTGAACACGTATTGTTCCATCTAAGGTATCCGTGGGAAGACCACTGCAGACTCATTCTAAACTTACAAAAAAATGAATGTTTTGCAAAAGTGTTTTCTCCTTTCACTGCCCCCAGGGTCCAAGCATGAGGGGAGAAGAACAGCTAGCGTGCACGTAGCTACACCTTTTTGATACGCTCGGCGTTCAAAGCTTGACAACAGCCTTTACCCACCATGCGAACAATATTGATTCGTGCCGTAGTAAGCTAATGCTACGCTGCAACACAAAAGAGGAACTAGCGCCCAAACCACATTGTGATTTGTTACTGGGTTTGTGTTGATGCAATAAGGGTAGATTAGCGTCGCCTAGCTCGTTGCAGCGCGTCTAAGGGGGAACACAACCCCTTATGCTCACTATAAAACCCGGAGCCACTTTTCGGCTGAGAGCGCTGAGAAACCCCCCTTTCCTGTTCGTAAGTCACATGGACAATACGGACTCAGTGTAAGCCACCATGCAAATTATGACCTCTTGTGCGAGGTGTCTTTCAGCGCCAGTTACTTCTGTTCGACGTAGCGGCAGAGGCACTTCGTGGCAGCTACAATACAACATCTAGAAGGAAGAGGAAAGGTTAACTAGTTTCATTTATGGTGGTGTGGCCCCACATTAGTGTATCTAAATAGTCTGACCGTTGAATAGACTCGACAGCTCGCAGCACCTAGGGATTCGCTAGTTCGAATGGCATTTTCATCAGCATGTTTTGCGGGAGGGCCCACGCGAGCTTGTGTGACTCATGAGAAGTTTGCTTTCTTTCCTGCCGACAAGGCAGCTGGACTGATACAATGTACATAGCAAGCCTCTCCTTTTCCTCCTTCCTCTAGGCACTAACATACGTTATGTCTGCCTCCAGCGGGCAGAATTGGAGACGTAACGCCTTTTAAAAGGTATCTAGGGGTACATACACTGCGGTGCAGAGCCGCCTTCGTCGAACACCCACTGCGCAACCCCATTCCTAAAGTGCCTTCACTTTCCCAGGACAGGGAAGAATACGGCGACCCTATTAAGAAGAAATCCCATTCTTTCCGAGGTTCTGGCTCTTGGGAAATCCTTAACAAGTAGAGACGGATGCACCCACACAGGAAAAAGTCAACTGGCTCTCGCCAAGCGAGACAGCAAGAGTGAGGGAGAGAGTGCTCAGTCGGGCTGTCTCCTGTCTTGTTGCAACTCTACTCCTGGGGGCCCTTCCTGCAATGTTAGGGAGAACTAGCCTTTTATACGCATTTATTAGGGAGGGAAAAAGCAGTGTTTGTCTTCAGACGCTTAATTTCTTGTTAAGCCCACCTTTTGTGTGCACTGCCGCCTGTCCTTTTCTGGAATTTGAGCTTACACTACGGAGGAAAACGACCTCTTTTCTCTCTCTTTTTCCCGCCAGGTGCCGCACACCTCATTCTTTGAAGCAAAATCTGCAGCTAAAAGAAGCGAAAACTTAGCCTTTTCTGCTGATCTCTCTCGTCTGTGCTGCCCGTTCGTTCCCCTGTCTTCTGCCCCCCGCCTCCGAGCAGCTCGAAGGCAGCGACTGGGCACAACGGCGCTACACAAAGGAGCAATTCGCGTCTTCCCCCTTCTCTCCTCTCACAGCGCTTCCGCTAGGACCTCTGCTTCGGCCTGCCTCTAATCGAACCTGCAGGTGCAGCGGCGCCTTGCCTCTGCTGCAGCCGCCAGCCTCCCTCCCTTCCTGCTTCCCCCCGTTTCTCACCCTATTGCCAGCGACCCCGCAGAAAGGTTCGCGCTCGGTTTCACCAGCCGCTACAATACACGGACTGCACGACAAGCTGAATGGCTTGGGGTGATGGACTCTCCTCTCCGTTTCTTGCCGCTTTTCCTGCTGCTGCTGCAACAGCAGCGGCCAGCCGCGGCATTCCAGGTTTCCCAATACGGGGGACCCTCTGCACTGGTACAGAGGCAGCATCAGGCGGCAACAAGTCTTTTAAAGCAGCCCATTCCTGCGCTCCAAAGCCAGCAACAGCTCGGCTCTCTGCATCTGTCCTTTGCAGCAGGACGCCATGGCTCGCCGAGCTTGTCGGCAAAAGCCGCAGCAGCCGCAGAAGCTTCTCAGCCAACAGAGCTTCTGATGCCTGAAGTGTCTACGTCCACTGGCTCTCCTGCGAAAGGATTTATTAGCAGTTGGAAGGCTGAGGCAGGCCAAACAGTGAGAAAGGGAGATTCGCTTTTCGTAGTCGAGAGCGACAAAGCCGATCTTGACGTGGAGGCGCCGCATGACGGTAAATAAATATTCCCCGATTAAGAGAGTCTACGGATGGGCCTAGCTAGCTAAGTGGCTAGCTGAGGAGGAGCTCGTTCGGCTGCACAGGAGTTCGCTTGCACGATCTCCTTTGCAGCCGGCGCAGCCGGAGTCCACTAGAACGACAGCAAAGCGGATTGCTCCGCGAGCTGGAATTTTCTCTGTCTCTCTCTCTCTTTCTCTCGCTAGCAACATGGCCAAGGGGCACGTGTTAGGGGAGGTAGCGAAGAAAGATGGGGATAGAAAGTTTGGCATCCGTAGCAGGGGTGCTTCCCGCCTGATGGTGTGCGTTCGCGGCGCCTCATGCACTGCGGCCGATTGGCTGCGTCGATTGCTGCTGCCTTGCGTCCAGGAGTTGTGCGAAAAATCCTCGTCAGAGAAGGTGTCTCCGTCGCTCCTGGCACAGTTGTGGGGCTTTTAGCGGCAGCGGCTTCGCAGGCGGGGGGGACGGGAGGCGAGGAGGGGGTGACTGCGGAGGAGGAGGAAGGACTGAGCAATGATTCGCAGTTGCCCACTGGCACTGTGTCGCTGTTCATGCCGGCCCTCAGCAGCACCATGACACAGGGAACCATCACCAAATGGTACAAGGAAGAAGGCGACAAAATAGAGGTACAAAAATAGCGGCATGCAGCATTGCCTCGAGAACGAAGAGATGTGCACCCTCCCGTCGCTCGAAATTCGCGATGGCTTTGCAGTCTTTGGCTTCGTTTGGGGCGGCCCGTGCTGCTCCGGCTCCTGTCGGTTTCGGATGGAAGGCGACGAGAAGAGGGGCGGTGTATGTACACTCCAGCCGCACTGGCAGCAGCTCCGGTGCAGCCTCGGAGCTGCACAAATCCTGCTCGCCGAGCTCTCCAGAGAGGCATTCGTCTGCCCCCTTCCCCTCTCATTTTCTTCCTGTGTTTGGAAAAAACGCTGGTTCTGGCTCAGGTTGGAGACCGCATTTTGGTGGTGGAAAGCGACAAGGCGGATATGGATGTGGAGAGCTTCGATGCGGGCTTTCTCGCGGCTATTTCTGCCCCCAACGGAACGACAGCGGCTGTCGGGGATACCATTGCCTACATCGTGCAAAAGAAGGAGCACATTGAACAACTCAAGAGAGCACTGGAGAAGCGCAAGCAGACTGGAGGGGCACCCATTTCTCTAGAAGCGGCCCGTGCTGGGCAGCAGCAACAACAGCAACAGCAACAGCAACAGCAACAACAGCCGGCTGCATCGGTTCTAACGGCGGCTGGTGGAGCAGAAATTGAGCGCACCGTGCAAGCTGCAGCAACTGAATGGCTCTTGCCTTCTGTGGATCAGACATCCCAGGAGCAGAGCGTGCCTGGAGTCTCCGGAGAGCAGTTACAACAGCTTCTCCGACAGCGACTTTCTACGACGGCACCTGCCGCGGCAGCAGCCCTTGCAGATCCAAAGTAAGCGAAGCCCAGGCTGTTCGGAGAAAAATGCTGAGGGTTGAATAATCGTAAGCAGAGACATGCGCAGGAATGGTGCAAAATGGAGAGGGGCGATAGAAAAATCGAATGCAGTGAAAGCTTCCTGCCTTCGCCGGCTCCGAAATTCAGCGGCGATCGGGAGGGTCGTATATATATATATATACATTCAGCTCTCTAGCATGTAGGTCAAAAAGGCTTGTTTGCGCCGCTTATGCCTTGTCGACTCCACTGCTTCTACGATGAGTCCTGAGTCTCTTCATTCATGTGACAAGCCTGCGTTTTTAGGTTGTCAGAAGAACTACTGAAGAGGATGCATTTGCGGCCCCCTCCTCGCGTTGCCATTCTCCCAAACTCTGGGCGATTCCTTTCGTAAGATTTCTTCACGGCTTATCGTGTTTTTCACTGATCTTTCCCGTGGCACCTTTACGTTCCTATTGACAGTCTCTGCGAGCGCGGTTCCGAAGGAAATGCACGCAAGCCCGTGTAAGCCTGAAAAAAAAATCAGTATCCACGGTGTGAGAAAGCCGTTGCCGTGGGTGAAGCGGCATTCTGTTTATGTTCTCTATGACGCCGCTCCTGCACGCGACGCGTTATAATACGTAATCTCGGCGCATGCTGGCACTGATGGTTCTCCATGCGGGTAGAGCACCTCGAGGGCGACTCCCCTCACCGAGGCGCCGCCACAAGAAGTACTCCGCAGAGTGCAATGAGTCGGTAGAGCCATGCGAGGCTGTACAAAGAGCACATCTAGGCATTTGAAGCGAGTGCATTTCGCTTCAAATCTGAGACAGACGTTGCTACAAAACGGCATAGCCAGGGGCACATTACTGACAGAACTTCCAAGGGTTGTAACTTTAAGGGGTTCATTCATCTGGAGTGGGCCTCTTGAAGATATAAACAAGAGTATGAATGGTCAGAGTGTATCTTGGTTGTTCATCGACCCAGCGAGCTCTCCTTTTACATGTCTTTTTGGTTTAGCGTTTGGCCATATGAGGGTGTATTCTCATATGGCTTTTCTTCTTGCATCTTCCGGTGTAGACGTGTTAGTTCTAGGGGCCCTCTCGTCCTGCATGCCTTCATGGTTGGGTTCTACTGTTTTCTTCTTGATTTCGTTTAGTGATGTGGATGCTTTTGCTACAGCAAAGGAGAAGGGGCAGGCGCTGATGGCGATGCCACTTCCCGACCGGTGCGTCCATCTCGCCCCTCATAAGAATGCACGTCGCAGTCACGAATTGAAGCAATGCTTTTAGATATAGCAGTTGTGTTTCGCAGCGAGGAACACGTATTCTGGCGGCGCCATTTCCTGCATACATGCCTTACACCTCGGTGTTTGTTCGTTGGGGCCATGAGCTAAGGGTGTATACTTATCAGTGGATCTGCATTATTCTCAGGTCTTACTAACTCCTGCCGCTGAAGCTCTGGTTGCGAAACACAACGTCCCCATCAACAGCTTGTGGTACTTTTGAGGCTTGGGAAGCGGGATGGTGAATTGACGTGCTTACTTAGGGGGTGCATTTCGCTTCAAGAGGAGTCGCACAAAATTCCTGCACGAAGAACTCACGCCTACCCTAGAATATCCGCTCATCTGTTGCTTTTCGTCATCTCGTGCGCCCATGCAACTTTTCTCAGTGGAACCGGCTTCGCAGGCCGTGTTACTCTGGCCGATGTGAAGAAGCACCTGGGGCACCCTCCCGATCCAGCCAAAACGAACTTCTCCTGCAGCACTTCTTCCACCAGCAGCGCCGCAAGGGGCACTTCCGAACGGCCCTCAGTCGTGGTAAGTGGCCTTGCACACCGTAGGGAGGGATCCACACTCTTATTCCTCATGAGCCCTCCTCATAAATGCCTATTTGCCATCCCATGGATCGGGGTCTCTCTTCCACCCGAAAACGATCGTCGGTGCACCAACACACTCGGCGCTCTCGAGGTGCTACTGCTGGCGGTCACACCTTCAAAATTTTGAGTTCTTTCAGGAGCTGAGCAGCTTGGAAAAGGCGATCGCAAAGAACATGGAAGCAACGCTTAATGTACCCGTGTTCAGGTCTGCCCTCCGTTTTCTTCCCTTCACCTGTAGCCTTTTTCTTCTGCTCCCTCCATCCTGTCGCCTGCCGACTCTCTGGTTGTATCCCGCTGCCTCTTCCGACCTTGCACGCGTTGCCTCTGGTCTCTTCATGTAAAATCCCGGCCACTTTGTATTTTGCCTCTCTCCTTCGTGCCTTTTTCACGCGATGTCTTTCTGCTCCATTCATCATTCTCTTTCCCTCTCTCTTATACAGCTTCAGCTCTACATGCTTCTGTCACGGCTTATATGTCGCTCTGCCTATCCACCCCTCCGTGTCGCTTGCAAAAAAGGGACAGACAGGGTTTCTCTAAGCGTTCGTTCGTTCCTTTGTCCAATTGTACACCTGTGCGAGATCCTACCCAGCCTTTTCGTGAAGCTCTATCGCCCATCCACTTTTTCACCCCCCTGTGATCTCATTCCCAGGCTGACGCGCGGCATTTCTGTTGACGCACTGTTCGATATGCTCGGACAAATGAAAACGGGAGAACTCGCGGATGCATTTTCTCTTTCAAAAGATGAGCGCTTCGTTGCACCCGGCCTAAGTGTGCTTCTGGCAAAGGCTGTGGCGCTGACAGTAAAGAAGCACCCCATCATAAACGCAAGATTTGACGCCCAGAACCAAAACGTCATGTAAGCCCTGTCGTACGCTATGAAGGCAACGGAATATCGATACCGTATGGTAGGAGAAGGGGGGTTTTCGCGCTACTGAATCTATTTAATATATGGAATTACATGGGAAAACGAGCACCCAGATTGTTTACTATGCCTCTGCCGCGTGTTACGGGAGGGCCACGCTCCGTGGGCTGTCGGTTGTGGCTGGCAATTCCGTTTGCTTTTCATGAAATGTTCGTATTGATTGCAAGGATAGTTATGGTCGTAAAGAGCATTCTACGCAATATTCAGTTCTTATTTTGCCTTTCTTGTGCCTCCTCAGCCACCCGCCGTCCGTCGACATTGCCATGGCCGTGTCCATCCCAGGGGGTCTGGTGACTCCAGTTTTGAAAGACGTTTTAGGGAGAGATATTTTCACGCTGGCTCGCAGCTGGCGGAGACAACTAGCAGCAGCTCAGGGCGGAGATTTCGCAGCTTCCGGACTAACAGGTGGCACGTTCTACATCTCCAATTTGGGGATGAGTGGCGTGGAGCAATTTGACGCCGTGTTGCCGCAAAACGTCGGCTGTATAATGGCCGTCGGAGCAGTGAGAAACGTTCTTCAACAAAGCGGACAAGGACTTAAGCATAGCAAACAAATGAATGTTACACTCACTTGCGACCATCGCCACATCTATGGTCAGCATGCCGCCGACTTCCTTGTGGTGAGCTTGGGGGATTAAAAGGCTAGTTCGTTCACAACTTATTTAGGCCTGTTCTTTGCTCAGTGCTCGAGGCATAGGGCTCACTAAAGGAACGCAAGGAGTTTTAAGAAGGTTCTGACACACAGAACTGTAGGTTTAAGCGTTTAGTGTGTCACTGAGTGCCTTTGTTTGGGCGTTGTGTGTTTCTAGGATTTGGCCTCGCTCATCGAGAAGGCTCCGAACACATTGCTCCTTGCCTGATCCTTCATTCCTCTTTGCCCTACTCTTTTTCCTCCTTAATGTGGTCTTCTCTTTGAATTCATGCTGAGCTTGCACATTCGTGTTTAAGCTTCAGTGCCACGTCAGCAGACACAAAGGAAACGAAGAGGAAGTGTTCACACATCTCTTGTCCTTCCCAGGACTCACAGTCGGGAACACATGGGCGGAAAGAGCCACATGGGAAGGCAGAGAAGAAGAGACAGAAAAGGAGAGAAGGGGCAGCAAGGAAGAACTGTTCGGCTTCAACGGAAAGTTTCTGAAACCCTTGGACCAAGAAGGCCTTAGGGTAGACAAGGCCGGATCCCCTTACTTAATATGCAATTCTGTATTTTATTTCTCATTCATCTCAATATATGATTATATATCAGGAGCTCAAAGTGACCGTTTGGTTCTTGAAGAATATGCGGTTTCACTCGGTATGCGTTCCAATAGCTACCCGTTTCCTAGGCTGAACCTTGGGGACAACGGGCAGAAGCGGTTAGTTGTCGTGTTTGTAGCTAGTGCCATGGCTGCAACTGCTGGAATATTTGGTGAGGCCAACCAAAAGGAAGTGACATAGCAGTGCTAAAGGATGGAGGCAGCTTGTTTTTCCTGAATATATACTGGTTGATGCCAGATCAGGGCAGGAAATCTGAGGATGATTAGTCGATACAGTGAAGGATAGCAGAGTCCTGATGCTGCAGCTACACTAGTAAGGGAAGCCCACAGTAAGACGCTGAGAGCGATGTGGAGACGAAGGAAAAGAAAATTGACCCGGGGACAATGGTTGAGCGAAAGGGGCAACATGAGTTTGCCAAAGCTTCGTCCGTAGCGTATGACTTGCAGAAAGTGTCCATCCATTTTGTACAGGACTCTAGCACAGTTAAAAGAGGGGGACCCCTAATACAAAACGTAAAATAATTGGTCCGTTTCCCAACTTGATGCATACGCCTCTAAAACACGTGCCTTCGCCATCTATGGCTCCCTTATTTGAATAAGTTATCTCGTCTACCCAAACGTACATGGGAGCAACTGGCATTTGACCGACGTCGGTTAAAAAGGGCGTGCGCAGTGCATTGCGCTCCGCCTGAATTAATCTTGTATTTTAAATCAGGATCCGAAAGATACACCTCATATCCCGTCTAGATAGAACCTGCTTTTCAGGATATTTTGGTTTTCATATGAAGCCCCAAATCGTCTGTTGCGAGACCACTGGCGTGGAGGGCCCCCAGGACTTTGTCTAGGGTATCTGCATGAGTCGTCTGTGGACACACAGAAAAGCTGTACTGTATATTTTCTTGTCATTAAGGCTGCTGTAGCAACAACATCCACTGACAGAGCTGTCAGGATACTTCTGTTGATATATTTTGAGATTTCTTTTGGTGCATATGTCTCTGCCTGTTTAGTTTAATCAATTTAATGAAGGAAAAGTATAATGATGCGCCACATCAGGTAGGATGAATGGTGGGGAAGAGACAATAAAAGGTGAGCAAGCCAAGAGTTCGCTCATTAACGAATTAGACCTGATGTATTCAACTAACTGCTTGCACACTCAGTTTCAACACATCCGGTTTCTCGCTTCACCACCAGAAGGCAGCGGACACGAGTTAGTTGGTTCTCTTACCTTAACCTGTTCAATCTTTCTCTTAATTTCTGTGTGCTCTTCTTGCTTTTCCTCCAACAGTTGTGTGAACTTTTCTGAGAAGGCCGCGGAGTCCGTCTGTCTATTTGACTGACGCCATAGGGCCTCTGAAGCCTGTTTGACACGAGAATTCAATTAGACGCTCCCCAATATAACAGTGCAACAAAATAGTCCACCCAGTAACAAAAAAACACTGAATACGGGGAGAAGGAATTTACAAGGAGTGTATTTTCTTAGAATCTCTCCTCATATTATAATAGTATTTGCATTCGAGCAATAAAAGCATGCCAATGACCAAGTTTCTTTCCGTCGTGGACAAATCAAAGCCTCTTGCAAGCAGACAGCGTAGGGTGGTCAGAACGTTTTTGTTTCTCGGTTGAATACACAAATTACGTAAGATATATTGCTGTATAAGGCCCATGGATCCAAAGTAATACTATAGACGGTATATTTGACTTGTGATTTTCTTTTACGAAGCTCTTCTTCAGCGAGGCACTTTTCTTCTTACTTGTACTTCCGCTACTTCAGTCGCTTGTTTCAGGCACGCAACTTTTTTTTCTAATACGATATTCTGAGCAAATAAAGAAATTTCCATCGCCAGGCAAACAGAGTAGCCAGAAGCTGTGCATATTTAACGAAAGAGCTCACTCTAATCATCCGTATTCCCCTGCATTGTGAAGTAATAAGAAGACGGACGCTCCCAGAGGAACAACCAACTGGGATGGGCTGGCCACTGAAGGACAAGCTCGAGACTTTGTATGCTTCATCGCATTGTGCATCGAATTTGCAGTATATCGCTGCATGAGAATATGCACCTCTAAATACCGCCTCTGTTGGCTTTGGAGCACAGCATCCTTGAGTTGTCTTGATAACTGGTTTTTCTGATTTTGCAATTCAATCAATTGCTGCTGCAGTACTTCCTGCTGAAGCTGAAGGTCTCGAAACAATTTTTCTTGCCTTTTCAAAGTTGCCTTTGCCGACGCGATTTGCTGTAATTCAGTTGTATACACTTGCAGACTCTGTTGCATTTGTTCTGTTTCTTCCTTCAAGCCGTTCAATGGTTCTATGCACACAGAAAGTTGGGAAACCAGTATAATATGAAACTAAAAGCCGTTCTCGGGAGATAAGTGGAGTAAGTTGAATAAAATCGCACAGTAATTTTTGAAATAGAGGAGCAGGAAAGATTCTGTGGAGTCGTTCTATTTTTGTTCCCATCAAGAAGTGAAGAGCTAAGTCAACTTCAAGACTCCTACGTGTGGATTTGTGTGCGTTCGCAATCAGTAATAGCCGAGCCATCCGATCATATAACAGCACAGGAATTACATGGATTGAGTGCTTATGTGCATCAAGCCTGCGACGATCCTAGTCATACACTAGAAGTATCCGCTTGTAAAATCGGCTCGATATTTCTCTATTATTAGCTGTGGACGCATGAAATTTAGCACGGACCCTTGTAATAACATGCTCACTAAGCAGCAGGTATATATTTATCAATGAGAAACAACATACACACAATAACGTATCACGCAACTACTAGATATCCACAGATTTACTTGCATACCTGCAAGGCTTCTGTTTGTTGCCTGAAGCTCTGCCAGTGTTTTTGTGCTTCTGGCTTCGACTTGCTTCAGCTCCTCTTGCTCCTTCTGTGGAAAAACAGCGAAATTCAAGTTGGTATGATAGCCTTTCGTGGCATTTCGCCATATGATCGTATTACGTCACAATAAAAGTGCATTTGCAACTAGTTTTGCAATGCGAATTGACGGCACGCGTGTCTGTGCCCACAACCCACTTAAGATTTGAGCTTAGAAAGCAATGGTGTGTTGTTAGGAAAATAATCGTGATAATCGTGAAACGATTCTTTACATAAGATACGCATTGTGAAGACAATGGTAGTCAACGTTGGAATATTCATTAATTGTTTCGCCATGTTTTGACACCCATTTTCTGCAGATCAACATAAGTGATGGTGGAGCAAATCTTCGTTTTGTAGGAATGTGCATGTTTATTGTGTTGACTAGGCTTCAAGCACTTTGAAGTCTGGCGAATTGTCAGCAACTGGCTGGTAAACATGCATGGCTCTACAATAATAACGAACGCTTGCTGTATACCAACACGACTTTGCTGCAAGCTGGCCATTACAATCCTCCTACTGTTTGGCATTTGATCCTATGTGGTTCGTCGCTCCCACATGTAACACTAAAACCAAGAGGAATACCATCCTCGAACCTTGAGAACTGCACTGCGCAGATAGTGGGCTGCCGCTTGGAGCTGGAACTGTTGTTATTTTATAGTCATTGTAAAGAATCAGTCTTTTTCGAAGTACTGGTTGTTTTAAGGAATAGTACCTTGAGCTGGCGGATGAGGGACAAGCTGGCAGACGTAACATCGCTGAAAAACCGTTTAGTGCTTTGCGCGAGCTTTTTACTCTCTGCTTGCTGATCCCTAAAAGCATAAAAAAGGAGATGCTTAGCTTGTTTCCTGAAAAACGTTACTTTTGCTTACCGTGAGCGTTCTAATAGTATTCCAGCATTTCACTGCTGCTGCATCTTTGAGTGGCTCTCTAAACATGTAAAGGGGACAACAGCCTAATTTACGACTCATAACCTATGTAGTACATGCCTTCATCGGCAACACTGCAGTTCATCAACGTTAATCAACTCTCTTTAGCAAATAAGGTACAAAGAAGTCTGCTTTCGAAATGCATATGACTTGTTGCCGTTTGGACTTCCGAGGTGCTCACATATGTATGACATCTTAAAAGCAGCTACATAATTAGAGTCTGGCGTAGAGGGTTTATCTTGTCGTTCTTCTCTCACGCTATTTGCTGTGCCTTTTGTTCCTCAACATAACTGATAGAACGTCTAAGCGCTCTCTCTTTGGCCTCGCGTAGCTGTACCACAAAGACACGCATGAACATCATAAACAAATTTAGAAGCAATCACAAAATTTTCATTAATTCCAATCTTCAAAAAGTGAATGGCAAGGGTTTCTTGGTTAAATGCTGATCCTTCAGAAGGTGTCTATAGCGGCAGCCGCAGTAAGCTGACTTTTGAAAGAAATTCTGCAACAAACATGCCTATAGGTCCTTCTGAATCAAGTTTGTTCTGACCAACAGCTGTGTCAAGGCCAGGCAGACCACTTGGTGAGCATAATCGCCAGGGTACTCCCTCTTTTTCTTGTTCTCTGTATGCCTCACCTGGTTGCATCTAACCTTATGCTTGAGAAGAATATCAGCCTCCTTCCGCTCAGCTTGCTTTCTAGCTTGGTATAGACACTCATTATGGTGCATGCGGATGGCTCCTAGCAGCAGAAGCCGCGCGGCGCGAACTTCTAGATATTCTTGACGAAAATCCTCAGCAACGGCCTTTGCCTCACTGAGATGTATGCTGGAAAAAACATGAGTTCAAGCCATACAGCACAAGAATGCAAATCAGTCAGACATATGGGATGTCTACACAAAAAAGTCAGGATTGAAAGCAGATGAGACGCCAGTGCAGCACATTATCTAAGAATAAAATTCATCTTATCCAGGCTTCTGCTAATGCAGTTAAAGTCCACTAAAAAAATTCCTGGACAATGGCCTTTTGTTACGTTTACAGCTGACATTGATGAGGAAATGAGAAGGCAGATCTATGGCCAAAAAAACTGAGGACCAGTGAATGTATAAATGGCTTTTTCACATAATACGGCCTAAGTATGTTAATGCCTTTTGAAACTGAAAATGAACAAGAGGAGGAGGTGCAAACGCATACAACTATACGAAAGCATGGCTGTGGATAGGAGTGGGGCCATTTGTATGCACACCTGGCTCTCTCATAGTACAGCAAGAATGGCTAATGAAACATCTTCGTTGCAATGCGAGGATGTCTCCTTACGGGTGATTTTCACTTAGTAATACGCACTAGAACCTTCGACAGACCATAAGTGCAGAACGTTCAAAGTGCGTTAGTGCTGGTAGGGTTTTGGTCTCCTTATTTCTCATGATAACTCCAATAAATCCTTCTCTTCTCTATAGAGAAACAAGAATAAAATGTGCTTGTTGGGCGTGTTTGTCCACGTGAGATCTACATATTCTGGAGTATGGTGACGTCTAGTTTTCTTACATTTGCTGCTGTTCTCTGAGGACTAGAGCAGCCTGGCTTTGAAGGAGTTTGGCTGCTGACTCCGCCGCTTCTTTTAGTCTGGCCTTCAGGAGCCTCTGCTTCTCTAATCGAGTTTGGGTGGCGTGGAGACAATTTCTTTCTGCCGTACTGCGATGCAACTTTGAATGATCCTCTTTCAGATTCTACACGGGAGGAAAGGCAAACAGTAATAGGAAACTAAGAAACAATGAGGAACAAGAAGATTATTTAGAAAGCAAAGCGGTTGTAAGCGAACACAGAGACACAGAAAAGCAGATGTGCATAGGTGTAGAAGCAGAGCAGATTTCACAAATACTGCGGAAAGAAGGGAAGGTTTTAAAGCTCAGGCAGGTGAAGCCAAGCAGATGAAGAAATGCAACTTTTTGCTGGGCAAAGAGATAATGCCGAAGAAGAGAAGAAAAAGTGTCGTATGCTCTAACTTCTTCAGTTAGATGAGAGCCGTAGCGGACATATTGCGAGCTAGGCAAGTTTAGAGAAGTTGCAAAATCGATTGTAGAAACACTAACAAAAGTATATAAACAAGATGGTTGAAATTGCAGAGGGAGGAAATGCATGCAACACGAGACAAACGGAACTAGAAATACCACGGAAGCTTCAAGAAGAGGCAATGAACATTCAGCGAATTGAAGTAAAAAGGGGAGACAGGCAAAACGAAAGCCACTGAAGGGCTAACCACACAGCGTTTGTGCGGCCAAAGGAGAGTAAATGTGGCAGTCTGTGCGGGAAAGTGGTTCAGCGCAGCATAAGAGGACACTAATGAAAGAAAGGCAGCACGAATTTTAGGGTACTATCGGCACGGACTTGAATATGCCGCCAAATAACGATAATGTTACTAGAGCATCCCTTGACCTAATGCAGTCTCAGTAGTGCCTTTACTCACAGAAAGGAGCATTTTCTCGAATAACCACTCGCCGTGCATCGCATGCTGCTCCTTTAGCAGTTCTACCCTCTTGGCTTCTTCGATGGCAATTTCTTCACGGAGTTTACTGGCCTGAAAGACGAACCGTAAATCCTAAACCCCGAATTCCTGCCCTTCGATTGTTGACAACGTGTCAGCTGGACCGACTGTCTGCAATAGTTCTCCAGGTCTCATTATGTGGCATATTCCCTGTAGGCCGTGAAGCATCTGTCTTTTTTGTTTTAATGGAGAAGAAAGTACAGGGATTCCCGTTCAAGCCTTGGAACGTTTGATCTAGGGATAAAGACTGTGGTTTAACTTCCCAAAGCTTCAATATTGCTTAATTCTGCAGCAGCAATATCTTGAATAGGCAATCGGAATATGCATCATTGTTGCTATCTTGAGATACATAAAGACAGGATTTAATAAGACAAAAATAAAGGGAAAAAGAAAAGTGTGGCTTGCTGCTCATTGACCTCTGCTTCCAGTCTCTCCAGTGCTGCCTCTTCCTCGGCGATTCTCGGATCAGCTTTCTCCAGTGCATTTGCCTTGCTGCTTGGTTGCTTTTTTCCCTTTTTAGACATCTTTGGATAGATACCACTTTTCAGAGTAAGGTAACTCCTCACAGCAATTCATAAAAGAATCAAGTCCAGCTGTACAAGGAAAGGGCCTTTAGCGACAAAGGATTAAGGAAGGAATGAGGATAGAAAAAAGTGACCCCATGCGGGCACTTTTCATTCCAGAGAGCTATGCTGAAGGCGTACCGTGATGCAGGGCAATCCAACAGCTGTGATAGGGTGAAATACCATGAACATAAGCATACCCACATGTACACCCATACATACAGACTTCACCTTTACTAGCACCTCTTTATTGCATAAAGGCACGGCTGCAGTGAAATTTAATCGTGAGCATACAGAAATGGCGAGAAATTTTTCTTTTAACCAGGCAATCCCGTTTGCAAGACAATCTGGTAGTGCCCGTAGCGCTTCTGTGGGGTTCCTGGCCTCCTAAGGTCTCATACTTGTGGTTACAGTAGTGCGGCTCTACTCAGAGCATACAAGAAAAGAAACGATACGGAAATTCGCTGTACTTGTTCACCCTAATTGTACGAGTCTGTTTCGCTTCCCAGCACTTGCATCATTATTCACTGCTTATCTAATGCCATTTTTATGGCTCGAGAAGAAAGCAACCGGCATTTGCATGTCATGTGCGGAAAACTGCGTTCGTTTTCTCTTCGACGCGGAGAACACTGGAATCCTAAGCACCTAGTGTGAATGGCACAAACGAGGAATGGTAACTACTGCATGAAATTTCGGCGTACTACTATGGTAGAGACTAGAAGCTTCATCCTAGTTACTAGAAGCTCAGTCAGCCACCCTGTAGCTTGATTCCTCAAGCTCGATCCATCAAATCCTTTACAACTCAATTTGAGAGTATCGGGGCTGCGGCCAGCCCCAGAGGCCCCGTACAATCTCGATTCAATGCGACTCTGTGGATGGCGCGGATGGATTCTTCTCAAATAACGTCTTCGTGCATTATGTATTTGGTGTGAAGAGATGGCGGTGGTGCATACAACTATGCATCTTGTATTCTTCCCGTGATGCTGCGGCGACTTGGTGGCTTGGCATGGAGCGGAGTTGTGCCTAATAAATATTTGACTTTACCAATTCTTCCATCAGCTGCTGGTCGGCCTACGAAAGATCCATTCACGGGCTCTAACCTTTTTGAAGGAATTACCGAGAATTCCGGCTCTTGGAAAACGCTAAGCGTGGCCCCCACAGAAAATTGCTATATCGTGTGTTCACCTGCAAGAACATGCTATTTTGCTACTGAACACATTGCCCCTTTGCATTACAACACTGAAAACAATCAACCATCGGGTGTAAATATGGCACTTCGTGCCGTCCGGAATAGACAGGCCCGCGCTGCCGCGGTGAGCCCCTATGCGCATCCTGCAGCGGCTCCAACTGTCATCCGCCCTCTATGCTCGAGTTCCAACGCCTCTTCTGCTGTATCAAGCGCTCGAGGTGGAACTAAATGTGCGGATACAGCAACATTTCCCCTCCAGAAAAAGTTTGGTCAGCACCTTTTAAAGAATCCTGGAATCCTGGACAAACTGCTGGCCGCTGCAAACATTACGAGTTCTGATGTTGTGCTTGAAATCGGACCAGGTACGAGCAGTTTCTTTATGTATCCTTTTCGTTGTACTCTTCACAGTTCGCTGTCCCTCTTGTCTCTCGCATTCTCCTCCATCCGTGCAGGGCTGCTGCACAGTTTTGCTGTGAGCCTTACTAAGATGTTGGGCTTTTATTGTTTGTTGCTTCTCTAAAACAAAGCCTATCATTTGGAATGTGCTTGGGAGTTCAGAGGGATGCCATTTTGCAGGGTCCCCAAAGCTCCAGGCAAATAGCTTTTCGGGTTGCCATTTCGCATGGCCCTACCGCGCTGTCATTAGAAGTGTCATTGAAACCTTTATGATCCTCTTTTGCTTTCTCATTTCCATACCGTGCTCCTAATCCTCATCACCGTTCTATCGGCTTTTTTCTTCGTGGCTAGTGAGTATTTCAGTGCTTTCCCTTGTTGCCTGGCTATCTTTTTGATCGGTGTCCATCTTCTCCGGTTGTGTGCTTGACAGCGATTGCACTGCTGTAATCGAGTTCATTTTTAATTTGGCAGTTTATTTAGGAGAATTTCGGGGTCCCATGATTTTTTGTCTCCTGTCGTTTCTTCCTCTTCGTTTCTTTTCTTTTCAACTATCGCATTCACTTCCTTGCAGGCGGTTGTTGCCTCGACCGAATAATGCTGTCTTTTCTGTCTGTCAGCTCTTTTCTGTTCGTAGGCACCGGAAACTTGACTGTCCGCCTTCTCCCGTTGGCGCGACGTGTGATTGCGATGGACATCGACAGTCGAATGGTTGCAGAAGTGCAGCGGCGCTGCCAGAGCTTAGGTTTTTCGAACCTAGAAATCGTCCACGGTGATGCCTTAAGGCAGGATTTGGGCTCGTTTGATGTTTGTGCTGCCAACCTTCCCTATCAGATTTCCAGTCCGTTCCTCTTCAAGCTCTTGGCGCACAAACATGCGTTCAGGTGAGGGCAGGATATTTTTGAATGCACGTTCTTCAGGCATTGCCTATGAGTAAACTGCTTGTCTTTTTACAAATCTTTGTTCGGTCTCTTAGTGCCTTGGTCCGTCGTGTCATTTGCTCGTCGTTGGCTCTCTTCTGCGTGTGCTTCATTCCTTCCATTGCTGTTTGATCTTCTTCGTTTGCGTGTTTGTTTGCGCCTGGCGTGGTGCTTGCAGGTGTGCGGTCTTAATGTTCCAGGAGGAGTTCGGAGAGCGGCTGCTCGCGCAGCCCGGCGAACCACGCTACTGCCGTTTGGCAGCAAATGTCCATTTGTTCGCAAAAGTTACAAGAGTGTGCAAAGTAGATAGAAATTCCTTTAGACCGCCGCCCAAAGTTGATTCGGTCATCGTCAAGATCACCCCTAGAAAGGAAATTTTGCCGGTGAGAACACAGGTCTCCAGCGGTGTGAAGGAAATTAAGGTTTAGCAATACATGGTTTGAGGCAGAATGGTTATTAAAGCGTAGAGATCTTCTTTCAAAGAGGAACTGTAGGTGCACTTTGGTTGCCGAGGCCTTCTTTTATCGGGTGATCTTTTGTGGGGGGAGCTACTATCGGTCTACTTGCTTTCTGGGTTCTGGTCTCAACGTTTCGCTTCATCTCTCATGCGTTAATCGTGATTACATCGTGCGTTATTGAGTCTCTGCCTAATATCGTTTCCAGTAGAATGCGATGGTCTTTCACGGGCTGGGGGGTAGCTCCGTATATTGATCGTGGCTTGCCAGGTGAATGCGGACGCTTACGCTGTGGCTGCGTCTAACCTGTATAATGTTGCTTGGATTTTCAGGTGGACTTCCGCGAGTGGAACGGGTTGCTCCGTATATGCTTCACTCGGAAGAGAAAAACCCTCAGGTCAATTTTTAAAAAGCCTTCCGTCTTGTCGATGCTCGAGCAAAACCACAAAGTTGTTTCTGCATTTAAAGGAGCAGCTCCAGTTAACGGATCTCAATTTAGGGACTTGTGCTTTGAGGCAATCCAGGAGGCGGGTGTAAGTGATCGGAGGAGTGTCTCAATCTCAACTGCCGAGTTCTACAAACTGTTGCTCGAGTTCCACAGAAGAAGCATCTTCTTCCAAAATGCCGCAGACTTGGAGCTGAACAAGGAGGACACGAAAGAAGGAATCTCTGCTGGTAAGTAGGCTGCTTAGTTTGCCATTTCCCTCCCGATTCCGTCAATTGTACCTGGTGCACGTATCTTTTTTGAATGGCGTTTCCGTTTGATCTGTGTTGGGGGCTCCATACATTGATATGTTTCGTGCCACGTGTCACATTTTAGATCATATTACGCTTTGAAATGTACTTAGGGGTAGAAGAACTGTTTTGGGGAGAAGGAGAAGCGGAAATGTCTGAAGATTCAGAGGACGAACACTCTGAGCACCTGAACAAGCGGGCGGGAACAACCGGGAAGCGGAAAGAACGCAAAGTATAGAAGTGCGCTTGTTTCTGGTGGACCCTTGATTTTTATTTGAATTTTCTGAAAATATCCAGGTATTATGTAGACTGGTATTGAGCGCATGGCGCAAGCAAACCCTACCTTTGTGGTAGGTACGTTTCTGCTAGTGGGTATCAGCCTTCCGTGAGTCTCCACGATTCGAACAGCAAAATCAAATGATGAATAGTGTGCACTCAATCTGGTCTAGCAGCACTTAAGGGAGAAATTGTAAACAACTCTTGGGTAAAGGTTTATGGTGTTCCAAAGCTTGGGGCTGGGGTGATCGGTTGTCGGGGTAGTCTTCCCCCGTGTACTTCGCCAGCGAATACTTATCGCTTTACTGAGGGGCGGGGGTTTAATTTGTTTGTTGCTACCTAGTTAAGGAACAGTCCGACAATAAAGGATTTCTTCTTGAATTGGAAGGACGGTCGTCCATAGCGAGCACAGTTTGTATGAACGGTACAAGGACATGTGGGATTATTCAAACGAAATTTAAAACACAAAGAGGCATAGACTGCTTTGAATGTTTGTGCGACAATCGGCTCGCATTTCCAGCCAGGAAAGCACGAAAACGCGCATGCAGCCCCGGGGGCGATCAGGAAAAGACATATTTATATTTTTACTGTGCATAAGAAAAATGTTTACCCATGTTTCCTTTGTTTTGAACCCCAAGTCTTTGACAGAAAGACCCATGGCAACTTCGTGAAAACGGAAGCTTGCCAGCAGCACCAGCACTCAGGCTGTTGGACTGCGCATTATTCTTTTGTGTGAAGGCGAGACTATCTATCCGTCTAACACAGAAGGTTTAGTCCATAATAAACAAAGAGTAATAAGATCAACTGCTCTCGTGTGTGGGGTTTGTCTAGCTTAACACTAGGTACAAATGCTGCCGAACGGGGTGTCAGAGTGCTGCGGCGGGAACAAAAACGGAAAAGGTGAGGGAAGCAGCGGGAGTGAGAAAGAGATAAAGGCAGGAGTCATGGAAGAGGGAAGTGGGAGAGAGAGATCAGCAGCATTGGATCTAGAAGATCTAATGAAAATACCTAAAGTCGAGCTACATGCGCACTTCTTCGGTTCCATCCGCCTCGAGACCGTAAAGAGAATTGAAGAATCAAAGGCAGCACGTGCCCGCACCCAAAAAGGGCAAATAAAGGAAAAGGCTACCGAAGGGGGAAATTGCTGCACGGAAGAGGTGACGGAGGAGGTGCATTCACCGAACAACGACAAGCATAAGATCACCAGCAACGGTGGCAGCTCCAACAGGAACTGCAGAAGTGTCAGTAAAAGTATACACACAGGGACACCCAACTGCCCCGATCTGATTGCAGCGTTCGATTATTTCACGTGGGTTTATTCAGCAGTTCGCGCAGCTGACGATATGCGCCAGGCGCTGCTGGAGGTGTTGGAGGATTTCCACAAAGAGAATGTCGTGTATCTCGAACTAAGATCCGTATGCTGTTATTCCCTAATCGGCAGCTAAACCATGAATATGTGCGAATCCTGACATGCAAACCCTAGTATTTTTTCTGTACCCCTTTCATATCTTACATGTACGTATTTACTCATCAGTTCTTTGAAAAAGCCTTTTCATGTTTCCTCTCTTTGCTTGACTATCTGGTACGATGCCTTCAGTCACTAAAGCGTATTCCTGATGAGGGGATAGATCCCCAGTCCTACGTTGACTTGCTGGTCGAGGGCTGCAAAGAAGCGAAACGAAAATGGGAAATGAGCGTATGCCTGGATGATCTACGATTTAGAATTCAGCTGCTTGTTAAATGATAGTGAGGGCGGCGGCCTGCCGAGAAGGCGGGGAAAAGCCATGAGGGCTTCGACTTTCTCAAAGTTGGCTGCTTTATTGCTAGCCACGCTGCTATCCGAAAGGACGACAAGTGAATAGGTGTGCCTCTGTGCTGTTTCCTCTTAGGTTCGGCTTCTCATTTCATTGGACAGAGGACGAATGGACACGGAGGAAAATGCAAATTTGCAGATTGAAGAGGCCTTTGCTGCAGCCGAACGGCACCCTGATTGGATCGTAAGTCAGTCACAAAGTATGGGATTTAACAGTTTTGCCTTTTGAGTATGTGATTCAAGCATTACGCTTCGGAATACTGAGCTTGTGGACGGAAAGGAGAATGGTCTGGGAGCTTTCAGGAGGAGGAGTAGCTGTGTAGGGTTCGCTAATGGTTTAGCGGACGTTTGGAGTGAACTGCCAATGCTGAACAGGGGGGTACAAGAAAGCTCGATGAAATAAAAATCTTCAGCAGTTGCAGCTAATCACTTGGCACTGCTGAGCAATCGAGCGCATTTCGACTTCATCCAGGACTATCGTTCAGGGAACGGAAAGTTGAAAGTATCATTCATGTGACCGGCACCATTGCTGATTGTAGGTTGGGTTCGACATAGCTGGCAGACCGGATAAAGGGAGCATAGAGTTAACTCTGCAGCGGTTGAAAGAGGAAGTTATCTCCGAAGGCGGAAAATTCTATAAAAAGAAAAAAATCACGATTCACACAGCTGAAACGGTGAGAGAGAATCATAGTGAATTGCAACGGCTGAGTGTTGTTTTCTACATGCTTTGAGAAATCGCTTGACGTATGACGTTTGTGTTTACGTTTACTCTCACATTCGATTTGTCAGGCTATTTTCTTGTACTTTCACCCACAGCCCTGCTGTCGCTACTGTGCTTCTTTTTGTGTGTGTATTCCAGGGTTCATGTTCTCCTCAAACTCCCCTCTTTCGTCGTGTAGGATGCTTTGCGTGCAGCTCGATGCCGAAGCAGAAACGGAAGAAATCCTAAAACTGCCGCCGCATAGGCTTGGACATGGCTGCTACCTTGTAAACTCTCGACCCCACGCCCCTAAGATCTAAGGACTCCGATCTCTAATCCCCAGATGTCGTGGCAACAATGCCTTATTGTTCTTATTTTTGGATTCGAGTTTCTTTGGATAGTGCTGAATTTTCGCCTCTCAGAAGCCCAGAACTCGCTGTCTTCATCCCAATCGTTTGCAGTGTTCGAATGCCCATGTCCAAGGCTTTTGGGATCAAATTGTAGCTACATGTTTTACAAAGCAGATTTTTCTTAGGCAAACAAAGGAGACAGCTACATGCCTGTGAGCCTGTAGAACCGTGGTATCTGTTCTTGCCATTTACCTTTTCTGTCAGACAGCCGAGGAACAGAGGGCCGTTGTGGACAGCGGAATCTGCGTCGAGGTTTGCCCCACGTCGAACATTTGTACTTTGAAGCTGAGGTGCGGGTTCTTCTGATGTTGCACAGCCAATTGAGTCTATTCTATTTTCTGGGGATATTGTAATTACTTCTCACCATGGCTTGTGTTTCGTTCGGAGTCTACGACTATTTGATGGCGTGTATGTTTTACATCTTCTGTCGCATCTACTCAGGGATTTGCAAGATCATCCTTTGCAGCTCCAACAGGGGAATATCCTTGGGTTGCAGAACATTTGTATTTGCACTGATGACATTGGTAAGGCGTATTATTATTCGTTTGCCGCAGTTAATGCGAGTTGCTTTCATGCCCGATAAACTTGTTGAGTCTGTAGTATGAAGGGGGTGCGAGTGGGGCAATACATAGTTTCGACGGTGTTAAAAGTATTACGGCCACAAACAGAGCCTCTCCTTCAGAGGTGAGGATATTTGATTCGGGCAGTTCGAGAGACATTCGTGGAAGGTGCTGCCACCCTGTATGCCTGCCTTTGTAGGTTTGGTGTGTATCCGTTTAGGGCTCTTCCAGACCAGCTTATCAAAAGAACTGCTAATTGCCGCACGCGCATATAATTTGGCTCCACAAGATATATTTGAACTGCAGAAGAGAGCTGTACATGCTGCTTTCTGCTCCCCGGAAGAAAAGGAGAGAATCCTTACCAGGTTTTTCAATGATGAAGTTAAAATGCAATTTTGTAAGACAAACGGAGGATGAGAGAAGTTTAAATATGCTGCTTCACGCAATAAACCGATAGTTGGCTCGCCTTTTAATGCATGTTTGTCTTAATTAGGGAAACCGGGACTAAAGTACAGCTTCGTACTTTCCCAGAAGCAATGCCACTAAAGTTGAGGCTTTGCTTGGGGACTTTTTGGAGCAAGCGTTTATGCAATTTGCTTTTTCACGAACGGACAAAAGGAAAGTCTGGCATCATACTTTATCCTGGAGCCAGCCTGTCAGTGTGCTTCATAGCCCTTCTCTTCCTGCAAAGGTAGAGCCTTTTGACGTTTTATTTTGGCATGTGATCGTCGTACTAGTTCAACTGTATGGTGCTACTCGGATCTGCTTTGTGCATTTACAGTACCTGCGATGAGGAACACGCGAATCGCCCAGCTGAATCCCTTATGGTTAGCATAGATCCACTTGATAGGATTGATTTTAATGTTTGCCTGTGCTTCATCTTAGCAATTATAAGTGATAGTAGCTGCTGTTCATGTTCACCGCAGCATTCATGTCAGCAGGCAGTGCACTCGTAGGCACGCCGCGATGAAAGCACCTTCTGGACCTAATGTGTAAACGCAATCCGAAGTTTTATTGTGAAGCCCTTAAGTCAAACCGTACACCACTCCAATACAAGGCTGAAAAAATATGTGAAGAGTCGAGTACAAAAGTGTTAGATCAAAAGATCCTGCTCATTCAAAATCTTTGAACACACGACTAGAAGCATCTAAGTAAAGTAAGTCTTGTTGCCTTCTGACCAGGTCGATCGCTACAGGTCTTGAACAGGTTGTTTGCGTATAGCGTTTGATAGCTCTATCTCTGGGCACCTAAAAAGAAAGAGTTTTCTGCGTTCCACCAAGGGGAGGGAATCCCGGTCTCCTTCTCGTACATTTTCCATAACTGAACAGGCACAAACCACTCAAAGGCTTCATTTTCAGAATTCTGTGTTTTGATGTTCATGAAACCGGATTTGCCTTATTTGGCCGGGATTCGCACTGCGTTGCTACCGGTTTGACTACTTTGCTGCGTGCAATAATCAACAGGCTCAGAGCCATACCATTCTGCACTAACGAAGTTCCACTTAGTTTTATGGCTGTCAGACTAGTTAGACTATAATAAGCTCCATTTTAAATGAGTGCAAACACACACATGCATTTCCGCCAGAAGCAGATACCCTGCATCGCCAAAAATATCTAAAACAACACTGTATGCCTCACTTCGAACCAATAGGCCACAAACTGAAAGGGATGGAAGGGGTCCAACCGCCGCTTGGCCTCGGCCCAAACTCGATTGGTTTCCTTGTGAGTAAAACCGTGTATTTCTTTCATGTGCCTGCAAAGTGAGAACCACCATAAGTATACCAAATGCACATCTGTAAGGCTCCACATGGCTTCTTTTACTCAGTAAGCTACATTCTTTGTTCGTTGTTATTGGCGTCGTGCTTTGACCATGAAATGCAATTTGCTTTTTCGAAGAGAAAATTTATTCAACGAACGAATTTCTTTCATTGATGCATTAAACAAGTCAGCATACACCCAGCATTGGACTGTGAAACAGAAATCCACGTACATTTCACATAATGCAGAGATGCACAAGCGAACAACACCTAGTGCACGATTCCGATCAGCTCAAGGAGAAGTTCTCACTTTTTATACTAAGTAAACAACTAGTTTGAAAACAACAAACAAAAAGTTTCCTGAACTAATGAAACATATGCATCCCTGAGTATGCCCATCCTACGTACCTTGCAGTTTCTGAATCAAAGGCATATACATCGAAAAACCCCAAAAGCTGCATCATGTTTTCAGCAGCAAACTTCCCAAAGCCAAATATTGAAAGAAGCTTCTTTAGGATTTCATCCCGGTGCGCAAAAGTACTCAAAGATAAAACTCTCTTATCCGGCTCCCCATCGTCTGTTTGCTTTTCCTGCTGTAATGCTCTTTTCTTCTTCGGTTGTTGCTCTTCTAATATACCGGGTTTTAGAGGGCGAGGATCGCACAGTGCTATTAGGCTCAAATTTTCTCCAGGCGTCCTTGGAATGCTGTTTTCTAGAGATTCAAAAAAAGAGAGATCTAGACTGCCATCTATGATGCAAGCAGCTAATCTGAAAACAAAGAAATGCAGTCACAAGAGGATATATATACCACCGTAATTATAATTGCATGGTTCATCACTGCAACGTAACCTTTCTGCAGCACACTGTTTCCAAGCTTAGGAAAGGCGCTGGGCGGCGCACCTCCTAACTCTCTCCCCTCTGTATCCCAAGGAACAAAGCCGCTGCAGTTCTTCCGAAGAAAAGCCAATGATATCCCAAGGAGAAGGAAAGGAGCCTTTTACAGAACTTGCCTGCAAGCAAATAGTCAAAAGGGTAGATTCAACTGAAAGACAGAAGGATAAGTTTTCAGTCGCTCAATCTACAGCAGATCAGTGAAAAATCCAGCCTATGGCGTCCCACAAATGCTCCTTTCGCCTCAGCTTCCACGTCAAATACCGATGAATGGCAGAACACTATGGACAGAGGACTAGTTGTAGGGAATGCTTCATGCGCAAAACTGTCATATAGAGGGCAACTACAGTTGGACGTATTCGCATGAAGGCTCAGCATTAAATTTAGAGATAAAGACAAACAGGATGCAATTCGAAAGTTGAGCACAGGAATAATGATTTAAATGGCTCATAATAAGTTGAAAACTGGACCGAATCGGACAACAAAAGACCACAACGAATATAGAAAGTAGAGAATTGCAAGCTCACCAAGGTACACAAGAGTCGGTTCATTTTCAGGCTCTGCTTCCAGCGAACGTTGCAAATGGTTATTGTCTTCACCTACATGCAAACGAACGGCAAGGCTGACAAAAAGGTGAAGCGATACCAAAACTAGAGGGGACGGCAGAAAGTAGCGTTACCGATACACGAAACCTTGAAGAAAGAGGGGAAAACGCATGAGTAGGCAAGTGCGCTTTCTCATCTAATTGTGGAAGAGTGGCTTTTGAAACTTGCACTTTAAAAGGCAGAGCAGCCACCGCGCGCTGGCGGAAAGCAAACGCTGCTGATCAGCACGACCAGAAGGACGCCAAATCCGAAACCAGTTCACCCACATAAATAGCAGTTGATAGCGCATTAAGAGGAAAAGCTAGAACGCAGAAGAGGCGAAAATGCAATTGTGTTTTCTCACCATGTCCTCCCATATGGTGGGGCTTCTAAAAAGATGGCCGAATTTCCTTTCCTTCGCTGCAGGATGCATTGCCCAAAAGGCCTCTATGGAACAGCCGCGAAATGCAGTTGCGTCCAGGCGGCACATGCGCTTGATCTGAGAAAACTCCCGGAAAGTTGACTATGGGGAGGATGGTGGTGATCTTCATCAAAGTTACTCGAGCAGAACGGGAGTGCGGGCACTGCTTCCTCTCTTCTGTGCTTTCGTGTCTATTTCTGTCTAGCTGATGAATGAAATTCTCAGGAAGGTACATTGAAGGGAAACTGGGGGTGAAGAAAGGCTGCAGGGCCGACATGACGTGCAAGAATCGCTGGGACAGGCTTCTTAAAACAAGGAGCAACTAAGCAAAGAATGCCGCACAGAGAAAATCTCGCGAATAAGGGCGCCGTGGGGTATGTACAAGCAACAGAGCCAGTTGCACGAGCACCTGCCAAACTGCGCTCTCCGTATTCGGCTTCTGCTAGATAGCATTTGAGGTCTCACCTGTCCAAGAATGTCACTTTCCTCCGCCTCGCCGGAAGGCAGTTCTCCTTCTAGACATATCCTAAGAGGAAAGCAAAAGGGGGAAATGCGCAAGTGCGCTCGTCCTTGAATTCAAGACCGGCCGCTCCGTACAGCGGATGCGCGCGTCAGGAGTTGCCACGACGAGCGTCCAATTTGCTTATTAAAAAAGGGAAAGGCCCCTTTATGTGATGTTACCAGAGAGATCCCGGCTCTTTGCAGGTAATTTCTGCAATGCAGCACTTCTCGGACCGCTCTCCGTAGCGCAGAGGACGGTGCAAGGTCCCGTGTACCGCTGCAAGCGTCTGCCGAGTCTTCTTTGATTGGCTTCCTTTAGAGCTTCTTGGAGCAGAGGCAAAGACGCATGATTCGACAGACACGGGCGGGGGGACAGGAGGAGGCGTCCACTGATTTGCATTGCATAGCAAAGCCACACAGCACAAGCCTTGACACCCGCAAACACCCTACACGCCTGGAGCTTTTTGGACGGCGTGTTGCATGGGGAGGCCTCGTGAGGCTGTTCGCGACAGAGGCTACAGAGCTGAAGGGGGCTCAGAGAACAAGCGTGGGTTTTTTCGCCGCAGCACGGGGGGAGGTGCAACTGTTAGCCGTGCAGGGTGCGATCTGTGAGGCGTCTGCCTCCTCCGCTTGCCTTGTTGGGCATCATGCAGAAAAAGCCGTAGCTGCATATTGCCATGGAAAAGTCGAACTCTTGAGGCACTGGCAGAATGTATGTGCGCCTTTCGGAGGAAGACGATGAGGCAACAAAAGGGGCCTCCGTCGAGCCCTCGGCTGTGGAGGGCTTCGCAGGCGATTGCTGCTTGAGGGAAGCTAAGCCTCGCACATCGCGTTCGGTGTCAGAAATACAGAGGACGTTTGAGGCAGCGTTACTGCCCGTTCCTGCTTCTTCTGATGGCCTTCGGCTCCGGCGCTTCGCCGTGGCGAGTCTTCCTGTAGGCACCGCAGGTGTAGCGGGCATTGCTTTGATATCCGAGAGACAAGCGCGCATTTTGCTGATCCTCTCGGAAGTTCTTCTGCAAATGGAGCTCAATGGGCTCCGTTTCCTCGGGGTCTTCATGGTCCCTGCAGCTTCCCCGCGTCAAGGAGGATCGGCACATTCACGAACTTGCATGCCTCTTCTTGTTGGGAGTGAACCTTCCCGGAAATCATGTATATATATGTTGCCGCTTGAGTCGAGGCTCTCAAGAACTCAGTCGTAGAAAGCAGATGCACCCGCCAAATAGAGGAAAGCTTTCACCAGCGTATCGCGTGGCACTGATTCCAGGGGCTGCTGCGGCTGAGCTGCAGCAAAAAACCCGTCAGTGCTTCGTGCGCACGCTGCAACACGCACCAGGCCTTCCTTGAAAACATGAAAGAACAGTGTCTTTCAGACGAGAAGAAGAAGCCGCCAAAACTCTAGACGATCTCCCAGCGCCATAGAGCTGTCTGATCATGGGGCCCTCGGAGCGCGGATCCTGATCGGAGAGGGGGCCCCCTGGACGGGGGCCCCCTCTCCGATCAGGATCCGCCCCCCGAATTCGGCCAAAACCCCCAACGGGGCCGTAAAACCGCTTTTTTTTCTCTAGACTCTTGACTTCAAGGTGCCTTTCTGTTATTTTGGGTGGATTCTCAATTTTCGGGAGCCGAGTGGCGTTGTTGCGGGCAGCAAAGCGAACCCGAAGGGAAGCTGCGCGGACGAATGCGGGGTCCTCTTGAGCCGGCCGATGATCTGCACGGCTTGCCGAAAGCAGAGAGGCGTCATGTGCGGCTGCTTCTGACGATTGAGGCGCTTTCGGAAGCCCACGAGCTCGCGAAGAGGGAACTTGAACGGCTGCCTCCCTCCACGGAGGAGAGCCCCCCGGTGGCGCCGGCCGGAGGAGCACCTCCGGCCGAGCCAGCGCGCAACACTGGACTAGCGGCTTTTGCCGAAAGGGCCTCTGCAGCGCTCCTCCACGCAGAGAAGTTCGCCGCGGATATCCGCACACTCATCGATGAACGGCGCCATACGAGGCTTCAGGGGATTCCCCACCCTTCGCCTCCCGGGGCCTTCCCCCCGGCGCAGCAGCCACTCCGGGCTCTTGGGGGCCCCCAGGAGGCCCTTCACGTCTTCGCTGCCTCCGCATTCGCGAGTCTCTACGAGGCTGCGGAAAAGCTGATCGAGCTCATTTGCCCAGCGGACGCCGTTGCCGCCGAGGGGCCCCCGGAGGCCCCTCGAACCACCGGAGCTCCCCGTTCGGGGGGCCCCCCTGCATGCAACAAGCTTCGAGGCGGCGCGGCCTTCTCGTGTGTCGTCAGCCACGCCATGCCGCTCCTGGAGAGCCTTCTGGGGGCCCTCACGGCGCTGCTGATTAGCCTCAGAGACGAGTTGCTTCCTGAGAACCTGCCGCCGAAGCGCTCGGAGACGCAGCGTCAGCAGCAGCTGCAACTGCAACGGGAGCAGCAGCAAACGGTGCTGCTGCGAAGTAAGCAGCCTGAGCTCCAGCCAAAAGAAAGCCCGTTGGCGCGCGGCTGGTTTTTTAGCTGCATCTTTGGCCAGTGCATGCACTTGGGGCCTCGTGCGTTGGATTGCTGCATGCGCCTGGCGCCTCCAGAAGCCGCCTCTTTCTCGGGCTTGGCGCTCGCAGCGTTGCAGCTGCTTGCAGCGGCAAATGCTGCTGCGTGGCCTCTGCAGCTCGAGTCGCACAGGCTGCGCCTGCTGGCGGGGGAGGCTCCTCGCAGCGCAGCTCTAGGAGCAGCAGCGGCTGCCGTCGATACACCGAACGGAGGCGTCTTTCGCCGCTGCTTCGCAGCTGCAGTCCCCATGAGTGGGAGCCTCCCAAGCGGTGCAGTCTGCGGGATTGCTAGCCACGAGCTTCTGGTGCTGCTACAGCGCCTCTGCAGCAGCCACACCTCCAGCAGCAGCACGGCCAGACATGCGGAGCTCGTGCTGTGGGCCCTGCGGTGTCTGTACGGCATCGCGAGCTGCTTCTGCTTCGTTTCTTCCGAGACCTCTCCGGAGGACGCTGCCGCAGCTCGCGATGGCGCTCTTCGACTCTACCCGCTAATTGCTGCTTCCTTGGTGGGCTTCCTCACGAGCAGCGCTGCAGGAGCCAAGAGGCCCCTCCCACTCAAAGCGGCAAGCGCCGCTGCTCTAGCTCTCAGGCAGTGGATAAGAGCTGCTCTGGGGCCCCTTCTGCCTCAGGGAGACGCCGCAGGAAGTCTGCAGAGGAGACAGGGGAAAGCTGGCGGCTCATTGGCAGAAGGCGGAGCTTCAGAGAGACTGAAGCCGCTCCTGCGTCTGCTCAAGAGACAGGAGCACTTTTCGGGGGGGGGGGAAGAGGGGGGAAGGGCCCCTGCAGGCACAAGCGGAAAGCTTTCAAGCCCAAGGGGAGGAGCGACGCAACGGACGCCAACACACAGAAAAAGCGAAGACGGGGAGGCATCTTCTGTGGAGGAAGAAGAGGCGGAGTCTGAGCCTGAGGAGGTTACGCCACACACGGCTCTCCAGATGCTCACAGCTCCAGTGGCCCTCTCAACTCGCTGGAAAGCAGAAGAAGAAACGGCGTCTCGAATACAGGTGCTCACACGCAAACACGCGCGAGTTTCCTAACCCTCTCGAAGCAATGCAGTCCAACAGAGGCCTGCATGTTGCGTCTGTGTGTGTCTGTGTGTCTATGTGTGTGTGTCTATGTCTGTGTGTCTGTGTGTCTATGTGTGTGTGTCTGTGTGTGTATGTGTGTGTGTGTGTGTCTATGTGTGTGTGTGTGTGTGTCTGTGTGTGTCTGTGTGTCTATGTGTGTGTGTGTGTGTGTGTCTGTGTATGTGTGTCTGTGTGTCTATGTGTGTGTGTGTCTGTGTGTTTCTGTGTGTGTGTGTGTCTGTGTATGTATGTATATACACGTATATATGTACACGTATATATGTACACGTATGTATGTACACGTATGTATGTACACGTATGTATGTACACGTATGTATGTACACGTATGTATGTACACGTGTGTTTACGTATGTATATACACGTATATATACGTGCACGTATATATGTGGTCTTTGGAAAGCGACTGCTTCACGCGATGGCTAAGGTGTTGCTTTGTTTGCGCATACAAGAAGGCCCTTGCGCGTGGTGGCATCTGAGGGGCCCTGTGTGCTGTTTTTTTTCCCTTGAATTAGAAGGCATGCAGGCGTCTGTGCGCTGCGCATTCTTTATTCGTGCACTCGCTGCGCTAAGCCCCTCCACGAGCCTCCCCACTGTAGACGCCAGTCCCTTGCTGCTGCCGCGCCTGCGCCTTTTGTCGCTGCAGCTTCTGCTGCAGCACTCCGTCACTCTGACAGGCAGCTGGAGCACGCGACTTTGCCGCCTGCTGCTCGCCGTTGAGTGGCTACAGTGCTGCTGCTGCAGCGGCAGTCGGGGATCCTCAGAAAGAATGCCACGAGGCTCCGCCGAAACATCCAAAAGACTTCCTACGAAGTCTTGCAGGGGGGGCGGTAGCGCCCTAAGCGGCGCTTCTCGCGTGGCTGCAGCCGTGCTGGTGGAGAGTCTCGACGACGAAGATCCTCGCATTCGCGCTGCTGCGGAGCGCTGGCTGTCGTTGCCTGCTGCTGCCTCCACTGCTGCAGCAGCAACAGCAGACCTCTCGGGAGGCTTTTCCGAGGTGCTGGAGGCGGCTGCTGCTCATCTGGACGCAGTGCTGAGGCAGCCCACTGTTGAGGGGGGCCCCGTCGACTGGGGGCCCCGAGAGGAGCTGCGAGGGGTCTTGGTGGGGGCCCTCGGGCTCTCGCCGGGGGGCCCCTGGGGGCCCCCCGTGGCGCCTTGGCGGGCGCTGGAACTGCTGGGGGATGAAACCATCAACGGCTCCCTGCTGCAAGCAGCAGCGGCTGCAGCGGAATGCAGCTGCTGCCTCGCGTGCACCAGCAGTGGCGAGGCGGAACTGGCGAGGGCGAAGCTGCTTGGAGCCTTGCGAGCTGTACGAGGACGGGCAGTGCTGTGCTACGCGCTCCTCCTCGTCGAGCAGCAACCACCTCCGCAGCGCTTCTCGGAGGACGCCTCTACACCTAGGCCGTGCTCTTCTAGTGGCAGCAGCAGCAGCGAGAATCGCAGCAGCGGCAGTTGCAGCGGCAGTCGCCGAACGCCGTTCGACGCAGCGACGGGCTTGCTGCGGATCAGCACAGCCTTAGATCTGCATGCAGTGGCTGCCGCTCTCTGCCGACTCTGCCGCATTCGTCCAGCCAGCAGCTGCGCCGGCGCTTTCCGCAGAGACGGGGACGGAGGGCGACCCGCCGCTTTGCTGCTTTCAGCTGAGAGAGGCGCTGCAGAGGCTGCACTGCAGTTGGACCCCATAGTCGCCGCTCTGTATCCGCCTCCCGAGAGAGCTTTTTTGCGGGCCCCTCCTGGGGAAGGAGCTTTCAAGGCGGCACCAGCAGACACGGTCGCCGCTCTGCAGGGAGCCGCCGCCGAGTCTGCGGAGGGTGGAAGTGCGTATCTTCTTGGCGAAGAGGGCAGCGCTTGCGCATATTGCCTGGCGGCAGCTGTTGGCTGTTCTTCCGTTGCATCCAGCATTCTGCTGACTGTGCGCCTAGCGGTGCGGTGTCTGCCCCCGCTGTCTCGCGGGCACCTGCTCCTGCAGCTGCTGGAGACTGCCAAGGCGCTCGCCAGGAAGGCTTTTCGTGTGCCTCCAAGGAAGACTTCCAGCGCCCCCTCCCAGCTGCTGGCAGCTCTGCGAGGCTGCGAGGTCTTGGTAGTGGCTGCAGAAAGCCTCTCCCTGTGTCTAGACGAGGTGAAGAGTCGCCCGCGCGAGGCAGCGGCAGCCTCCGAACAGTGGAAGCTCGACGCGGCGCTCTCGCTCCTTCTGGAAATACAGGAGCAGCAGAAACAGGAGCAGCAGAAACAGGAGCAGCAGCAAACGCAGCAGCAGCAGCAGCAACGGAAGCAGGCAGAGGAAGAGCAACAAGCTGACGAGGAAGGGGATTCCCAGGCTGCTCCGCAGCAAGAGCTATCTCCCACCGAAAGAGTTCGTGCGTGCCCCTGTTTCTACTGCTCCCCAGACACCGGCGGTGCGTCTGCAGCAGTGTCTTCTGCACCTTCCGCAGCAGCGGCAGACGTCGAGAGAGCGGGAGTTCAATTTCTGGTGCTGGTGTGGGGGTGTGTGGCGCGAGCCATGGAGGCTCTGGGGGCCCTCAGGGGCCCCCACGCGCTTGCTCCCCACCTGCCGAGCGCCTTAATTCCTCTTTTTGAGGCTTTGGGAAGCTCCCAAGAGTCTCTCGCCGCAGCTGCACGCCGAGCGTTGCAGGCCCTTCACGACGCAGCGGGCAGCTGCCCCTTTCGGCAGCAGCAGCAACAACGACGCCAAGAGCAGCAAGCCGAAGCCGTGGAGATCTCCACAGAGGCGTCTGGAGGGAAAGCGCAAACGACGTGCAGCGACTGCCGAGCTGTGCAGGAGGCGGAGGAAGTCGCGGCTGCCGCGGAGAGCGCCTGGGGGAGCACCCCGCGAACCCTTCGAAGGTGTACGGACGGTTCAAAGTGCCTTCTGCAGACGGAGGGAAGTCTCTTGCTGGACGAACTGGCTTGTCGCGTGCACCGGCTCTCCAGCGCGTGGGAGGCTTCTTCTCCGGCCGACGCGGAGGGGCCTCATGTGGTTTCTCTTCTCTCCGCCGTCATTGCGTTGGCATCGCCTTCCCTCATGGGGCCCCTGGGTGCTCTCCTGACCACGCTGCTGCAGCAGCAGCTGCAGCAGCAGCAGCAGCAGCAGCAGCAGCAGCTGCAGCAGCAGCTGCAGCTCGCCTGGGGCCCCCTTGACGCCGGCTGCGAGGGGGCCCCCGAGCCGAAGCCAAGCGCTGCAGCCATGCCCCTCTGGCTGCTCAGGCTTCTCTCCGTGTTTGCTTTCTTCTTATCCAACAGAGTCGTGACTTCTCGGAGGGCCTCTTATGCCGCCTCTTGGGGGGGCCTGTACCGCTGCATGCGGTGCTGCTGTCGTTCGAGTGCTGGAAGTGCCGCTCCGACCCCTCCGTCCCTCCCCCGCCAGCGGATTTGTCGCCGCTCTCCTTGGGCGACTGCCGTGACGTCTGGTTCCCGCGGCAGCGAGGCTCTCCGCTTTTCCTCGGAAAGCGGCATTCCGGAGAGCCTCGTCTTGTTGCGGAGGGCAGCGCTGCTCGGATGCGACGAGGACGGGAAGGCGCTGGACGGTTCAGACGCCGCAGCGGACTCTCCGGGAAGAGACGCCTCCGACGCGGGGGGGGCGAGAGAGACTGCCTCTCTGGAGGCGGGGGAGAGGCTGCGACGAGGCCTCTTTGGAGACTTGCGCATGCAGGCGACGCATGTGTTGCTGCACGTTCGACTCCATTTACGAGACAGCAGGCCCTTAGCCGCGGCGTACGCGCATCTTGCGGCTTTGAGATGCCTCGTGGTGCTGTCAACGCGGGAGCGAGAGCTCCTTCCCAGGGTTCACGAAGTAAGTTTCGCGTTGAAAGAGAGAGTCGCAGAGGCGGATTCGCCCCTCAAGGTATTCCAGAATCGGCGGGCGGGAGGTGCTGTCTTTGCCTGCTCTTTGGACGCTTGGAAGGCTCTTGGAAGCCGTAACCAAGCCTCGACTGATGTGCGGGGAGAAGAGGGGCCTTGATGGAGAGGTCTCCTTCTTCCTCAAAACGCGTGCTTCCCAATCTGCTGTCACTCGCCGCTCGCTACACTGCGGCTCCGCCTTGCGAGAGTAGGTTCCCACCGCGGAGCTGCTCCCATTGCACCGCCTTGTCGCACTCCCCAGCTGCGTTCTCCTGCGTTTTTGCAGATCTGGCCCTTGTTGCTGCCCTCCCTCAAGGCTGAAACTCCCCTGAGAGTCTTCGTACTGGCGCTTGGTGAGTGGGCAAGCCTCCCTCCGAGAAAGAGACGCTCCTGTCGATAGAAAAGGGCCGCATGCGCCTTAGCGGAGGCGCCTTCACGGGCTTCCCGAGCTGCTTTCTAGGCGTCTCCGCTTCACCCCTCCAAGGCTCTGTGCATTGCCTTGCAACGAACGGCTCACACTGAGGGCTTCTCGCAGCGTCTGCATGGACGTTGTCGCGCACTCCACGATCGTTCCCCCTCTTCACACAGTGCCGTTCTTTTTCCGCATGCATCTCCGCGCCAGAGTAACGGGCATTTTCACTTCGAAGCGCAGGCCTTACTCATCTAGCGCCTCCCTTCTTGGATTGAAAAGCCGCTGCGAGGGCGTTTCTCCACGTGCCTCGTTTCTCAATGGCAGTGCATTCAGCCTCCCGCAAAAGGTGTCTAGGCTTCTGTGTCCTCTTATGAGACGTCAAAAAACAAATCCCCCTTCTTCTCTTTTTTTGTTTTTCTTCAGGCATCCTCAAGCTCCTAACGGCCACAGCAGCGCATTTCATAAGAGACAGGTGAGAGGAATTTCCCCCTTCCACCCCGTCCCTTCCCTCCGCCAAGCCGTTCTTTCCCCTTCTTGGTCGTTGCCTTGTGACTTCTTCACCATCCTTCCCTCCCACCCTTCGCGCCGTTCTACAAGGCAGCAACTCTCTGCAGATAAATAGAAACCCTTGGAGCGCCAAGCAAAGTCTGCGTGGATGCTTTTTCGCGCAAGACTGCTGCTGCCCACCGATCCCAGGCAGCATTAAAGAAAAAGATTCCCCTTCTAGGTGCAAGGAGGGAAGCGTGGAGGCAGGCATGCATGCACGCGCTTGCTCTGTTGCTTTGTCACTTGGCTCCCCTTCATAAAGCACTTCTGAGAGAGAGCTGAGTAAGTCCGCTGCGTGTTTTCGCGCTGCCTCCCGATTTCCAGGTTCGCAAGAGATGCAGCCGCTGCCCTGCCTACAAGACTCTGCCAGCTGCGGCTGGCGTCTGCAGCAGAGAATGCAAGACGCAGCGAGGCATACAAGTGAGTGGCTGAGGTCTCTCACGCACCACAGCAGTTGCCTCTCGTGTTTCGCCTTTCTGCAACGGAGCGCCTTCCCTTGTTGCGGCTTCAACGATGCACGATGCACACCCCTTATTGAGTTTCACGGCGCTTCGCCTCAGATGCGTCTCTGCCTCTGCCTCGCCGCCATCTGTGCACTCTCAAGCTTTGTCCACCTACTTTTGATTCGCCCACCTTCGCCAAGCCTCGGCTTGCTTGCTGGGTGCCTCTTCCTTCAGACAGCACGTCCACGGCTTGCGGCTTGCTTGCGCACAGGACTGAATTCGCAATCGCATCGGCTCTCGCATTCTGCGGAAGTGTGCGTCCGGAGCTCTTTGAAAAACTCGGATCTCTCGAGGCTGCCCTTATGTGCTGTTTGAGGTGTCTGTGCCGAGCGACACCGCACGCCGTGGTGGAGAGTGCAACAGCGGCTCTTGTCGCCCTTCACAGAGTCCATCCAGCACGGGTGCGCGAGCCTTTTGACTCCTCCTTGTCTCTCTTGGCAGGGCAGAACTGCGCATGCGGGATGGCGAGGCTGCAGCTCTTGTTGTTGTTGTCATGTTTCGCTTCTCCCTTTTCGTCTCTTTGCTCGCTTGCCTGCGTGTTTCTTGAGCGCCGATGTATCGGGGAGCGAAGTGCTGCAGGGGATGGCGAAAGGGGAGGGGGCCTGCGAGGGAAGGGGAGGGAAGGCTTCTAACTGGGAAGTGGCTCTTTCTCTTGTGCGATTCTGTCGGGGGGAAATTTTTTCGATGGAGCTGTTGCTTCTGAGGCTGTCTGCTGGTGCTGTCTTCGCGAACGTCCCTCGCTTTTTGGCCTCCTACTAGTGTCGCCTTTTTGTTTGCGAGCTTTTCACCTAGTTCCCACTCGCAGTGTACATGCAGCATGCCTGTGCCTATCGAGCGAGTTGGCTTGCCGCTGTATCCTGCGGCTGCCTTCCTGTTTCGCTAAGCGGGATGCGCAGCAAAGAGGGCTCTCCCTGCTCTGCTGTGCCTCAGGTTTGGTTCAAATGCTCTCGTGCTGTTGCCTTGGCGCAACATCTGCAGGCGCAGGAGAAGAAAAGTGGCATCTCTACGACCCCCTATGCATCTGGAGAGCTGCCGCGGCCTGCCAGTGAGTGGCTGTGCGTGCTTGCTCATGGGTGCGACTGGATGCATGAGGCTACCCCACATTCTCGTCTATCACTGCAGAGAACCTCCAAGGAAGCAGAGCAACTGTGGCTTGAACTCTGCAGCGCACTAGATAGCGCCCTAGTAGAAAAGTCGAGGCCTTTGCTGCAGGGGAGACTCGCAGCAGCTACGACGGTAAGCCGAGAAGCAGTGTGCAGGTGCCTGCATACTCTGACTGACTGGAAGCTTCACACATGGGAAGAAGTCAGAAAGGAGGAAAGGAGTAACTGCTAGAAGGAAGCGAAGGATTCCAGTAGAGGCGATCGGGTGGCTCTGGAGGAGCGCAGCCTTCAACTTTGTGCAACGCTGATAGAGTAGGGTGTTGCTGCTGCAACGGAAGAGCCAAACACAAAGGGGGAAACAAGCACAGCACAGTCCGGTGCTCGTGTTTTGGCAGCCCGAGTTTGCTGCTGGCTGCTCATCCTTGCAATGCATCACAGTGCTCTTCTAAGATGGCACCTCCGGGATCGGCCGCTAGCAGTCACCTACGGGTATGGAAGAGAAATTGTACAGACTGTATCAACGCGTTTCTGTGAAACTGTATTTGAACACGTGTGCATAAATTAGTGCTAAAAATCATTTTCTGCGAAAAACCACCGACAAAGAATCCGCCCCATGGCAAGACACGGGAGATTCTCAATTTTTAGTGAGGCAGCGCTAAATCCGAGAGAGGCACACACACTGGCAGGGATGGAGGTGGTAGATACCATGGCTCATTTATCAAGCAGCGTGCGCGCGATGGCGCGAGAGAGCTCAAACGCGTCCCCCAAGCGCCAGCCGAGGCCATGTGTAGCATTTGTTTGCCAAGTTATCTGCTCGAGCCGTTGCTCCAACAGAATACTCCCGACTCCCGCCACTACGTTCATGAACAGCTGTCGATTACCGGCTCCCCAACCACTGGTACCGCACTCGCAAGTATCGTACTTTACAATCTAGCGACGTACTAGCCACAGGCCCTTCACACAAGGAGGCACGCATCAGAGCTAGCAGGAAGACACTTTGTTCGTTACAAAGGACCAACTTACCCCCATGTCCACGTGGAGACGTACCACAAGTCTCGGTTAATAGGGCGCTTAAACAAAGCTTGAGGATAAGACAGCATGCCGCAACCCATCTATCAATGAGGCATACCTGGGAAAGAAGTGCTGGAGGGCGTTTTCTAGCGTTTCTCGCCATCTCATGTAGGCACACGCAATGCGTTACCACCGCTGGGGCGGGCAAAGCGGGATATTCGCAGTATTGGATCTACTGGGATACCTGCTTAGACACGATCTTAATCATTCAGGCTTCCGAATCAGACTGAAGCCCCTCGAGCTGTTAGCGCTTAGTTGTGAATACTCTTGCCAAGTCCTAGTGGGTCCGGCAGCCCCATGATGAATTTCTGCCTGCTGGAGCATCCAGTCCGACTATATTATTGTGTTACGATAAAGCCACACGTGCCTTTTGAGGTAATTAAGCACGCTTTTTAAATTCTGAGACCGCGCGTATAAGGTAATCCATGCCTGAACAAACGGTTCTTTGTGCTTGGTCTTGCGTTCTTCAGTGTGCTTCTCTTCGATGCCGCCAGAGTCTTCGGTCCCCTTTTGAACTTGAAATAGATCGCTGGGTCATTTCAACGCCCAGATTCGCCCTCGTGCGAGCAGATCGGTCGCTCGCATCCTTGTACATGCACAATGACAGAGCGCCGAATCAAACGCTCGGACTGCCTTTTAAATTCCCAAACAGTCTTGACAGCAGATAAGGCGCTTCTTGATTGCAAGTATGAAGCTATTTACAGCTGGATCGCCTCAGAAGAGAGCAAAGCTTTGATAGTAGGAGGCCCTTCTGCCACACTCAGGCCCCTTCATGCAGCTCGGGCAAGCGCCACTGCGGATTCTTCCTCTGCTTGCGAGGAAGCTACGTTGCCAAGTGAGCCACGTAATATTCATTTCCAGTGGGGCACGTGTCTCACCCTTGAGTTATGCGACAGAATCCAAGACCAACATGCATTCAGGAATGCACAATATCCGATGGAAGCGGTTCTTGCCGCGATCATTCTCTGCTGTGAACGCTGGGCAGCCGAGCGTGAAGGGCTACAAAAAGAAAACATTAGCGCAGAGCCATGCGCAGCCGCACAGTGCACAAGCCGCCTTCCCGCTACGGTCAGCGGCTATGGTTCCTTAAGGGAGTCGGAGGGGGCAAGGCGATTACGCTCCTTTGATGTGATCACCTCGAGAAGAGCTTTGCGCTGCTTCCTTCGGTTTCTGTTGCCACACTCATCTCCTTATTTGATACCGTTTTCAATGGACGTGGACTTGGTTGGCAACACCCTTTTATTGACAGTTTTGGATCCTGTCAAGGGTCGACCCCTGGGTTATGGCATCAATTTTGAGGAGCGCTTTGTTTCTCCTGCCAAGATGTGTACAAATGACAAAGCCGTTAACGAACTGACAACGCTCTACGTGGTCCAATCTGTCAACTTGTGCGGAGAACTGAAACTGGCGATTTCGGCTGAAACAGATGCCTTGGATGCGCGCTTTAACCCTTTAAGAAACAGCGTTGCTGCCGAGTCATGTTGTAGCAGCAACAAAAATAAAAGTTCACTTGCGTGCACTTTCGATCAGCAGATGATTGGCTCCAACGAATGCCACGTGCATAGTTGTAAACAACTGTCGCTTCTCGAGAAACAGCTGCTGCAAGACTGTGCGCCTCTGGTGGAACTAAAGACACTTTCTCATTTTCGTGAATACCCGTGGGAAGACACTGCCGATCAAATGCGCCTTGGTGGCGCGAAGCTGCTCCTTAAGGCATCGCATCGCAGGGGCACTCTTCAGACACTTCAACTTGTACCTATAGAGCACGTGGAAAAGCAGCTGGATTTAAATGGCCTGAGTGGCACCGATAAATGGCCTAGTCTGGTAATTCTGCTCAAGAAACTAAGGGAAATCGCGAACATGGTAAGATCGGAATCTTCAGGTGACGTGGCGTGCCTTCGCCTGATTTTCGACGGCGGGCACTCCTTGCGCGTTTTCAATAGGGAACCAGGAACCGTTCGCTTGTCGAAGGAAGCAGTGACTTGGCTTGCATGAACATAATGTTGATAATCTAGCGCTACCTGAACGTGGCGCTTGCTTGGGAAACTAGGGACCCTCAGACTTTTTGTGAAATAGAGGTGTCTCTGCGACTGCATACGGAGCTGCGATATTGGCTTTGTACCCTCGCTCATCCATCTATACAAGTCATTTTCATGAATTTACGGACGCGACTATCCCGATTATGTCCGCGTGCAAGAATATTGCCGCCAGGGGGCCCGTAGAATGGTGTTTTATCAGAAGGAGGAGCCAACTAGCGCCTCTTGTAGCTGTTCAAGGCGCTGTGCCCCGCAGTTCATGCGTGCAGCATGAGCGCGTTCTACAGTAACTGCCCGCCTGCTTTCTGCCTTCCTGAAGAGACACTTCTTTCCATACCCAAATGTCGCCATCGTGAAAACAGACAATGCAGCGTAGGGAAACTGCACAGTCCGGCCTGCATCCACCGCCCACTGTTCAGTGCGACGTGGACCTTTGTACCCGCGTACAATTCGCAGTTGCTATTAATTGGCCAATATTGTGGTGCACTTTTGTGTGCATATCAATTGAAGTGCAGTTCGACCTCTGTGCCCTAAAGCTCAGGAGTAGCGTAGCATCGTTTTCCCGACAGTGGATAGTCTGAACGCGGTTGCCTCCGGCTACTGAGCACCATACACGCATCTCCGTGCATTACTACGGCGCTGTTCGCTACTCGTACGAATATGACGAAGATTACACAGTACACCCAAATTACAACTAGGCTGACCACCTTGAAACCCTCATATAAGGTCTCCGCAGGTAGACACTTGACCCTTCGCCCAACGCATTTACCAGAAAGCTATCGAGCGTTTTCTTTTAAAAAAATATGCTTTCCCATGCCTACGCCAGTCTGACATCTCGCCTTGAGGAGAGGGGCAACTAGGGTAAGCGTAGCCGCATCCTCCGAGCTCTCCGAGCATTCGCAGCTGTAGCCCAGAGCAACCACAGCATTGCCTCTTTTTGCATCGAGTTATTGCCACTCAGCAATCCATAAAATGTACGAACAGCTCAGTCAGTTAGGCATTTCTTCTTTGGTTTAATCTAAAGACAACTAAATAAGAAGAACGTGCCCTACTGCAACTTTGCCCGCGAGAACACACACTAGCCCTGCAACACCGCTCGCTTCTTCCGAGGTGAGTATTAAGCACGCCCATGCACATAACTATTTAGTCCACAAATTGCATGGATTGGTTCAACCGACTTCATTCCCCAGACGTTGACTCTCTCAAGGCACGCGTAACACACAGCTAAGCATAGCTGAAGCGGTTGTCTGTAAAGTCCATCAGAGGACCAGTGTGCCTTGATCCAATCGCAAGCTAAGCCTTCTGACTATCACTGTGCTGCGTAATTTCAAACGCCACGGAATAGAAGGTACAATGGGGCGAGGCAAGATGCACACTGCGAGAAGGTGTGGGGTGGGTGCTGTGCCTCGGTCGGTGAGGGTAACAACCCCCAATGGCCCCTTCCGCCCCGCCTTCATGGCGTCTTTAGAATAAACTTTCGTAGTTTTTGGCGGATAGTCGCCTCTACATGGCCAGCCGTGTTGTGAGGAAAGAATCGCCTCAGTGGGGGCTTCGTGTGCGCCCATTCTCGACCCGCATGCCGCCTCAGTCCCACGAAGCCTGAGAAAGGACGCAGTGCATGGTTCTCCTGCCCCTTTGGCCCTTTCTTTTGGCGTTTAGCGTGTTTCTTCTGGATATTTGTGCCCTTCTGCGCCTTGCTCTCGGAGCGGCCGCTCGATTTGCATGCACCGGTGTTTGAACCGACGCTCCAACGCACCCACGCCTTCCATTGAAATCTTCAGCCAGCCACAGCTTCCCTGCGTGGCCACCCCGCGTTGCACGCAGGCTTTCCGCGCGGTGACTCTGCTGCGTTTTGGGGGTTGTTCGAGCTTCTTCAGCGACCCCCCGACCCCCTTCTGGCGTGTCTTTCCTCTCGCATCCATTCAGCATGGCCGCGCGCGCTCCGTGCCAAACAGGCACCGGAATCTGAGGCGAGCGCGGAAAAACTCCTCTGCTGCTCCTGCGGGAGCCGGCAGCGGCGCGGCACTCGGAGAGCCAGCAACCACGGGAGGCCGAGGGGCCCCCCGACAGGGGCCCCCCGGTGTGTGGGCTGCAGGAGGAGCCGCGCGCAGTGCCGCGTCATGCAGCTGCGCGATGCCGTCGCACTCTGCCCTCCGGGGGGGGGGGTGGGCAAGGGAGCTGCAGCGACCCCTGCTGGACCTCCCTTCCCCTCCGCTGGCGAGCCGCCTTCGCTTCTGTGCAGTTATGCGCCGCACGCAGCGCTCGCCGAGAGCTCCGCGTTGGCTCCTTCGAATCCTGCGATTCGCGGAGGGGTGTGCAGCCTAGCGGCGCCTCTTCAGGCTACACCCGACGGGCTGCAGCACTTTGGCCCCTTCACGCCGCAGCCGCCAGCAACCCCTCCGAAACAGAGCCTTGCCGTGGGACGGTTGTGCGCTGCTACGCGGGGAGCCTCCCCCGCAGCTGCCTATCTCGGAGCATCCAGGGAGCCTTTCCCTTCTGAACAGCCGGAGCTGCACGAGGACGCCTCGTCTCGGAGGGCGTTGGATAGCGTGGCTTCCGTGCTGGCGGCCCCTTTGCCTGACGTCGCGCTCAAGCCGCGAGCGCTTGCTCTCGCTCCTCCCAACGAGCGCGACTGCAACGCATCTGCTGCGCTGCAGCAGCCGCGGCTCTGCGGCGAACAACCCCAGCGAGGGCAGCTCCAGCAGCAGCGGCAGGAGCACCACCATCTGCCGTGGGGAGCCACTGCCTCCCCCCCGGTTCGCTACGATTCGGAACTGAACATGTGGGTAGTGGTGGTGCCCCTCAAGGGGTCGCGCCACGTGCTCTTTGCCTCCAAATTTTGTGTCAGAAAAAGGGGGTTCGCTGAAGCAAGGCGCCTCGCGCTCGCTTCCTACCGGAGGTTTCTGCTGCAACACCAACCCGCTGCAGCTGCCGCCACCGTCACGGGCGCAGCTGCCGGAGACAGAAGCCACGCAGTCGTCAGTCAGCCCTCCATGTTTTTTTCTAGAGCCAAAGAGGTAAATAGACGCGCGGCACAAGTGCGCCTTCGACTCCAAACCTTAAACGGGGGGGAGGCGCCGCAGCACACATACACATGGGGGCACCCCAAAACAGGGGAGTCACACAGGGACGTGGGAGAGACTTATGCAGCTTCAAGCTTCGAGCAGCAGCCCGTCACACGGTTTCTGCTTTTGTATTTAGCGTCTAAAATATAGGAATCGGAAGACTCGGAATGTGTGGGTGCATGCGCGGCTTTCCCAGTGGAAGCGGTTTGCTTGGGGTGTACATACGGATGTTGCTGTGTCTGTGCCCTGTTGTCACCTCGCCATGAAGAAGAAGAAAGGCTGTATCCTGATGACAGGTGACGGTGTATTTCTGCGGTCTGCAGACCGATTTTCTACATGCTCGGTTCCAGCCTACTGGCCTGTTTGGTATTGTTTTGTTTGTACGGGCATCTGTGTTGTTGCAGGCGTGGTGTACTCAGTGGTACGAGGGGCCAAAGCGCGTCTTCAAATCCTTTTCTTGCCGCGTAAGGTTTCGGATTCTGCTTCCTCTGCATGCGCTTAGGCGATGCGAGAAGGCTTGCCTTTTCCGCGCTGAAGACAGTGCCGAAACAGCCCAGTCTGGTGGTTCCAGCATAAGCCGCCTTTTGGGCTCCACACGGGGATGCGGAGCGTTCACACGCTTCCAGCCATCCCTGAGCTACCTCCATTGGTGGTGCTGCTTGCCCTGTGGCTATATATCGGGAGAACACCTACCGCGCAGAGGCATCCGCGTGGATGCCTACCCCATCAGCCACTCATTTTCTTTGATGTGGATGAGATGCCTTTTGAGCTTTTCTTGCTCAGGTCTATGGAAGACTGGCAGAGCCCTTGTGCCGCTGGTTTCTGGCCGTCGTACGACGCCATGGGCGGCGGCCTTCTTCCATGGAAGTCGAGACGCAGTGTGTGCGCTTACGTTCCCTCGCCCTCACGCGGGAGGACGAGGGGATTGGAGGAGAAGACGACGCTTCGGGAGGGGGTCGTTGCATGCACAGCGAACGTTCGGACGCCCCTACGGGGGTGCAGCGGCAGGCGGAGCACCAGCGTCCGCGTGCATTTGCGAGCGGATGGAGAGACAGCTTCGCAGGCGGACCAAGTGCTGGATACGCCCTTTGGCAGGCGCCACAGCACGTCGGTTCATCCACGAGCCTCGCGTTAGGCCCCTCAGAATCCGTGGGTTCTTCTTTTATGAGCGCTACCCCGCCGCCGGCTTCTGCAGAATCCGCTGTGCTGCCCTGCATCTCTGAAAAGCGCTTGGTGGAGAGGCCGCAAGGCGGGGTCACCGAGCAGCCGGGCGGAGCGGTCGGCTCCCTCGCGGCTTCTCAGGTGTCTGTACACCGTCCTCTCGGAGATGCGAACGGGCTAGGGTCCGAAAAGGAGGCAGAAACGGAGGGAAGCAGCCCGCCTGACGCTGCTGGTGCTCCTTCTGCGTCAGCAGTGTCGCGCACTGCGAGTAGTAGCGCGTGCAAAGAGCCCAGCAGCGGTGTCGGAATCCAGCAGCGTGGGGGTGGCGAAGCGGGGGCTGACGCCTTCTACGTGAACCACGTTTCGCCTCCCCCAGCTGCTTCGCTGCATCTGAGGCTTACGCACGAGCAGACTGCAATGGCGGCCACTCTGCCGCACCCGCAGCTATCCGTTCCCTGGAACAGAGCGACTGGGCATTTCGAATGCACAACCGCAAACGTGTCTCCCCCCAGGCTCCCCATGGGATTTGCCAGCCACCAACTGCCTCAGCACACAGCACACCGCGTGCCACCACTGATTGTGGGAAAGGCTCTGCCATAAGGAAAGCAACAACCCTGAGGGGCCTATCTCCTGCCAAACAGTTGGCGGATTACTACTGGACGACCCGCAGTTCCTGCACTCTTTTGCCACACTCTTCACGACTGAATTGCTGGCCCAACTGTGGTGAAGCATTTTCTGCCTCGCGGCTCACGTGGTGCGCGGCCTTCGCACCATGAAACCTTATTTTATTGACAGCAGAATGTTCACCGTCAACGCAGCACAGCGCCTTCCACAGCGGCAGAAAAAGCTTGCGCCCACTCCAGCTACCAACCAGCCGTACTGCGATTCATTGATGATCACCTTTAAACTCTTCATGCATTGGCCGGAATGCGAGGCCGCACGAACATGCCAAACTTTTCCCGCCACTTTATATTCGAGTGTCGGGTGCAACCCCGGCGCCACGGGGTGGCATGTTCATTCGCCAGTAATGGCATCACTTACAGTATTTGAACACACAACAATGAAATCCTCTTCGGACACCTTAATTGATGCATGCAGCCACAGAACTCACTTTTCGCAAGGGGTTTATGTGTTTATGGCAAGACCTGCCGCAAAGCGAACCGGATACCGATTACACGATCCCGACAAACCCATGCTCCTACTGGAGATATTCTTGAGGGAAATGTGAAGCACAAGCTTAGGCTTTGGTTTTAGAGGTAGATCAGTGACCGAAATGCACAGAGCACTTGGTTTGCAGTGAGTATAGGAAAGCACCGCTAGGACACCGTCTGAATCTGTCGGTGTCCTCTGGTATACAAAAAGGGTGCGCGGCAAAACAAAGATTTTGTGATTGAGCACATGGTGTGCATCGTAAACGGTTCCCAAATTAATCAAAAAGTGTTAGGTGCCTGGAATCAAACGCCCCTCGTTGCTATTTCTCAGCAGCGATTGTTCAAATTGGGTTACCGATGAAAAAGAGTCAGGCAACACCGAAGTTGAATGCAGGCCACCGTAAATCTGCCAGTGTCTTTGCAGCCACTAGCGAAAAATGGACCCGACAATACATTATGCATACATATATCAAGCAAATACATCAAGGGAGAGAATAAACCTCGAATGCCTCGAAGGAGTAGTAGGCCGTGCCCTCTCCCTTTGTCCCTGTGTTCTTGGTTACAAGAAGCTCATCCGTTCCATCCTGAAGTTGCGCATAAAGGAGAATCTAGGGGCTGCCTGTTCTACTTTGCGTGTTACATGTGCCTTACGGTTGACACATAGAGGCCATCAATGCCCCTTTTCAGCAGCGATTTCCGGAAGTAGATTCCAGAAAGAAAAATGAACAGCTGAGAGATAAGGAGCAGTAAAATAGTGGAGGAAACGATGAATCCCGTCCACCAAAGAAGAGGGTTGCTCAAGCTGCATCTTGAACTGTTCGTGTGAACGCCTGAAGTCGGTGCATCACCGTGGATGTCCGTAAGTACAGGAAAATTCACGTTCGTTTTTTGAAAGAAACCCCACTTATTCCGATAAAGCAGTGCACCAGCATTGCGGGAAGAAGTATATAATGCTGTAGTACGAAAGAATTAATGAATAGAGTGACGGAATTCATACTTGAACTAGCAATCGCTTACGAATGCAATATGAAGCATCGCGTCCATTGAAGTCGCCGTATTCCCTTCACGGAGGATCTAAAGAGGGAGAGTGAATCCTGCAAGGAAATAGGGGCAATGTGCAAATATACCTGTATCCCCTGGATTGCCGCGAGGGCTCCTAGTCCAAAACAGCACCACAAAACCCAAGTGCTAACCCCTTGACAGTTCACCGAGATCTCCTGCTCCCTATACCATACTCCGCTGCAATTTATTTACAGCTTTTGACAGCTCATTTTTGGAATCTAGGTCCTTGCATGTGCTTACAAAAGAGAAAGCAGAAAAAGTGCTTGTCCACCAAGCAACGCTCCCTTGCACGAAATTCTCGACTCCGTTTCACGGACCATGGTTGCCAAGGGAATAAAAGTGAAACCAGTTCTGTTTTCCCTAATGGTTATTGCACTCGAAGCACTGCTTGTTGCCAGATCTGATTACCACTGGGGTGGTCCTGTCCTATGCACCCCTTAAACCCAAACAGTCATTACACTCCAAAAAAAACCCAACATCCTTCCACTTGAAGGTTTTGCTTGGGCACCTACGAAAAGTCTCTTGCTTCGTCCTAACACCTCATTAGAGCGCATCAATTGGCCAGCATTTTCTGCCTCAGTCCCACTAACAATGAAACTACCGCTGCCTATGGAACGTGTGCTCTCCCTGCACGTGATACAAAACACCAGATTATCCCACCGAAAGGCGGGACGCTTCATCTAGGACAGCAACATGTCCGTGTTGCAAAAATGAAACGATTTCTTAGCGTGTAAGCGAAAAAGTCCAAAAATCGTCAAAGAAATGCCGCAATGCAGCTTCCGCACAACAATCTGTGTGCTCACTATCCCCCAGAACTGCCCGATTCAGGTTTTATGCCTAGGAGAAGGCAGCCCGTCAAAAGCGACGTTCTTTACGGAAAGCCCAAGCAATTTAGCGTGAGCACTAGACCGTCCCTTCCCCCTTCACCAGTAGCAAGTTCGATTCTAGTCCATGATTACTCCTTCTTCTTCGACACCCTGTACTGTCCGATAACAACGGCGTGATCTCTGTGATACGGCTCAAGGGTGAGCTGTTCCTTAGGTTTGCACTTTTCCTTCCTGAGTTTATCCACTTCTGCTGCAAAAACGGCCTCGGGTTTCGCCGTAGAGTCCACGCAATTTGCCTTAATGGAGATGATGAACCAACCACTGGGCTTTAGAAAGTAGTGAGCGTTCAACGCCACGATACGCGACTGATCCGGCTGGGCCACGTCGGCAAAGATAACATCCACCATGTCAACCAACATGCGGTACTTCAGGGGTTGCCGCGCGTCCTCTACAATAGGCACAATGTTAGGCCTCTTTTTGGCCATGTTTGTCAAATCACGGCCTGAGCGATGGGAGAATTCCACAGCGTATACAACGCCCTCGGGCCCAACAATGTCTGAAACATGAGACACCGTGGTGCCGTTTGCAGCGCCCAGATACAACACCTTGCAGCCAGGCTTGATGGGCATGTTGGCTACACCGCCAACCAAAGTGGCGCCTAGCTTTGAACGGAAGGGATTCCATATTCTGTACTCGATCTTTTCCCCCGATTCTTGCACAACCTCCATCCGCTTCTCCCCATAAACCGACTCCCCAGGGACCATGTTGCGGGTTACAAGGGAATCCGCCTTCCCCTTGGACATAAACACGCCTTCAAAACGGTGCGGCACAACAACAACTCTCGCGGGCCCACTACCCCCGCGGCCACCCCCCCGGCCGCCACCCCCACGACCACCACCCCCACGACCTCGTGCACCTTTGAAACCTCCGCCGCCTGTTGTGCAAACACACCGCACAGCCCCAGGGCCCTTCGGGCGGAAAGGCATGTAACAACTAGGCCACCAAACGAAACTGCAGAGGCATAGATTAGGCCAGTTACTAACGGGGAGCAAACCATAAATGTGCAGCATCCCACTGATGATCGAGAACGCCCTCTGACCTACAGTCCCAACCCGCTTCACCCAGTAGAGGCTCGGTCATGCGCACTCCTCCCTTTCATAGCCTTTCAAGCTCCTCACCCCAAAGCGTAGCTGATGATGACTCACCTCCTCCCCTTCCGCCTCGCCCTCCACGGCCACCGCCGAAACCGCCGCGGCTGGCACCACCACCCCCACGACCCGCGCCTCTAAATCCACCACCTCCTGAGAATTCGCACATGTGTACATGGAAGACGGAAATAAGTAGAAGGCAGCTAAAGCAATGATCGGAGCAGCACGTAGGCATTCGACGCCAGAGCTCCGCCGGCCGGAAAAATTTCACATCGGCTCATGCAGCCGCGGCTACGGATGTGCCACCAAGCAAATGCATCGCCAAGCCCATAAAAATGGAGGTTTGGGGGCATTAGATCTCCTAGAGCCGACTTCTGAAACATGAATCGACCTCCGTGAGCCTCGCAAGCAACGGGGGCGCGAAGGCCCCAGGAGAGGAGGGAGCAACGAGAGATTTACTGCCAACACCCACCCCTCATTGTGCCGGACAGAACAAAGAGAGGCGAAAATCGATGCCGCTGGCTGCACTAATCCCACCGCAAGCAAAAACAGGCGAGGCAGCCGCGCAGTCAGCACGCAAGGACCGAGGGAGAAGAGGGCAGCGCCTCCCGAATCGTGGGCTGCAGCTTTGTGCGATTTTGGCTTGGGAGCAAACTATTTTCAGAGTACTACACTCAATGACAACGGGTTGCTTGCCCTCCGCGGCGCATAGTGTGGCGCCACTGGTTTGCTTCCCGAGCGAAGACGAAGGCTGCGGTGTGGGGTGCAGGGCCCGGCCCCAAGGGTAGTGCGCAAGTCGCTGCTCTCCTCAAAGTGACAATTTATTTTTTGGCAGCAGATTTGGGGATGTTTGGTTGCTTGCAATAAGCTAGGACTCTGCTGCCTTGTGCCATCTCACGTGTATGCGCAAGGGCCGAAGTACGCGCATAGCTTGGACCCTCACCTCCTCCCGAGCGCTTACGGCCGCGAGCGCCCGCCTCACCTTCTTGTTTACCCTTTATGAGCCTCCAGAAACTACCAAACACAAGCATGCATTGCTGAGCACGCGCTACTCCCGCAGTCTCGAGTCGCAGGCGCACCTACCAATGCACAAACCCCCGTTGAGGGCACTTCTGTAGATGAACTCCCTAGTGTATTGGTTCCTAGCACCGGAGGGCACACACCACCCCAAAACTTTGTTTCAGCTTCGTTTTAATGGGTGGAGAGAGCTGGGCTCTAGAAACCTCCATATGCTTGGAACGTCTAATGAAGCGGGCTCGGGTTCTTTTCAGGACACTTTCTAGTACCGTAGTTATATTGATCAAAGAACTACGAAATATTGACTATGTGGACTGGAGTGTTGTGCATCTTATTCGCTGCAGAGCGTCGTGAGCTCTGTGCATTTGCCCTAGATGCTGTGCCACTAGCTATGAGTGCTCAAGGCGCTTGGAGGGTGATGCTGTACCCATGCGCCCTGGCTGTGCTTCTTCCCACATGTCGGGAACTCTGAGGGGCGCGAGAATGGGGAGAATGGAGCTTTTGGGGGGGCACCTAAGAACATTCTGTTCAATGTGTATGGAGACTAGAGCTAAAAGTCTCCGTACGGAGGCCTCCGATAAGGAGATACGTCGACAGTTTCAGCACCCTAAAAGCATGCCATGCAAAGTCGACCTGAGTGCCAGAATCTAGGGATTATTGCTCTCAGAGCTTCCCGACTTAAAAATTCGCTGCAAAGTGTCGGCAGCCTACAAACAAATTGCACGTCTGCGCAGGGGCTGGAGGGCGGAAGCTTCCATGGAAGTACGCGTCAGAACCGGTTCTTCCCAAGCTGTTGCAGCTTAAATGATCCCCTGTCGGCCTTTTCAGACGCTTGAAGCAAGCTCCACTAAAGCAGGGGCCAGTGCTCTTACTGCAGCTCGATGTCTCTTGGCAACCGAGTGAGGTCCACTGCCCTTCGGCCTGTCGCATTCTGCAAAAGATCGTTCCTGTATCCGTCTCCCCAGAGGATGTTTTCCTAATGCTGCATGGCCATAGGGGCTTAATTCGATAGGAAGCCGGATGCATGGGACGCAGCCAGCTACCGTCGTCGAGCGGTTGATATCTTTGCATACACGTTCAAAGCTCGACACACGCGAGTGTATCCTCCTGACGAAGAGACAAGTATTCTTTGTTACTTTGGCACCTTAATAACGCACAAAGAAGTTAGCCGTAGTAAGTTTTGATGCCAAACGACCCCGGAGCAGCCAAAGTTATACTTGGACGCTTTTTATTACAGTAGTTACGTTTGATGCGAATCGGTGTAGGATTGATCAACGCGCTGGCCATTCGGTATAGCTCACCTATTGCATAGTAGCGTCAACTCAATACTGCAAGACGCAATCTTGTGTGCGTGTATGCTACATACTGTGTGGCACGACAAGTGAATGTCCTCCACGCCTACCCTTCAGTTTCTCTCCTGGTATCAAGAGCACTGTAAGATGAGGGAGAAAAGAGGAGACAGATTTTTGAGAAACACTCAAGCCTTTCTATTAGATTTGCATTGAGTTTGGAGTTAAGGGTGTTCCGGTAGTTCCATGCTGTATCCGTGATCAGCATCTGGCCCTCTGCTCTACGAATCTGGGGTGCACCGATGCACTGGAGCACACAGCTGCATTACATCTGCCTTTTCGCCTTCCGGGTGGTCCTGTGGGCTTGCTGCTAATTGCATCCCAGTAGGCATACTGTCCCTGCAGCACACGGCTATGTGGTTTTGGAGAAATGCTGAAATTCCAGTTCTTCTGGTGATTGGAAAGGGAGATTCTTCTGTGATTTTAGTCGGCTATTAATGTTAGAGGTCCTCTCGCGGAAGCGACTCGGTGGGAACATTCGCTTTTGAATGGTACAGCAGGGAGCCGTTAAAAGAATAGGCTCCGCACGGACGCAGGTTAAGTGCTGCTAGCATTACAAGATATGCAAATTACTCTTAGAACTCCTAGAGGAAAAGTTTTAATAAGGGTCCATAATTCTGAGCTCTAATAATAATTTCGGAAACGTTGGCTCCCGCCATCTGTGTGCACTACGCCTCGGGAGCATTCATTCTCTCTTACGCCTGTTTATCTCGATCGACGTGCAGTATGGCAAAGGAAAAGAGTGCTTCAAAGGCTATCGAGTTGACTGAACTGCGGGAAAGTATGAAGAGAACAGAGCCCCAAGTGTGGGGGCCTTGCGCATGCATAGAACGAGCGGCTGCTGCTGCTGCTCCCTTTGGTAGGCGTATGGGGGGTAGCCTGGGATAGTGACAGGGAGTTTGACTTGGCTGCAGTGGCTTTGTTAGCCTTTTCTCTTAATTTTTTCTCATTTTGGGGACGCCACTCAGGAGTTTGCAGCCAAAATGGTGAGCAGAAAGATCGAATCCCTCGAGGCATGGGGTGAACGAATGGGCTCACGCCAACTTCTCGCACCTCGGCTTAGTGTTTTGGTTTTGTGGGGTTGTTCTTGATCTCTACTTTCTCTCTGTAATGGCAACCCCCTTTATATTTATGTAATCTCTGCCGGAAATGCATGTGGATCGGCCGGCGAAAGGTTGGGCCGGATGCGGCGTCTGCTCGGGAGCTGCGGGGAGCAGGGGCTCTTGCTGTCCTTCCCATATCTAATTCAGCAGAAATGAAGGCACTAGCCACTCTAGTGCATGAATTATACACATTGGTCGTTGGAGCTGGGGCGGCGTGGTTTGGACGTTTGCTGCTGGCAGAGCGGCGTGCATGCATAGTGCTCGTTGGTCAAAGGCGGACATGTGCCCAGCAGGCGGGTTGACGCCTCGATGCCTCCTTATTTGCCGCTTCATTTATTGAACCCACGCGCTGTTTGGATTTGTGCTCATTGGAGTTGACTGGCCAGCTTACCTATGGCGGCGCTGAGCTGTTCTCCCTTTTTTCGCTAAGAGTTTATTCCTGTGTGTGACCTGCGTGCATTGGGCTTTGTGGTGCTTACGCGCTTCAGGGGATCGATCTAAAAAACAGGGGCCGCACCAAAAAGCACGGTCGCCGAGCTTTGGTTTCGGAGAATCCCTATCTCCGGCTGGCCGTGAAGGTGAGCAACTTTCACGTCGCCTTTACTCCTGATCAGCGTGCAAGGAGGCCAGGCAACTGTACGATCCGTGCGTCGTTCAAGTCGGCGTTGTCTCGCAAATGTCTTCGGAACTCTGTGTCTCCTCCTTTGCCCACAATTCATCGCCGTCGCACCCCACAGCTTTTTCTCTGCCGTTTGTGGGTGTGCCTCGACTCAGCTGTATCAGTTCTTGGCCCGAAGGACGAACAGCAGCTTCAACAAAGTCATCCTCAAGCGGCTTATGGCCCCCCGTCGCCTCCGAGCTCCACTTTCTCTTTCTAAACTCTCTATGCGCATGAGAAAGGAAGAAAAAAAGACCGCCGTGGTGGTCGGCAGCATTGTTGGTATGTGTATGTATCTAAATACCAACACGCAGACCATCCAGGCTCTGCATCCACTCTTGTATTCACTCCTTTTCTGGCTGCATGCGTGGTTCCTTTTTCGGCGCTGTGACATGGTGCTTTCCACTTGCTTCAACATCCGAAGATTGTTGTGTATTCGCGCTTTCCACTCCTCCTGCAGTCGGCTTTCCCTTATCTAGGGGCAGGGGCCTCTAGTTCTGATATGGGCTCTGCGTGCGTGTTTACCTGCAGACGATCCCCGCACGCTGGAGATTCCCAAGATGTCTGTCTGCGCGTTGCATTTCTCCGAAGTCGCCAGAAAGAGGATTCTTTCTGCTGGGGGCGAATGCCTAACCTTTGACCAGTTGGCTCTTAAGGCCCCCAAGGGATCCAACTGCGTTCTCCTTAGAGGTTCTATCCTCAGAGATGCTGACAAGCACTTCGGTCCGGCACCTGGTAAGCTGTGCCTCTGGTGTTTCGAGTACACCTGGAGGAAATGCGCATTTCCACTGTATCCCCGGCGCAAAAGCGCTCGTCCTCGCTGGGATCATTTGCCATGTGTCTGCTGTGTACCAATGGTTCTTCGAAGTATTCAAATTATTGCCAGATGTTTTCTTTCCCGACGAACCTGGGCGTGTGTACAGGGCGTCCACACCTTGTGGGATTGCATTGCGGTGTGCATGAGTCTCGATCTCCTTGTGTCATCGCCGGCTGGCTTATTGTCGTTCAGCGTTACTTGCTTGCTTGTGTGTGCTTAGGTACTCCCAACTCGCACACGAAGCCTCGTGTCCGGTCGAAGGGCAGAAAATTCGAGAAGGCGCGCGGACGCAGAAAATCCCGTGGCTACAAGAACTGAGAGTGGCTTCTCTTTCCTTGTTCCCATCCCTTTCGGATTTCTATTTCCTCGCTGTAGACAATTCCCAAATCTTTACTTTGCATTTATGCAGAGTGAGAATTGCTGCATGCAGCTACGCAAGGCGGATGTAGAAGCGGTTGAGGGTTAACTGGCATTTCTTGATGTGCCTATTTTCTCTCCGCTGTTTTGCGGCGCCTACAAGCGATTGCGAACTCGGGGAAATTTCTAGAATCCCTCCACGGCTGAAGGGGAAAGCACGATAGGGATGACGCAAATAGAAGACTAGACAAGGCGCACGTAGCATCAGAACATCTGTATAAATCAGTTGTCACAGTTGGTTCCAGGTGTCTAAACATAATCTAGAGAAAACAATCATGAGGTTTTTTCTTGCGGAACAGGCTACCGCAAAAGCATCCCTTTGTAGCCATTCCCTGCGCCTGCGTTTCTGTACGGAGGGCACTAAGGTCTACGCGGCTGTGGCTGTCGCCCAACGCCACTAATTCCGCTAAGCATTTAGCCAGCCGCTCTAAGCTACAGAAGGATTCTCGAAGATAAATATATTCAGCTGCGAGGAGGACGCGCTGTGCCCCGAATATGCGACTCCCTGCATATGAAAGGAGAAAACATCGTTTGTTCTGTCCTTACTCTTCCAATTTGCCAACTTTATAACCGGCGGGGGGATAAAAAGCAGCGGAAGTGTCGCCTGACGTGGGTTCATGAGCTGACGGGTGGATGCCGCGGGTGATCAGGAAGTGATAGCCCCGCTAGTGCACGGCTTTATTTGTAAGAAATTCCCCCCATGAAGCTCCTTGGGTCTGGTGCAGCGCCTGCATAGAAAAAGGCACTTCAAGAAAACTGGTTCTATAACTTGATTTCGTCCCAACACGCACACAATCGCACGGAGCATGCGAATCGCCTGGCCTTTTCCGCTTCTTCGTGGGAGTAAGAAAGGGGGAAAACGAGACGCCTAAGATCAAGTAAAACTTAGACGGGCTTAGGCTGCAATTAATAATACGAAAGCATTTCTATGCGCGTCAGTGGGAATTAGAAAGTAATCTATTGGCTGTTTGATGAAAGAACAAAATGCAGAAAGGACTGGGGATACAGAAGTACAGGATGCCGAGGAGACGAAATGTGTTTAATACACAACCCATGACAAGGCTAGTTCATGAAAAGCGCAAAGCTGCTTCAAGTTGCAGTGTGTTTACCAGAGAAGGTCGCGTTTGAGAAATCAAAGCCTGGATGCTACAGACAGCGAGAAACAGCACAGCGCAGCTACTTCGTCTTTGTAATATTTGATGACGTTATTTTTTTCCGAGAAAATAGGAGAGCAATGCTTCTTTGCAAGGCACAAATATACACTGAGGCATTAAACACGGTATACTGCGACATGCCATTGATATGAAGCTTCATTTAGCAAGAATTCAGATTCGGGCACATATTTTACACTTTAAAGCTTCCATGAACTAACATCCAGAGCATTCCAGGTATTAGGAAAGCAGCTGTACAAAACTTATCAAAATAGAATGGTGAACAGGGAATGATGAGCATCTTCTGCCTACTTCTTCACCAAACCTTTCAAGCATTAATTTCTTCTGAACCTCCTCCTGAAACCACATACAATAACCACAGACCCTCGAGAGTTAGTCAGAAAGCACACATCTACGCCAAGACAGCCTTAGGCAAATCTGTGCAAAGAAGGGGCAGAGATCAGCAAGAAGTCAGGATAGATAGGACAACTATGCAAGGACCGTAGAGAGTAGCTAGAAGTCCTTACAGTCGCCAGGGGGTTAAGAACGCCATGACCCCTCATCGCGGATTTCCAGATTTCACCTTTGCGCATTTTCCCTAGCTGTATATGCAGCTCCCCATCTTCTGGAGAAAAATAAAGCACAGGGAACCATGCAAGCAAAAGGGCTTGGCAACAGCAAGGGAACAGCGCTCAAAGTTGGAAAACTCCGCACTCAATGTTAAACCAAAAGACAACGCGACAAGGAAATAGGGCCTTTGCTTATATGTTGTAGACTAACCCAACATCCAAAAGGAAGCAGAAGTATCAACGGTGGAGAATAGGTCTTCCTATACACAAAGAAGTGGAAACAAACTGCGTAAGACTTTACTTTTCGCATGAAAGTAAAGACACAATTTTGAGAGCCGAAAATCTCTTAATCGCCAAACAAACATGGGAAAGTGATTTTCCCACGAATTCAGGGGAACCAGGCGAGAAAATACACGGCAGGCAATCAGAATCTCTCAAGTCATTGCAGCATGCAGGAAGAGAAACATGCCAACCACGGTCAGTGTAGCTAAAGCAGGGCAGAAACAGCTGCAAGGGACAGGAAATAGTCCGATTAAGTAGAACAACGCAAGACCGAAGAATGGTGCCAAAAAGGTCCTTTGCCTTACGTCAAAAAGCGCAGGTTTCCCCAAAAGCCCGACCGAAAGTCTAGTTGGAGTAATTTTTACACTGATGCTCTTTGCTTTTGTTTGTGGTGGAGGAAGAAGGAAGAGATGAACGTCTGTTAAGTCTTGCTCCCACTCGTACAACAATCGGCCTGAATGAGTAGACTCGGACAGACAAGGAGGACCACTAAAAGAAGAGGAAGCAAAAGAGTGTACGATGCACACAGAGAAACAAAGACCGGGAGAGCGAACGTGACGCAAACACCCAGGAAAGCAGAAGACCGGCAGAAATACAAAGGTTGTAACCAATACGCCAACGGAGCGCCCGATAGGCGAAAGCATCGTAAAGAGAATTTGGTTGCACGCGTGCGGCGAGTCGAGAAAAAGGAATTACGGCAGCGGAACTATGAGAGGGAAAAGGAGGTGCGGCAGACGTACGGAAGAACCAATGAACACTTGCAAGAATGGAAATGTACTCCGGGAAAGCAAGATCACAAAAAGAATAAACCAATGGTTAGTGGCAGTGCTGATGGTTTCGGTCATAATCGTATCTTGCCTTGAACACAAACGGGTATCCTTCCCCTTCCTGCTTCTTGTATCTTCTTGCGTATATCTCCCGCCACTTCCTCGTAGCATCGAAATTCCTCTCCCAGTCCATCTGACATCTTTCTGTCTACTTTCCAAGTAAAACCCCTTGAGCCAGTCCCGGCAGGCAACGTGGTGATAGCGTGGGTTACAATAGGCAACGTGCCGTCTGCTCGTTTCCTTGCCCGTTCGTCTCGTTGCCCTTCGCGTCTCTTAAGGATACGCAGGATGGGGTAAAGCTGTAGGAAACGATGCCTGAGAGAAACACCACGCACTACATACAGTCAACCAGACAATGGAAAGTTTGCATGCGTAAAGCCGGTAGGCCAAAACACCAGAAATCCCAGCCCATTGGGTCATATGGAGCTCCCATCCACGATCTCGTAAGGCGGTGAAGCTGCAAGGCGTCACGGCAGGAATCCACCTTGTGCGAAGAGGGCACTGCACCAATCCTTTTAGACACTTTTCGGTACAAAATAAGAAATCCGGAAATCGTAAAGCTGTTTACGGAATTCATGAAGCAAGAATTGCAAACATGTGAGGGGGGTAAGAGCCCTACATATATATTGATGTTAATTAGAGGAAAGTGCACTCATGCGGGCACGAAGACATACAGGTATGGATTCATGCTTCATTTGGGATGGATGAGACGTATCCCGTGAAAAGAAGGACACCAATGCCAAAGCAGTTTAATGAGACAAATTCACTAATGAAGTTGTTTATCCTTAAGCATAAAGAGCTGAACACCTCATGAATTATCGAGGATTCGGAAGGAAAAACTCATTAATACACCACCTCATAAACGAAAGCGCTTATTGTTACATGAATCAATGAAATAAACATGCAGTAGCAGAGACCTTTTCGCGATTTACAAAACAGTATGGAAGAAAGTTTTATCCACAAATGAAATGATAAAATTGACACTAACCACAAAAATATCGCTGTGGTCGAATTGAGGGCAATATATACGACCTAGGACTGATACTATATTCCAGCCTGGTGGTCAGCAGAGTGTGCTCTTACGAATCTTAGCCTCCAAGTACTCCCGTGAGAAAGAAGCCAGTGAATCGAAGATAACAAAGCGTCAATGCAGCTGAGAAACACGCAGGGAAGATGACCACCGGAGGCGGATAGCATCCGCGTGTCCACTTCCATGGACATATTACATACAAAACTGATGAAAGACAAGGTATAAGAAATGTATAGTACAACAGGAAAGGCGACATTTTGCTGGATGACATTGAGGGCCCCCACTGGAGAGGCTTACCACGGGGGTCGCCACGCCTTCTTATATTCAGCCTCTTTAGAGGGCTTTTAATAAAACAAAACATGTTAAACCGAGTGAATAGACTTTCTTGCCGTGCTTTGCAGCAGTTTCAGTGAGTTGTGGTGAAGGCATGCAGCTGTGCACGGCAATAAGGACACCCACCCTTCAGGCTGAAAGAGCAAAAAGTAATGATACAATTACACCGGACGGAGGCACACGAAAAGAAAACAAAAAGTTTCATCAAGTCGAAATTTGGTAAAGCTTATATAAATTGTGCGTTTACTAGTACGTGAAACGTAGGCAACAGATATGAGGTCCCACGACACACTCAGTAAACCGGAGTAGGAACGGGAATGCATGTACAGAGGTCACAAAGATAATACATTGTGCGCCATTCAACCCCGAAAGCTTTTGCTTTGTCAATCCATGTCTGTACCCCTACCTTCTTGTTCTAATGAATGCGTGTTCTTCTGCACGCAGAGAATGCTGCGCAACACCCGACCGAATTTATGTACTCGAGAGAGCTGAAGACGCGTCCCTAATACTGATGGCCTGCAATAGTTGTACATACATTGGCCTTTTCCTCTGCTGGGCTACGTGCGAGCACCTTAGAGGATTTTGTTAAGGTGCATTTAGTTCACCGTGGCTCTCTCTCTTCCCCCGTAGCTTTGGAGGCCCTGTGAAATTCATAGTCGAAAAAGGGAATAGAAAGGAAGGGGTGTACAGCTCTTTCTCTAGCTTGTATTTTAAAGGCGTAGGTCTCTATGGAAAACCGAAGGACACTAGCTGCACACTCTGGACTATTAACTAGGAAGATGGCACTCTCGCAGACGCAACACTAAATACGTAGAGTAATTCGTTATCAGTTAAATTTTCCCGTAATCCCTTGCAGCTCTTATGCTGTGTTCGGGACTTATTGTAATTTGCGGTATTTCGGGACAATTTTAATTCTCATACAACCCATGATCTCGTGACTACCATTCATTTATTATCCTCTACCTTGTCATAGTACGATTAACCAGCGGCTCACGCCTGCCAGTGCACTACTAAGCATCGTATCACAATTCAATGCTTATACAGCTTCTCAGGTAGGGCCTTGGCTTGCGCATTTCAGTTACATCTAAACATCTTACTCGCTTGCAGCTGAACTGGATGCAGCAACAGCTCAAGTTACAACATGCTAATGGGCAAATCCTAGTTGTGTAATTGGTATCTGATTATGGATGGAGGTTTAATTTGGGGTTCATGTTGAGGAAGATTGCAAATGCCTGTACTATTCATTTGTTAGTATAAATTTTCTTAAAATGCCCTTCAACTCAACACTGGCAAATACATAGCCTTCCACACTCATCTACAGTAAAAGAGCAACGCTTCACTTGAGCAGGCATCAAGTCGTGCAGTCGCAGTGTAAGCAGACGGCACACGTACAATTACTAGTGCTTAGGCTGTCATTGTCTAACCATTCGGTGCAGGCAGAATCGCTCATCGAATAGAGCCGCATGCAGACGCATGTGCACTGCAGTACTCTTCTAAAGAACTTGTATTTGCTTGGAGGTCTTATCTAATTGCGTTGTACAACGAGGTCTAATGCTTTCCTTCTAAAGAGCCTTTAAGTGGCCCTTATGAGCCCCAATAAGGCCCTTCCCCAAAGTCCTTCAGAGCGGGGTATCTGTCATAGGACATATTATCAGGGGATCCAGAGAATGATGTTTATGATAAACATGAAAAACCAACAACGAAGGAGAGGCTGTGAACTAAATAATAGCTTTTTAGCTTATTCATTGCCCAGGTCAACTCCATCAACGCTCCCATACAACAAAAAGATGGTGTTATCTGCTTTTAAAGCTTCGAGTTGCTTAACAGTGTAGAGGCACTTTTCGCTTCTTTGAAGAAACACAAGGGCTCTTGTGCGTTACGAGCTGTCAGAAGACAAATGAAGCTGCAATAATATCATTAGCTATGCATGAATGCTTGCGCCTTTCTGTGGACATATAAAAAAACAATATACTAGTGTGAATAACTGGAAACGCATGAATAAAATGGGTACACGCCTGAGCCAGCTTGTCTACCTTAAAGGCGCACTGGCAACTTGCGTGCATCGATTCTTCCGTCTTTCTCCCATTATATCGTTTTACATTGAAAGAATGGGTAAACCTTTGTCAACCAGCTTGCTTTTCCAGTGCACGCACTACCAGCTTACTTTAGTTAGGGTTTAGGATGTGGGCTAGAACGTAAGAAGGCAACGAACGAACGCACACCATACAGCGTTGATTCACATTCTGAAGTATCCCTTATTGTTCCTTCGAAAGAAATAGGACGCCAAGCTGAAGCACTGGGAGAGGAGCCCCGTTCGTCTGACACACCCCTTTTTGCAAGCAACTCGTCTTGTAGAGCTGTTCTCAATCACTTCAGGTACTCAAGAGCCATGAACATTGCTCCTCTATCTTGAAGGCGCACATCCAAGGCACCACACTAAATTTGCAAGAATCGTCTCAACGGGAGAGAAAGACTACACTGCTGGATTTTGCCTACGCCTTGCTGTTAGGGGCAGGGAAACAACGGCTGGCAACACTTCGGATCATGGACAGAGCTCTGGGCAACCATTGTGCCGTATTCTGATAGGCACGTAATTTATTCGGCGGTATGTCATGCTACGGAGCTTGGTGGGAACGTTAGTAACAAACTGGAAAGAGAGTGCTATTTCGAAGTAAGCTGCATGAGCCGTCCAGCCTTCGTTGTCTCAGTTATTGCACAATTTTCGGGAAGTTGTAAACAGGCAGTCGAGGGCTGTAGGTAAGCTCTCCAAACAAGCACCAATCGAAATGTGAAGGAGTTGCGTATGTACGGCTCCTTACAGAGAGCAGATATATAGGATCTAAAAATAGATATGAAGGTATGGCTTTTGTAACAGGCCGTACCTATCTGGTCTAGTTCCATTACAGGGAATAATTTTTGAAGACTATACGTGTTTGTCTGCAAATTGTAAGCTGCGAAAAGCGGAAAGTTCGGCCTCTAAGGGCAGTAGTTACGAGGTGCGTAATGCCATAGGGGAAGAGGGATCTACCTCGTCGCGACAGCACGGGAAGGTGCTAGTACGCGCTTACCTATGTACCTCCTCCGCAGTCTGAAAGTCTGAATGTTGTATTTATCATAACCTGTATTCGGCCCTCTGCACTAATACAGACTTAAGGTGTGCCGTTATTCTGGTTGCTGCGGCCATTGTGCCATTGATATCATCCGGGCTGTTTTCTAGGGTTGATACTTTTCTACCCCCTCCAAGGGCTGCACTCGGCCTTTCGTGCAGAACCATGAAGTCATGCGCTGAAGGAGGAGCAAATTTCCTGTGATGCAAAAGGACTTTTTTTGACGTTTCCAATTGTTATTCACGTTACACGCGCCCTAATAAATGCGATTCAATGGGAACTGTTACAGACACCTTTCCGGGTTCTTCAGGGCGAAATGCTCAAATGAATTGGCCAAGAGTGAACATTGCAAAAGAGGAAGGCAGGCCGATGCCCACAAAGTGCTCTTCGTGTGACACAGCTCATGGGCGTTGACCAGATAAAGTTCCTACACAAGCACGACATTCCTAGTTGCCCAACCATGAGAGCTTCTCTGCTCTCTGCTCCTCAGGTGGTTAGAATAAATTTAGAGCAGAGTTATTCAGAAAACTCCTTTTAAAATCGCAGCAGCACAGAAAAGGGGAAGCCGGGGATTCATAAGCTCTGTGCGCGAGCTGCAATGGCAAGGTGGCTGTTGGGTTGCGCGTCACTGCTGAAACAGGAACGAGGATGCCCAGCTTACACAGCTATGACTTCATGACTAGACAACCACGAATTCACGTACAATTCATGGATTTCACCCATCAGTGAGTCCAACAAATATTATTGGCAGCGCCTAGAGCATCAAGCGAATCCCGTTTTTGTACCTTTTTCTAGAAGAAGTCTTACAGTCACAAAGCAGTTAATCATATAAGAGTTGCTTCCCATACGCTTTTAGAAAGTGCCAACACCTACATCCACTACCACGCAGCTCTGGGTAGAGGCGAAAAGAGCAAATACGCAGTCGGCTGTGCTCACGAAAGTCCAAGTAGTCATACAGCGCTACTCGGAAATTCAGCAAATACCATAGCTACGCACTACGAAGATATAATCATGTACAAAGCAAAGTCCAGAGCATACACATACTCGCCATAGACTCTAACACAGCGAAATTGATCCAAATGCAAATAACCTAAATCCACAAGCAATTCAGTGAGAGATACCAACAATAGTACCCATTGACTTCAGGCAATCCATTCCTCTTCGGTATCAAGAGGGCTGTCCAGATGCAAGAGGACGCGGATTAACACATCTTCAGTGAGGAAAACGGCTGGTAGGGCACGCACTTGTTAAACTATCGGTCTCACACGCCAATTTGCCCGATCGCTTGTCAGCAAGTGGATCATCTCCAATCACGCTTCATTCATGAAAACCAAGTAAAATCGAGACACAAACTGCCCTTGCGCTTCCCCAAAAGCGCTGTTTTAAGTATTTTTTTGTGAATCCACATGCCATGAGCTGAAAGGGACGTGTGGCTGTGGGGTTTCAAATGGTAGCAACCCCAGATCAGTCCCGACCCTGGCGCACGCATAATTTACTCACCAGTCAGTAGCATATTTCAGGTTCATTCAGCACACCCATATGTCGTCCACAATGAGTGCAACGCGCTGGCATACTGACCGAGCATTGTAATACAGGTGATAATATTTAAACGCGAATTGGTCTATGTCAAACTACTTAGTGTGGCTCTAGCAGCAGCGTAGCAGTGAGGTATCCTGTTTTACTTTACCTGTTAATCTGTAGCATGACGCATTATGAGTGAGCTACACACCTGGCAGTCGGTGTTTCATACGGAGACAAGCGCTACGACGGTAATTGGCTGTCAAAAGGCAATTGCTTCAGGGATATAAAGGGAAGCACGTTAGCCAGAAAAAAGCAATCCACTCATCTACATGTGGGAAGGACAAGACTCCTTTTGTGCTTGTAGTGAAAGTGTGCCAGAAGCACAGTTGAGATGAAATCCATGAATATCCCGTCCTGCCCACAATCCAAAAGTAATCATAGGTCGAAAGCTTTGTAGGCTTATTCACCTATGTTCAGCCCAAGCCTGAGGGTGTGAGTCAGCGGCATATCATATGCCATGCCAAGGCGACGGCTATGTAGTCATATTTCTCCAATTTGCGTCTAGCCTCATCAGGCACCCGATGGTTTGACTCTCTTCCCCTTCCTGAAAGCAATTTCCAGCTTTTAGAGTCGCATTTGATGAGTATGGTATCAGTATTGGGCATTTTTACGTTTCGTGAATCAGCAATTGTTTTCTTTTCGTGGTTTGATTGGATGACCCCAGCCAGGTTCGCATGCACTGTAAACCGAGTTTTGTTAGAAAAACTCAACCCCGACTGGGCACCTCACTGCTCTCTTTTAGTGAAGATGCTTAAAATCCTGTTGCCCTCGACACTTGAGTGGAAGCAGGTACAGCTTAAATTATTAAGTATTTGGGCCGGTGTGCCTAAATGTACAGAGCTCCAGTTGATCGCCCACTGCACCGCGTTCGCTGCTGCAGTGTACAATCGGGGTGGAGCGTTGTCGTTGCCGCATGTGAACCGAGTTTGGTGCTCCTCAAACTTTGATTTAAAAAACACAAAAATGAGGCTAACGGGTACTTCTATGCCCGGAATAATCGTTTTTTCAGGACATCATGGTCGCTTTTTGATGGGAAAGAGGATTTTCCAGCGCAGTGCCAGCCCAGATCTACAGCATTGCAATTTCACTGCCACCGTCCCTCCTGACTGCGGCAACGTTCGTTTCCTGCTGCCGATTGCATAGTTTCTTTTGAATGATTTCATTCCTATTCTATGATTTCTTTTCATTTCGTTAATATTTGCTCACTCAAAGTCAAAATACAGGCGAGAGGAGAACTTTTCTCCCTGCCCCCCACACTGTTTTCGGCGGAGTGCTACTGAGTGCTTCCATCTTTCCCTTCATAGCACAAATTGAAAACAGTTATCTCTTCATTGAAAAAGATGCTCGGAATTCTGTCCAGGGTTGTAAGTTTATCAAGAGGGCCGTCATGCGGTAACGTTTAGGGTTAGGGCTTAAGAGTCAGTCGGGGTTGGCGTACAGTATTCCGTCTTTAGGGCTTTATGTGGGTAGCTCGGTGCCCCTCTGGTATTGATAGCATTGGTAGCGATACACATCACCTACAATTTTGAGCTGGGGTCGGTGTTTTCGGTACCCAGCCCAGAAGAAACGTGTTTGTCTGTGGGGCGCAATAGAAGGAAAGGGGTGCAGTGAATTTTAGCCGCCCTGAAATTTAGCCACGCAGTGACTTATATTACCCACCAACTGTCTATGTGTTTGTCCTGTTATCGTCTCAGTGCCGAAGCCGCAAGCTGTCTCCGCTGGAGGTGGAGCTTCAGCGTCAAAGGAATGCTCTAAGAGCGGTTGCGCATTTCGTCGCCGGCATGCAGAAATGCCTCAAATGTACGTGCACTCAACATGCGTTCACCCCAATGATAACTGCATAATGGTGGAATTCGGCAGGTTGAAGCGCCATGTCAGTCCACTGGAGTACAAAATTAGGTGTACGGTCCTGTGGAAACATTGAGTCGTTCTCTCATTTTTCAGTGTGCATTTTCGGGTAATGTTCACCCATATTCTTCGTCTCTGCTTAGACTGGGACAAAAGTGGAAAGGTGCTACGAGTTGGCATCAGTGGGTATTTCTACGATAAACCCACGTATCAGCGGCCTGTGGAAGCAGTCGTCAATGCACTTGTAAGGCCATGTGTACTTTTTTCGCCGCTCGGGTGACCATAGAGCTTCCTAGCCATAAACGTTGCGTAAAGATTCAAGCTTGCTTCAGTTTTACCTGCAGCACGTGCAAAAGATACCTGAGAGGGACAGTACTATGGAGAGAACGATTCGAATGTCTTAACGGGGCTGTATACCTAAACGTGCACTGAAGCGAACTGAAAAGGGTTCAAGCCGTCGAATTCTTATTTGGCCGGCTGCGTAGGGAAGGTTTCCTTTCTGTTTCCCAGCCCGTTTTCGGCACAGTGCACTTGAGTTTTGTCATCTGTTCCTATGGAACAAAAACTGAAACCGCTGTCTGATAACCAAAGAAGCTGCGTGATTTTCTGTATCCATGCGACCGAGCCAATTTCGGACCGAGGCAGAAGACACAAAACCAAGTTCTTAGGCGTTTCAATCATATCGTGTTTTGCGTCTTGATGTTTCTTGCTTGCCGACCGGTGTCCTGCTAGACAGCCTCTGTTGCTTATAATTTTTCTCCGTCGTGCTCTGTGTATGCGTTTCAGGAGTCTTTCAAGCTGGTATCGTCTTCCGTGGTGCGCCACGCTGCATCCCGAATCCCAACAAGTAGCTTCCCTTCTTTCCATTATGGATGTGCAGCTGCAGATATTGTTGAGTGTGTGTCAGTGCATCGATATTGTGTCATAACATGTGCTTGTTTCGGCAGAAACCGCAACTGGATCTGATGAGGAAGGCAAATGGTGAAGCAGCCAAGTCGATTGCCAAAGTAGAAGTGAGAACCACGCAGGGGTGGTGGTAGCAATCATCGGCTCAAAAATCATTAATTAGGTGTAGCGCTGGGCTAGGGTGGGCCTTTGGACCTATCTACGAGGTTCCCCTGCAGATATCTCACCATCACCTTAGGATGAAGGGTTTCTAGAATCCGTGCGACTCTCTTCGTGGTTCAAAGTCGAGTTTGTTTGCGCGTGTTGTGCATCTCTGCAGCGCGCAAACAGACGAAAATACAAGGCGGAAAAGCTGCTCTCTCGCAAGGAGGCAGTAAGAGGCTTTTCCCCAGGGTTCGAGGGTTGGGCATGGACGAGTCGCCAAGGCCCCTCGCAAGGGGTTCAAGACTAGGATTTGTGTGAAGAAATTGAACGTAGAAGACTGTTTTGTTTGCAGGCCCTCAAGAAGTTGCAGAAAAAGGCTCAGACGGGCAAGGATCCTCAGGCTGCCCACAAAGTTAAAGCGGTATGTCACGCCACCGGCAGCACTTGAACCCGAATCCCCAGGAACCTATTCTTGTCGTGACTGTTCATCAAACAGCAAGCGAACCAAACGCAAACTGTGCATTGCTTTTTTCGGCCGCTCGCAGGCGGAAGATCAGGTTCAACTCGCCAAAAACGGACTGCAAATGGCCGAGGCTGAGCTTGCGTGAGCTGCGTACCCCAAATGCCAGTTGAAATGCTGGGCTCTCTTGAACGGCTCCAGGCTGGTGAGGCGCGCACGAGTTTATGGCTCCCTGGTGCATGCATGCTTGTCTCCGCAGGAGAGAAATGCAGCAAACGATGAATGGAGCAGCACCTGAGGCTGCAATGCAGGTTTCACGGGTCCGTCAATGCATGAATAAGGGCGCCTGCAGGCAGCCTCCAGAGCCCTGCATGCACCCCCCTCCACAGTTTTTCTCCCCGTTGCAAATACTGCCTTAGAACAATACGAAATGATGACGCATCCAGTTTTAATCGTACTTGCCGTGCTCTGCCGTGACCCAAGGAGGCATCCTGCTGTTGCTCCGTTGCCATGAATGCGCACTCAGGCTTTAGAAGCTATGCTTCTTTTCCTTATGGGATCGGGAGTGGATATTGGCGCAGTAAGGGCGGCCATCAAAACTCTAGAAGAAGCTCCCTATGTTTCCCCACTTACTGCAATGGGCCAGCAGCAGCACCTGGCGCAGCTTTCCCTCAGCAGCAAACCGGAAGGCTACGGTCAGCAGCAGCAGGGGATGGTGCAACGCTCTCTAAGCAACAAGCAAGAAAGCCATGCCCAGGAGCCGCAGCAGGAACAGCCGCGGCAGATCTACAGCCCCCATGGCTCTAACGTAGCAGATCAGAAAAAGCGGCCCTCTTCACTGCATTCTACTTCGCGCCAGTTAACACACTCTGATCCGGGCTCTCAACTGCAAACGCCAAGAAAGCCGCAGTCAGGGCATACCACACCAATGGCTCCAGGGACGAGCAGCGAAATTACGAATGAGCAGAGGGCGTCGCCGAATAACCCGTTCTCGTCTGACTGAAGACGGCTGACAGCACAAGAACAGCGAGGGCAAGTAGACGCTTAGACGGTGGATGGACAAATGGAAGGGCGGAAAGGGGGAGATCCCCAAATGGCACTCAGGGGACCTTGGGGGTCATAATGCAGAGATTACGATTAGAGAGGAAGAACAAATTTGTAGGAGCCTTTAGCGATTGCGGCTTTTGAATCTTCAAAGGTTCCACTGGAGACTCTCGAGGAGATGTCTCAAAGGCAGCCGTCTCCAAGGGAGCCCGTGGGGGTCCTCAAAGAGTATCCATGGCATGTCAAGCCATGGGCTGGATCATGCAAGTTCTTGGCGTGTGTAATGCTCCTAGCTGCCGCAAGATTTTGCGAACAGAGCAATGACGGGTGGCGGTGCAACAGCAGTTGCAGCAGTAGCTTTTGCTCCTGGTGTCCTATATCTTTTGTATAGAGACGTGGCCTGCGCCCACAGCAGGAGGCAGCTGCTTTGGCTGCTCCTGTTAAGCGCAGATTTGAAATGCTTGGTTCACCTGCTTAATTAGTGGCGGGATGTGGCGAACAGGGATGCACACACTGACGCTCTCGCGTCGGCAATGCAGACATCATGTAGTCGCTTACAGCGAAGTCTTCAGCGCATCGGGGGGAAATCACTCATCCTTAGCGTCACTGAAAGTTCTTCTGCAGAGAAGGAGGGCATGTGCCGCATTCTATAGAACACGACAGTTGTGAAGACCTGCCTGTGATAAAAATTCAAGTGGTTCACGGCTAAAGCTGTTGCCTAATGCCGCTTGAACATGTGGCTAAATACAGCTGTTCTATGCCTATACGGGCATCGTGCGTGCTCTTGTATCTGAGTCGCTGTTGTGAACCGCGTCCGCTTAGTCGCTTGATTAGGCTGTGTTAGTGGAATCGCAAGCCGCGCGTCTGTCCGTGCGGCGGCTCGACGGTGCAAGTCTAATTGCATGCATCATGCGTATATCTTGGCGGTGGCTGCAGCTGTTCGCCATGGCCGCTTGAGGTGCACCAGTCTCCGAGAATCCGGAGACGAAGAAAGCAGGTTTCGCTATCAAAAAGTACAACCGCCGAGATTCAGCACCGAAGCAACTTTGGTAGTCGGAACACTAGGAGTATGTGCAACGGCAGCAGCAGCGCTTAGGCGCTTGGGGCTCACAACGCTGGGTGTTCAGAACTGACAGGAGCGTGAGTTATTCGCCGCTCTTATAGCATGGATACGCAGCAAATCAAAGAAGGAACCGAAACCCTCTCAACCTTCACCGCATGCCTCCTCTGCCCATTTGCATTTTCTGCTTGGACTCAGGTCAAGAGCACGACAAGCAATGTCTGGCAGTCCCCATGCCAGCCTCAGGCTCGTACAAGTATAAACTCGTTGCCCACTTATGATCGAACTATAGGGGCGAGAAAACAGCTGCATCCTGGGATGAAAGCTCAGGAGGGTACGAGGAGAACCTCGATACCTTAGCCAGGACCGACACGCGGCTGGTCGAAATCTGCAAAGAAAAGGGAAGCATACAGCACAGGAGAGCAAACCCGCCGTAGGACAACAATTGGAGCGAAATCGATATCGCATGGGGGACGAGCACATGAGAGTGGCTACACACAAAAACTGGTGGTGCGAACCGGATTAAAAGAGCGTTCTGGCAGTGGCCAAGTGCATATTCTGCACATCGAAAAGGTAGGTAGCCCATCGGCAGCACCGAACGCACATAAACATGCGAACGAAATTCCGGAAACCACAGCAAGCAAGCGCGTTTTTGGCAGCGGTTTGCACCGGCGTACGTTCAGAAAGCGAGGCAAGATGCTGGTTGAACTTTTCCATTCTTTGTCGGTGAGTCAACTGTAGCTGCTTCTTGATGCGTTCCTTCTCCCTCGCCTTTCTTGCAAGGAAGAAAGCCCTCTCCGCGGCGGTCCAGTGGGGGTTCGTTTCTGCTAACAAAGCCTCGATGCTCTCTCCTGCAAGAGCAAACAATTCACAAACGCAGATAAAGCACCCCTTTTGGGCCCTACTCGCATGCACGCTTTTACACTGCTGCAAGCATGCACCTTTCATGCAACGAGTTGCACAAAAGGCGCAGACGATACAAAACAGCAGACAAACTCAAACATCATGACAGAAAAGAATGCGCCCAACACGTATAATGGAAAGCTTGCATGCATGCGGAAACATGCAATACATAAACGGCGACTCCAACTAATGTGGAATGCCACCAAGCAGAAATCTGCGAGTGGCAATAATATGCACACAAGCAAATTGAAAATACCTGTTTCCGTCGGAATAGGAGCTTCAAACCGTCGGTTCTTTCCTGTGTTTTCTGTTCCCTGCTTTTCCTTGCATTCACTCGATTCCACTACTGCTCCGCCTCCCTCTTCATCTCCCGCTTCATCTCCCGTTTGGGGTGAATGTGGATCTCGCCCAGAGCCTTCCGTTACACCTTGTTCTGTTAAGTTGTGCTGAATCTGAAGTGATGCAGCAGCAGCTACTGCTGCTGCATCTTGCTTTAGCTCTGGTGGCAGATCAACAACAACAGGTCCAGTATCTTCTTCGTCTTCTTGCCGTGGCTTCTTCTTTCGCTTCCTTCTTTTGCCCTCCCCAGACACAACCGCCTCGCTCCGCCGCTTAAGACGGAGGCCACCACCAATGGCAGTGGAAAAACCAGACATCTCGCTTAAAGGATGCGACTGTCCTATGTTTCTTGTTATGTGCCCCGTCTCCCGCTCCGTCTATGACGAACAACCATTCAAATCACTTAGTTGGCGAAACAAAAGCCTATTCAGCAAGGAATACTCCGATTCATCCCTCTTTCCTTTTCTCCTATCTTCTTTGTGTCCCGTATTCTGTTCATACACCACTTTCTCATACAGACCCCCTATACAGCTGCAAACCTGCTGATTTATCCTCTGTAGTGCCCTCCGATTTCGCTTGCTCCGCCTTAGGTTTGCAACGATTCATTCGCCTCAGGACCCTCCAAGGATGCCAGGAAAAAAATGAGCAGTAAAACGACAACCCCTGTGAACAAAAAAACATCAGGAAGCCTGGCAATCAGATTAAACAGCGAAACAGAGATGAGCGTGTGCGTAATATGTTTCAGGGCGTTTTTCAGCTCATGAACCAGCGCCGGCCAGAGAGATGGGGAGGCAGAATCGAAGGAAGACGGGATAAAAAAGGAACTAGACATAATATACGCACAAAAACTATGAGTTACACCTGGATTATGCCGGAATGCAAGGGAAGTTTTGCAGAGACTGCCTAGTTCTTCCTGTGCTGCTGCTTCACTTGGCTTAGATGACACAAAAAACCAACACTGTACAAACACTCGTACTGCCGTCGTCTCCAGTACTTTCTTCGCGCTTTCACGGAGACACTGAAACCCCCTTAGCCCTCACATACACTAAGACAACACATAGATATATACAAACGAAGAAAAGGGGAATGGGCACGCGAAGAAGACAAAGCGCGCCGAATGGAAGAGAGGGACACAAGGTGGCAGCAGATGCACAAAAGTAGAGAGCAACGGACAGAAGATTCGAAGGCCTGCCTGTAAAATGCCATGCTGCCTCGGGATTTGTAAATACAAGGAATGCATGCACATGAGAGGACAGGGAGAGCAGGGGTCCAAGATCACTCAGTGCTACGAAAACATCATCCTGGTAAGCCGTGGTGTGTCTGCCGAGCTCTGATAAAATGGGTAAAGTAATGACATACCCAAGATATTTGTGGTCAAATAAATCTCATATTCCATTTTCATCAATCAGCTGTTTTCCTTTTCCGTAGAAACGGAAGTGACATTAGGGGAAAAAGAAGGTCTCTACATGTCCCTGCTTCTGGTCCTCCCTAAAGTTTGTCTTATCTGCTCGTCATGCTGTAATTTGTTTTTCCCTGTGTCTGGCTTAGAGAGGAAGCCCAGCACTGGGAGAGCTCGTGGAAGGGGCTGCATGCAGCCCCTTTCGAAATGCAGGCTCATCATACAACAGGAGGGGCAAGTGCATCGAAAGTGCATCACTAGCAGATATGTATTGAAGGCACTAGAACTAGGAATCAAAGGCAATAGACGATCCAGGATAAACGTCATACTGAATCCATCGCCACGCAGTTCTAACAAGCACGCAAGCACACAGCCAGAAGAAAACGAATTGACATATACACATGTAATAATTGGATGGCGCAACAAAGGATTGAATGATTTTGCAGCGCGAGTGATTAGCCATTGCTCTGTTTAATGAATAAGAGGATTAGAACCCAAAGGTAAATAGTGTCGAATGGTGCGGAAAACCGAGAAGCAAACCAGATATAAACATTAGGAGTCCCTACACTACATGAAGTTGTCACTTCAAAGCAATATTTGACGTGCTTTTGTAGATTTCTCTACAGAACTAGGCTTATTTACTAAGCTTTTCGTACAATACCGCACCACTCAAGCAGTTAAATATACTACTTCATTCATATGGCGCAGAACTTGCACCTGCAAATTCCTTCTTACAAAGGAAAGAATGCCACTAACAGAACACAGTGTAGAAAAATGCTCGTTATACAACTCCCTTCTCAGTCTTGTGCTACTGACTGTGCTGGGTGCTGAATTCTCTTGTGCATACTTCAGCTGTTTCTCTACCGTCTTTGCTTTCTGCTGATTGGCATGCATCCATGCACAGTAAACCTAGGGTGTAAAGGGACATCTGATGGTTTCATGGGAATGCATTTAACTTCGGATTATCCATAAGCTTCATAGAAACTTACTGAGTGTTTTCCACAGGACTCTCGCCCCCCCCTTTCCTCCCACAACCTTCATAATTCCCGACTTGCGGGAAGACGGCCACGCAGGCTGCTCGCTGTTGCATCTCATAAGCACTCCGATACTCTACATCCAGCTGCATATAGCATATAACACACACAGACACACAAGATTGCATCGCCTGGGTTCTATTGAGCAGCATTCTGCAGGAAATTATGTGAGCGAGGTTAATTAGTCAATTCCTTTCCGATTAATAGACAGATATAACTGGAGTAATAGGTGTTTCAGTGTAGATTAGTCAGTCAGAAGAGTCGCACAGCGCTTTAAACGATACCTTGTAAAGTGGCAACACATTGCGGCATTCCACGCGTACGAAGACTTCACCTTATCGTGTGCAGTTTGCTCTGGTGTTTCTCTGCAGGGACGGGTAGAGAGCTTCTGTACAGATATGCCGCTTACGAATAATACCGCGCTGTGAATGCCACATCATTAAAGGCTGTTGGCGGACAATTTGCGTGACTGGGATTAACAAGGGAATTTCTATCGGTGGAACATAAAATGTCCTCTCAGATGCGAGTACAGGCGCTAAGCAAACGAGCTGTTGACTAGAGGGTTTGTAGCCATTTAGAATATTTGCATCCGCAGCGTGCACGAGCTGGCTCCTACTTCTTGAAAGCTTACGATTACGGTGAAAGTGGCTTATCGCAGCGCGGCTCACTGAACTAAAAAGCTTGCTACACAGCACCTCAGTGGTGGTGATGCTGCTGCTACTGTTGGTGTAGTCGTTATTGCTCCACTGATTAGTAGTGCTGTTGGCGGTATTTGCCTCATTTCCTCAGCCCAACGCCCTTTTTTCAACTCGAAAAAACGGCGCTCACTGTCCGTTACTATATGGGATTCATATGTTTGCATTTGTTTACAGCGTACTATTTGTGACGCCTAGAGAGGCTTTGCACATGACTTTAGTATAATTGTGGTCCTAGTTGTATTGAGGCAAAAGGTGCAGAACAGAAAGAGATGCAGAATGCACCAAAGCTAGCACTAAAGACAACATCAGCATCAGCAGTTCAAGCGCTATTCACTGCAAACACAAGTGTAACAATGGCAATACGAGCAGGTCCAGCAATCACATCAAACTAGTGGCTGCAAGCCGCTTGATGAGCACGCACGATGTAGTGCATGGTCATCTCGTTATCACTATGTACGAGCACCTGGCCTGCTAAATAGTAGTAGGTAGGCTCGATGACCCTCGAAATCATTAGGGGGCCCTTTAAAGCTCCACTTAATTCTTAGCAGGCGCCCAGCTTAACGCCAGGTGGCACCCCTGGAATTATAATAGCCCCCAGTGCCCCGGACCTTCAGAGACAAATCTAAATCTGAATTTGCGCATACTGGCGAACTCGGCTGCATCCGAGACTGTGTTACATTATGAAGTAGCAGGGGTCTCTAATGCAGGCTGTGTGCGAAAAGGTGGATATCCCCAACTCAATGATCGCTCTGCTCGATCTTGCTACAAACCCATGGGAAAGCGTCCTAATCTTGAATCCGCTTTAAAAAGTCAATGGAAGCTCTTCAGAAAAGCACGTTTCTCATTAGTATGTGTTTACGCTCTCACGCTCACTTTGCCAGCTGCTGCATGTATGCAAATGAGGCCACATCATAAGCAACAAGATTCGTCGCTATTAGTGTTCGGAATACTCAAATTTATGAAAGAGGCTGTTTGGCTATCAGCGACTATCTGCATGCTCTGGCGCCTAGAAGCAAAGTTAGGGATGCTTAGAAAAACGGCCTGTTGTCCCAGTGGGCATCAGTGCCACTTTAGCCATAAGCGTCTGGCTCAAAAAGAACCTTTTGTTGCTTTTTGATTCTTCAATCCTACAAATACTTAAGCTTAACGTTTCTCTTGCGCTTAGCAATGCATGGGGAAATTTCACACAATCACAACAAATTCTGGGATAAAATCCCTCCCCACAGTCACCTTTCAATAATATACCATTGGTTTAGGGGTTGGTGGCTCTAGAACACTATGGGCATGCAGGGTGGCTAGAGCGCACCTACACACGCGAAGAAAGCAACTGGAGGCGCGGTTGTAACATTTATTTGCTGCACAACTACTGGTTTGCTGCTCAGCTAGCTGGAGCTGGTGTAACGAGAAGCGGGCAATGTGCGCGTAGGGCGCGCAAGCAGGTCTGGCACACGCAGAGTTTTTGCCGACTGCGTTTATACTTTCCTGAATAAAAGAAAACTTAGCATTTACACTAGTTTTCCCATTCTTCTTCAATATTCTAGGTAGGTAAAGCTAACAACGAAATCTGAATTACGAGCGACCCAATGTACTTAGTGAAGATTCAGGAAGAAGAGCTGCAGGCAAAGAAATCACCATTGGCAAGTGCTGGTAAATCCGACTCCCTATATTATGTGTCCTACGCATCAAAATAAAACCATCGTGGCGTACCAAGCTACAGTCCGGGAAGGGCAGGGAAGGTTTCCTCTTGAAAGCACTCAGTAGCTTTCTATCAAGTTTGTGTTGAGTCTGGGGTTAAGTGTCTCCCTAGGAAGACCTTTGATGAGGCGTTGAAATATTTTTGCAGTGGTGAAGCAACACTCTCTGGGTCCACTATCACTTTATTAAGCACCCTACCGGGCAAAATGTTCACTAGATTCTAAAGCCATGAAGCTCAATATGAGTAAACCTGTGGTCCACCTGTGCAAAGTGCATTTTCTGGCCAGAATTCGAGAGCATGAGAAGAAGTGCACTGGGGTCCTCTAACTGCAACACTGTTAGAGCGCAGATTGAATGTGAAAGGCAAAATAGACATTTGCCAAAGCGCTACAGTTGAATATGCACTGCCACAGAAGCAAAGTACAATAGCTGATACGGGAAATGAGGGAAAGAAGGCACCAGCTGTACAGTTTTTGCATGCACTGACTCAATGCCAGCTACAGAAACGCGCTACACTTGCATTACCCAGGTATGATGACGTCAAATACGATGAAAACTAGCAATGCAAAGGCAATAAAAATTAGAAGCTAGATGACATGCATTGCACAAAAAGCGAAAAGGGCAATAAAGCCCTGAGAAACAGCCCCTCGGTGGTGTGCGGCTGCCTGCCGTCCTCTGATTCAGATCTTCGTCATCCATTGTTTCTAAATGAGGAGAGAGTTTCCGAACATAACTACGACTTGTCCTGTGGAGCTTCGCGGAATTATTCGTGCTGTTCGCCGGACTGCTGTATAGTTTCAGGTATCCATACACATGAGACGGTTTGGGGCCTTCACTCATCTCAAATCGTGCTTTGTGCTAAGTATCGTTGAAGTACTCGAGAATTTATGCACTTTTGCGTATCCACCTCGCTTGAAGCATCTTCTCCCGTATTTTGCGTGGACTTGAGGCCTCGGATAACGCCGTCCAGTGGCTGCTGGTTTGCATGTTGAAGTTCTCCATCTTTTCTGTTTCTGGTTCGCCCTTATCTTGCTTTCTCGCTCATACGAATCTATCTGCATATGAAATACAGAGTTGCTTTACTACTGCTAGAAGAACCCGTGTCATTCTCTCCCGCCATTCGTTGCTTGGTGCTTAGCTCATTCCCCAGCCTGCCTCTAGAGTACATATCCTTTTGTTTTCTTTCGCCGCGTATGAAAGACACCCATCAGAAGGCAAGGAACATGGGTGAAATGGAATGCTTGCATTGGTGTAATCGTTGATTAGTTTCGATTGTTTCCGGCATCTTTCACACTTTTGGCCTGCTGCCGTCGCTGTTCTTATTGTTGGCCCTCGTCTTCCGTGGAGGCGTTGCCATGAAAAATCTCGATAGGGTGTCTCCCCATCATCTGCTGCCTCACTGCTCTCTCTTTGTGTGAACAACCCCGTATTAGTCTTTCATCTGATTGCTTTGCTTCTTGCGTACTGCTGCCTGCTTTTCCGCTGATATGCTGATGCCTTGTACGACAAGGGAGATATTCACGCTCAAAGCCAAGTTCACACTGTATCAATGAAGTGGAACTGCATCTAGAACGAAATGCTTCACATGAAGAGTCTCGGTTATGTATGTGTGGGTGTATTTTTTCTTCAGCTTCTCACCTACGATCCATAGTTTCCAAATTATTTTCTCCTGCGTTTCGTATTCTCCGCGACTTTTTCTCTTGAAAATGGAGATGTTCAACTTTTCCGGGGCCTCCGCGGTCCCGAGCCGTTCTCTGTTGGACTTCACGCCCCTTTCAGCTCCCCAGAAGAGGCATATCACCAAGATTTACGCTGCCCTGACAGTCAACGTGCTTCTTACTGCACTTGGGGTGTATGTACACCTTAACTGGCTGAGGGTTCCAACCGTTCTCCCTCTTATTCTCTCCGTTGGTTGCGTATTGGGGCTTAACTTCTCATCGCAGAAGGCTCATGCAGAATCGAAGGTGCGGATGAAGCTGCGAAAAAAACATGAAGGGGCTGTCTTTCATGTATTCCCTTCGTAGTGTATCTGTTCAGTTCGCCACGATCAAGTACACGTGTCGTTTCAGGTGGCTTAAGTAGCGATTTTCACTTCCTGCTTTTTAAGACAATGCGTAGCTCAACATCGAGGGCTCATGGAATGCTCCTGTTCCCCTTTCGACGATTTACCAAGCAGAGTCTTCCTTACATGAGGGGCATCCACCCTACCTCTCTTTCGTTTTCTCTGACTGTACCAGTGTCTCGGTCAAGACCTTGCGGACACTAGACTTACCTTCTCTGGTGTCTGGCCTTGTCTTTTCTCCACACTGCGCTGGTTAACTCCCACATTTCCTGTATGTTTGTCTTCTACAGATGCTTACTCGAGACCGCGCCCTCATGTTTGGTGGCTTTGGATTCCTCAACGGCATGTTGATCGCCAATTATCTGCACGCTGTTCATTTCTACGTGGGCCCCCGGGTCGTTCCTGCCGCCTTCTTCGCGTCTGTCGCAGTCTTCAGCTGCCTCTCTGCGGCCGCACTCTTAGCCAAACAACGGTGTGTCTCCCAGAGTATCGGGTGTAGGCTTGTCGAGCTGACGGAGGGGAGCAGCGTGTTGCCTCTCGCAGGATCCTTGGCCGACCCGCAGGCTTCATCGTATACGCCTGGGGCTTAGGGATTCTGTGTGCGCGTGCGTGTATTTTCGTTGTATGTGCAGGTCGTACTTGTATTTGGGGGCGATCCTCTCTTCCGTCCTGGGATACTTCATGCTGGCATCCTTTGTGAATATCTTCTGGAAGACGCAGCTGCTCACCGACATCCTTCTCTGGGGGGGCCTCTTTATGTATCTAGGGTTAGCTCAAGAACAGCCCTGATAACCCTAAATAGCCGAGTACTAACTACAAACTCCACATTTGAAAGCGCTAAGGGGAGCTTAGTGCACCTGTGCAGCACATTAGTCGGGCGTATCTGTTGATCAGTGCAATGGTGGACCTTTTTAGAAGCTTCAGGGCTTTCGGATGCGGTATCACTGCTTGCTTTCCAGGTTCGTGGTCTATGACACGCAGCTGGCCGTGGCGCAGTTCGATAGGGGGAACAGAGACTATCTGGTGCATGCGCTACAGTTTTATGTGAACTTTGTATCCGTGTTCCTCCGGCTCGTTGCAATCCTTTCTGACCGTCAGGAGGAAAGCAACCGGAGGAAGCGGGACGGGAGAGATCACTGACTGAGGCGTTGTCCATTCTAGATGATTCGCGTGTTTTGACATCCCTGCTGTGCATGTGTGTGTGCAAACGCGGTGGTTTCTCGCCTGTAGCCCATTTGTGTGATTCTTGTATTCCCACCTTTTGTACCCCTCTCCTTTCCAGCCGCCTGCTCTGGCTGTGCCTGTGTCTCACGGTGACTGGTACCTTGCTTTCCTCTTCTATTCGTGAACTCTAAAGCTTTAGCGGCTAGCGAGCCGAGGCTCCTGTAGCCAGTCGGATGTTCCTGCTTCCCGCCCTGCCGTCCGGTTGAGCAAGGACCCCCTTTGGAAAAAAATCCTGTGCTCTCGCACTCGCGGCACCTTTGGCACGCTGGCGTCGTGCTTCTCTTTCGTTAGATTTCGTCATCAGTGTGGGCAACTTGTTTCGCATGCACATCCTGAGGGCGTCCGCTCGTGTGGCCCTTCTAGGTCCTCAACTGCAAACCCTGGATATCTGAAGTGGCTGCAGGGAGTGTGAAAAGGCCCTTACATATCGTGTGCATGGCCCTAAGTAGTGGCGTAACAAAAGTGTGTAGTGGACTTGCGCCGTGAACACCTCGCCAAAGGATACGCTTTTGAGGCCTGTAAAGGCATCTAAGCTGTCTCGTCACCTCGGCCAAATCTGCCCACCCTTCTCCCGTGTGTTTCTGGTGCCGACCGGGGGAATATATATATATATACATATATATATATATAAACAAATTTACACGCGAAAAGGAACCCTAGTGGCTCCAATCTTTTTGCATGTAAATGACGGACTGCAGTGAGCTTGCTATCATCAATGCCTCATGCACGACGGAGAGCAGCGCACAAGGCTTTTTTGCGTGCTGTTAGTCGCGTTGCACTTCACAGAACGAGTCTAACGTCACGAATCTCATGCACTTCTTCTCGGGCTTCTCACGGAAGACTAGCTTCTATCTCTCGTAGTGCTAGGTTCTCTCTCGCTTCCTCCTAATCCCTTCAAGTTGTTTGTCAACGCACAGGAGGGCGGGGCTTGCTCCGGTCACATGGACGTGTGCCACTCTCCCACGCCTGCAGAGGTGGGTGTGCTTTCGTGCATTTGGTGGGTAGTTTTTTTGAATCCTGTCGTTATTCAAGACGCTACCAAGCGCTTCGGTGCTCCTCCCTCAGTATGCGGAAGGCTGGGGCAGCTGCAGCCGCCTTGGCGCTGTGTCGCCACAATCGCGCACTGCAGATGGAGCGAAGTTGCCAACAAACAGTTTCGTGGGGTAGGGCCAGCCTCCTGCCGCCGCAGCCACGTTACCTTCTTCTGTCCGTCGTTGCCTACCACTGCTCTTTCGCGCTGCGTTCGCGAGCGGCTTCTCATGTTCGCGCCTGAGCGGTCCACAGTTATTAGGTGCCTCCTTTCCTGCTGGTTCTACCGCAATACGCTAATACAGGAGACATTGTTCGAGACATGTATTCACGCCGACGCGCGATGCACGCTAGGCCAAGAGAGGGGGGCAACTGCGGAGGAAAGTTCCTTAAGACTGCTAGCTAACCTGACCCCTGCAGCACGTATTCAAAAACGTAGGGAGACGGGTGTGTGCAGGCGCCAAAAGGAAGCGCGAAAGAGCCATCAAGCCGGCTGGGTGCTTTAAGCAGGCGACTCAGTTTATTCTGAGATATCTGTAAGGGATTTAGCCGGAATCTTTATGAACGGCCACAGCCCCCGAGAGGCGCAAGAGGCGACTCAGGGGAACACGCCAGCCAGTTGTTGCATTGTGCTGCATCTTGTCTTGGTGCTTAGAAAGGGGAGATGGGAGGGGGTTCTCAAGAGGGTCTAAAACTGTTTTTGGCTCACTCCTCCGGCGCGCGGCAGTGTGTGCCTAGCTGAAGCGCCAGCCAGCCCCTAGCATCGCCCGCATCAATCTGCTCGTACACTGCAGCAAATTCAGGCTTGGAGGCTTGACTAGGAGTGACGGAAATATTTCAATGCGAGCCATCGCCAGTAAATCCAAATGACAAGCGTGAGAAGCCCGCAAGCGGGGAGACAGCACAAATAGGTCTGCCTTCCTATTAGCCCTCTACGAAGACCTATCAACGGCGGCAAGTGCAGCAGCAGCACGCTCAGCGCAAAGCAAAATACAACAATGGAAATGCATAAAAGAAACGCTCCCGCTGCCACCAACATCCCCGGATCATTGCTAAAGGGCTGCATGCGGCGTAGCGCAAGGCCACCTGCAGCTAGACGGGCTGCAGCGGGTAAACTGTCTGGACCGGCGGCTGCCTCCGACCGCCTGTGACAGCTTTCCACGCCGCATTTGCCAACGGGGGCTTTCCGATTGCATCCAGAGATCTCACTGTTGCTGAAGGATGCCCCCGTCGAGAAGCAACAACAGGCGGGTGCAGACGGCGAGGCAGCTGGCCATACACCCCGGAAAGCTTCCTGTGCTGCGGCTCGAGCCATTGGATCGCTGCAACTTGAATTGTTCGTGCTGCTGGTGCGCTTGGTGAACGTCTGCCCTGCCGCTTTCCGCTGCCAGTGCAGCCACAGAGCGTTAGACATGCAACATCCGTGGTGCTCCGGCTGAGGGCGCCTCCGCCGAGGAAAGGGCGCTAGAAGAGCTGTCTTCTTGCTGCTGATGCACTTTGTGCTGGATCTAAGAATCCTGATGCGGTTGCTGCTTCTCGGAGTGCTGGCGTTCCCGCCGTTGCGACTGCTGCAACTCGCACGGCTGCTGAAAAAGGGCTTCTCGGGCAGAGAGGGATGCGTGACAGACACAGTTTGCTGAACAGTCAAATAGTAAGGAAGGAAATATAAAGCTGAACAGTCAAATAGTAAGGAAGGACATATAAAGCACGGCAGATTCAGCAAACGGCTGCGTGAAACCCTCAAGAGCACCTCCCAGCTGACCGGTTGGCGCAGCCACCCCAAGGTTACGGATTCACGACGGTGAGCGCGAGCACTAAAAACCTTCCAAGTCAGTAAATCAGATTCGATTGAGGAGCAGCAGCAACACGTATCGCAGCACAAAGCTGAAAGGTCTTGGCCGCTCGCTGTGCTGTTGCACGTGCTGTTGCATGTGCTGCCGCCATGTCGGCTCCCGAGGCTCCCTCTCCTTCAACCTTCCAAACGTGCACCTCCCTCGCCCTA